CCCTTTATCACATACACAGCCCAACAAAACAACAAGAAGAATCTGCCGACAGCATACGAATCTGATTCAAAAATACACACATCACTCACAAAAACAAATTTCACTACAGCCAACCAAAGACAACCAACCACACCCTAAGCCACCCCCAACCTCTCTCACCACCAAGGAAATTCAACAAGTGAATTGTAAGAAAACCCATACATTAATAATAATAATAATAATAATAATAATAATAATAATAATTTATTTATACCCCACCCATCTGGCTGGGTTTCCCCAGCCACTCTGGGCGGCTTCCAACAAAGTATTAAAATACAGTAGTCTGTTAAACATTAAAAGCTTCCCTAAAGTAGGCTGCCTTCAGATGTCTTTTGAAAGTCTGGTTGCTGTTTTTCTCTTTGACATCTGGTGGGAGTGCGTTCCACAGGGCGGGTGCCACTACTGAGAAGGCCCTCTGCCTGGTTCCCTGTAACCTGGTTTCTTGCAGTGAGGGAACCACCAGAAGGCCCTCGGTGCTGGACCTCAGTGTCTGGGCAGAACGATGGGGGTGGAGACGCTCCTTCAAGTATACTGGACCGAGGCCGTTTAGGGCTTTAAAGGTCAGCACCAACACTTTGAATTGTGCTCAGAAACATACTGGGAGCCCAAAACCCCACACATACACTAAGTAGAAGAATAGAAGCATAACCACCCGAACACTCCCCACTTACCATTCCCTCCTTTCGCTCTCTTCCTAACCCAGGCATGTCCAAAGTCCGTTTTGAGGGCCTAATCCGGCCCACCAGTTGGTTTATTTCCTAGGGTAAAATCCTAAAAAACCTCAACAACTTCAACCCTAAAGGCTCAACAACTTCGGGGTAAAATCATAAAAAAAAGCTCAACAACTTCAATCAACAACTTTGGTTGGCCCTTTGGTCGGCCCTCACGGCCCTTCACTTCATCAAATCTGGCCCTCTTTGAAAGAAGTTTGGACACCACTGACCTAACCTAACACTGTATGTAGCACTAATGTCCCACAACAAATGAAACTGATCTGTAGAAAACAACTTGAAAAAAGAGACAACGCATGTATTTTTGTGAACTAAGAAATCTTAAATAAAAACATGTTTGTTTTTTTAAATATGCATGCTTAGTCAGAGAACGAATCCCACCGAGTTCAAGAGAACTCCCAGGAAGCAGGACCAGGAAGGCACCAGCGAATTTTCCAATGCAAACTGAAAAATTTCCAGGAAAAAATCACATCATTTCACTGCTTGGGACTAGAATGTCTGGATGTCTGCTTTTCTCCATATGGGACTTCTCTGACACTTCTTTGGGCGCACCTACTCTGAGGTGCTTACAGGGGGAAATTCAGCACTGGCCAGTTTGGGGTGGGTAGTTTCTGGTGGAGTGTAAGACCATGATGTTCTCCCTCCACTTTCAGAAGTGGCATGTTTCTGAATACAAGTGGTGTTTTGCTCAGGTCCTGCTTATGTGCTTCCAAGAGGCAACTGGTTGTCCACTGCAAGAAGAGGACGTAGGAGTAGATGGGCCACTGGCCTGATCCATCAGCGTTCTTATAGTAGATCAAGCAGAGATGGGGAACCTGTGGGTCTTGAGATTTTGTGGGATTCCAGCATGACCAGTGATCAGCGATTATGGGAACCACAATCCAGGAACAACCAGAGGACTACAGATAATCCACCCCACTTTCATACTGGAGTAATGTACGACATGAACCATGATTTGCTCTTACAGAGAATGTAACACAGATGTTATTACTGTGGGAAAATGATGAATGTGCCTTTGTTGTTGTTTAGTCGTTTAGTCGTGTCCGACTCTTCGTGACCCCATGGACAAGAGCACACCAGGCACTTCTGTCTTCCACTGTCTCCTGCAGTTTGGTCAAACTCATACTGGTAGCTTCGAGAACACTGTCCAACCATCTCGTCCTCTGTCGTCCCCTTCTCCTTGTGCCCTCCATCTTTCCCAGCATCAGGGTCTTTTCCAGGGAGTCTTCTCTTCTCATGAGGTGGCCACGTATTAGAGTCTCAGCTTCAGGATGTGTCCTTCCAGTGAGCACTCAGGGCTGATTTCCTTCAGAATGGATAGGTTTGATCTTTTTGCAGTCCATGGGACTCTCTTATATCAGGAGACCAATTATTCTTTCTCCCCCCCTTTTAAGTAGCTCACACAAGACTGACATTAGCTGACCCCTGTGAGGTGTTCCTCCATCGTATACCATTGCCCAGCCCTATATAATCTAATCCTGAGCATTTATTATTCTTTTCTTTGCATTCAGACCTCATGTGGCCTTTCTGTGTGCTTAATCTAACCTGCATTGCAACAGATCACTCTTAAACCATTTTGTCTGTGTTGATTTACCACAACTCAAGATTGGTTCAGGCCGGAGAGTTCCAATCTATTTTTTAAAAAAGGGAAATAACTTCATACTGAATGTAAACAAACTGTGGAAAAGACCACATGAATTGAAAGTGGAGAGTGTATGTATTTTTCTTTGTTACATGAGAAAATCTTTAATAAAAACAATGACTAAGCAATGATTTGTAGTATTACACTGAATAATTGCGGGAGAAAGGGGTGGACTTGTTTTGCTCATGTTTCCCCAATATCCACCAATACAGTGATGCCTCGCAAGACGAAAGAGTTTTCCGTTTTTTGAGTCGTTCCGCAAGATGAATTTCCCTATGGGCTTGCTTCGCAAGATGAAACGTCTTGCGAGTTTGTTTCCTTTTTCTTAAAGCCGCTAATAGCCGCTAAGCCGTTAATAGCCGCTAAGCCGCTAATAGCCGTGCTTCGCAAGACGAAAAGACCGCAAGACGAAGAGACTCGCGGAACGGATTAATTTCGTCTTGCGAGGCACCACTGTATTGCAATTTAAAATAAATAGGAAGGGGTGGGTTTTCAAATACTTGCAGTTTTGTTTTGTGCAAACCCCTTACTACATACCTGAAAGCAACCACTGAATTGCCCCTACCAAAGTGTTTACCGCAACCAGAATTATGCAGTGTGCACAACCATGCAGCAACATCTTCAATCATCAAATTGTAGAGTTGGACGACAACCTCAGGGGTCATCTAGTCTGACCCTTTGCAGTGCAGGAACCTCATGTTCTACTATCAATGCAAACTTAGGTGGCCTCACATGAATTGACAACAGACAGAAGCCACATCTTCTTTGGGCGCGTTCAAGACCTTTTCCTGCCACACCACATCACGTCCTGCTTTTGAAATTCCCCAGAGTGCAAAATGAGGTCTGCCATGTGGCATTTGGGTGGGTCTGTTGTTAGAGAAACAGGCAGCCAGGACTGCCTTGAGAATGCAGAGATAGTTATATGGTACTATGGATCCAAGCCAGTATCAGTGCCAATTCTAAGAACCATATGTCTCGTGTCATCACCAGACACATGAATAGCAATCTCAGTTTTGAGTGCTGCTGCTTATGTTGCCAAAACAGCACCGCCCATGCCAAGAGGGAGGATGTGTCAGCAGACTTGGGAGAGCCCCAGAATTTGCAGATGGTTGCACAGGTCTTTAGGGGAGGCGGGGAAACAAAGGAGGGGGAAAACTCAAAACAGCCCAACTGAAGACTGAGCATATTTTTTGGGTGGTGGCTGTGGGTTAAACCACAGAGCCTAGGACTTGCCGATCAGAAGGTCGGCGGTTCGAATCCCCGCGACGGGGTGAGCTCCCATTGCTCGGTCCCTGCTCCTGCCAACCTAGCAGTTCGAAAGCACGTCAAAGTGCAAGTAGATAAATAGGTACCGCTCCGGCGGGAAGGTAAATGGCGTTTCCATGCGCTGGTCTGGTTCGCCAGAAGCGGCTTAGTCATGCTGGCCACATGACCCGGAAGCTGTACGCCGGCTCCAGTCGGTCACGACTGGACCTAATGGTCAGAGGTCCCTTTACCTTTAAGAAACAGGAAAGTTAACCTGAACTATGCACTGTAACCTGTTTTTGCAGTTTCCACTCAAGAGACAGAATCCACATTGAATAGCACAAGTTTTAGAGAAAGTGGATCTACTCTAGCAAATCTTGGGAAAGAGGAAATATGAAGAACACACACATTGCACTGAAGTTGGCGTTGCAGCCCTGCTTATTAAGTCTACATCATTCACTCGTGACTGTCTTAGGATGTGACCTGGACTCTGTGTTTTGGAGACTTATTGGTAGGAAAAAAGGACACAGCCCAATCTGTGGCCTCAGCACTGCCAGTACTACTGTCTGTCTTAAATGCAGCTCCTTGGGACTAAGGAAAAGAAGGCAGAATCAATGAAAGGTCATACTTTTTGCAGAGAAGCCCTTTTGTGGTGTTTTCATCAAGGAGTCAGCAAGGCAAAGTGTTGTAGCATAATTTCCATCTAGGCCCGAGCATTCCTGCTCCTCCTAGAGGGCAGGAGAACTTAATCCTGTGAGCAAGAGAAGAGGACAGCAAAACGAGTCATCATCTTTAAAGGTGTGCCAAACAGGTGTTTTTTTAAAGACCATGCACACACACATACACAATGTACTGTTCTAGTTATTTCTCACGGCTTTCATTGATCTTGTATAAGCCTCTCTGGGAGACTTGTTGGCTGAAAGGCAGGATAAAAATCGTTTAACTAAATGGTCATTCATGGCGTATTGATAGCTGGAGTTGTTGCATTCTTAGTACTATAAAATGACATTTGTAAGTGAAAGATAAAGTCACTACCAGAATAAAGTTCAGAACTCTGCTTTGCAATGCTTGTTTATATATAGCAGATACAATGCTAGAGCTCAAAACAGATTTGGGATGTGTCAGACTTCCCATCTAATTTGGGTTAGGAGGAAAACTTATTTTCATCATTTTGTATCCACAAAAATATGCTTTATTTTACCCACCTTTCAACCAAATATCTTTATATTCTTTTTCAGCGTGCACAGATGTTTATGCAATTGTACTTTGAGATGGTACTGCTTCACCTTAATTAGTAAGCTTAACATTTCAAGTACTAAAGAAAAACTCAGACCACACTGCAATTAGTGCATCTCAGTCTACTTTATTTCAGCAAAGTGCCCCAAAATCTAAGTACAGCTTTTTAAAATCTACAACACAAAAATAGAAAATATTGAAAACGCACAGAAAACCAGTCATCTTGGAAGTGATTAGGATGTCACAAGAAATTTTGCAGTGAAGCAGTGATCATGATGTATTCCACAACACAATGTACGGAAATCTGCACGCTTCCTGTAGAGAATCCTCAGGCCTGAGCAAGCCGTTCTAGGACCCTTCGATAATCCGAAACAAGCTGCTGGAAGGTTTCTTCTAACTGTTTGTGTTGCAAATTTATGTCTATTTGGTTCAACTGGTTGGTCAACTCTTCTGGTCTCAAACATCTTCTCATCTTAGCAATCTCTCTCTGCTTTTTCTACAAAAGAACCATGCAAAAAGAAATTTACACACATGAGCAGCAATTGCTACACGCTGCTCCTTATAAGGCTAAATTGCTATTTAAAAGTAACCGGAAAAACATTCTGGGTTAAACAAGGTGTCAGGAACAGATCCTTCAGAAAACCCTGTTGTGTTCATATGCTCCTTGAAATTAAGACTTGCCCAGAAATTCCAAATGACTGGTCAACCCCTTCCATTTTTATGTTTTACTGTACGTTGACTGTATAGGGCAGTGATGGCCAAACTTGGCCCCCCAGATGTTTTGGGACTACAATTCCCATCATCCCTGACCACTGGTCCTGTTAGCTAGGGATGATGGGAGTTGTAGTCCCAAAACAGCTGGAGGGCCAAGTTTGGCCATTACTGGTATAGGGTAAAAGCCCCAGCTTTTCATCTGTAAAAAGGTACAATCAGAAAACAGGCAGATATGAGCACATCCAATTCCTTTGCTTTCAATGGGATTTAATCATGGCTATGGTTTGGTTCAGCTCCTACAAAAGATGTAACACAACTTTTCTGTGTTGAACCAGTGATGCATCAAATCTAGAGATCACAGATCAAAATGGTTAAAGCGCCGAGTAGTAGCACAGGATGCTAACAGATTCCCCCCCCCCCCCTTTGTCTTTCCCTCTCAGTCTCCTTGAATGTTACATTTAATCGGGTGCTCTTTTCTAGTTTAATTATTTGATCATTTTAAACCACATGCTGTGTCTTTTTTTAAAACGCTGAAGGTACTCTTTACTTACAGAGGCCCTACATTGTATCCCTGTAATATAAAGGAACATTTAACAATGCGGAATCTCTCTCAAAATATCAGGAGTATAAAATTAGGGCCACACTGACCAGAAAACTGACCAAGCGATGGATGTGAGGCTTTTTAACACAACCTTGTAAATAAGCCTATAAAGTTACTAGCCTGTTTACCACCTCTGGCAGCCATTTTAGTTTATGTACGGGGCACAAAGCACTCTCCTTCACTACCCCACTCATCCACCTGCATGAAATTACTTGTGTCCAATGGCTACAAGGCTATATTAACCCTTTCCCTTCCTGCTCTTTTCCCACACAAAAATCCACACCTCAAGCTGCTTTCTCATTCATGGAAGATAAAATAGTTCCATACCCTCCCACAAGGGGAGAAAAGGGCGATTTGGAAGGATCTACCGTCATTCATCCACAAACCGAAAAGCTCTTTCAGCTTTTTGGTTTAAAAGAGACAGTTCATATTATGTGGTTATTATGAATGGATTAGTAACTGTTAAGTGAGATTTTTGGGAACAGAAGGTTGGAAATGATTTTTACCTACATGGAAATTAGTATTATTATTAATAATAATTTATTATTTCTACCCCACCCGTCTGGCTGGGGGTATATAACTGGCTTATTTCAAAGTGCAATGGTTCTAAGCCATACTGCAAAACATGCAGTATACCGTATTTTTCGTTCCATAGGACGCTCCGTCCCATAGGACGCACCTACTTTTTGGGGGGGAAAATAAAGGAAAATTTTTTTTCCTTTATTCCCCCCAAACTCAGGTCGGGAACAGTGGGATGGCGGCGCTGCGCCTCCCGTTGTCCCCCGAGCTTGTGGGGCTGGCCGATGTCGGCCCGGCGTGAAGGGCGCTCTGCTTCAGGGCGCCCCACGCGCCGGGCGGCAGGCTGCAGACACCTGCGCTAAGCACGGGGCGTCCTCCGGAGGGCGCCCCGTGCTCCGCGCTGCAGACTGCCGCCCGCAAGCCTTGCGCTCCCGGGGGGAGATCCCCCGGTGCGCAAGGCTTGCGGACACCTGCGCGAAGCACGGGACGTCCTCCGAGGGCGCCCCGTGCTCCGCGCTGCAGGCTAGCCGCCCGCAGCCGTGCGCGCCCAGGGGATCTCCCGGGCGCGCAAGGCTTGCAGACACCTGCACGAAGCACGGGGCGTCCTCCGGAGGGCGCCCCGTGCTCCGCGCTGCAGACTGCCGCCCACAAGCCTTGCGCTCCCGGGGGGAAGATCCCCCGGGTGCGCAAGGCTTGCGGACACCTGCGCGAAGCATGGGACGTCCTCCGAGGGCGCCCCGTGCTCCGCGCTGCAGGCTGCCGCCCGCAAGCCTTGCGCTCCCGGGGAGATCCCCGGGCGCGCAAGGCTTGCCGAGCCACCTGCGCGAAGCACGGGGCGTCCTCCCGAGGGCGCCCCGAACTCCGCACTGCAGGCTGCCGCCCGCAAGCCTTGCGCGCCCGGGGAGATCCCCGGGTGCGCAAGGCTTGCGGACACCTGCGCGAGCACGGGACGTCCTCCGAGGGCGCCCCGTGCTCCGCGCTGCAGGCTGCCGCCCGCAGCCGTGCGCGCCCAGGGGATCTCCCCGGGCGCGCAAGGCTTGCAGACACCTGCACGAAGCACGGGGCGCCCTCCGGAGGACGCCCGTGCTCCGCGCGCTGCAGGCTGCCGCCCGCAAGCCGGGCGCACCCAGGGGATCTCCCTGGGCGCGCAAGGCTTGCGGGCACCTGCGCGAGCACGGGGCATCCTCCGGAGGGCGCCCCGTGCTCCGCGCTGCAGGCTGCTGCCCGCAAGCCTTGAGTGCCCAGGGAACTCCCCGGGTGCGCAAGGCTTGCAGATAGCTTCCTGGAGCCTGAAGAGCGAGAGGTGTCGGTGCGCACCGACGCCTCTCGCTCTCCAGGCTTCAGCGAAAGCCTGCATTCGCTCCATAGGACGCACACACATTTCCCCTTCATTTTTGGAGGGGAAAAAGTGCGTCCTATGGAGCGAAAAATACGGTAATCCTCTAGTTTCTGACCGCTCCCACGTAATTAGTTATTGTAGAATTCTATCCAATATTATGACAAACAATGCTTCTCATTTTTAGTGAAACATCTTGCTCAGAGGACCGATGCTGAGCATTCAAAGATATTCAAAGACAGCCTATTAGTATTGTTTCCTACAAAAAGCCCACTTAACTGTTGCTAGTCAAGATGCAAAATCACTGCAGCTTCCACACATGCAGAGGGGCTTTTCAGCTTTCCCCTTCTAGCAACTCTACTTCTCAAACTCTCCTGAAGACTGGGGTGCCCACTGGAGCTGTAAGGCGTTTTAAGAGACTGCTGCTAGGAAAAGCCAGCCACAAACATCCCATGTGCAGCATCTCAAATGCTTTGTGCATGAGCCTCTAAATACTGGCCATTGACTGATTTTTATTTTTTTGCTTTTGTCTAGTTTATTCCTTTTACTAGGGAAATCTGTTTAGAACTCTAATCCACATACTCTCTGAAAGGGATGCTACCTTTACAGTGGTACCTTGGTGGTCCGCTTGACTCCCGAAACCATTCTAAAACCAAGGCTGTAGGAGCTTCCGATTGGCTGCAGGAGCTTCCTGCACTCAATCGGAAGCCGCATCGGATGTTCAGCTTCCGAAAAACGTTTGCAAACCGGAACACTCACTTCCAGGTTTGCGGCGTTTGGGAGCCGATTTGTTCGGGAGCCAAGCTGTTCGACTACCAAGGTACCACTGTATTTAAATGTATTTGGTATATGCTACTGTTACCATTAAAAGGGATGCGGGTGGCGCTGTGGGTTAAACCACAGAGCCTAGGACTTGCCGATCAGAAGGTTGGCGGTTCGAATCCCCGCGACGGGGTGAGCTCCCGTTGCTCGGTCCCTGCTCCTGCCAACCTAGCAGCTCGAAAGCACGCTAGTGCAAGTAGATAAATAGGTACCGCTCTGGCGGGAAGGTAAACGGCGTTTCCGTGCGCTGCTCTGGTTCGCCAGAAGCGGCTTAGTCATGCTGGCCACATGACCCGGAAGCTGTACGCCGGCTCCCACAGCCAATAAAGCGAGATGAGCGCCGCAACCCCAGAGTCGGTCACGACTGGACCTAATGGTCAGGGGTCCCTTTACCTTTACAGTTACCATTACATGTCTAATGTTGCAAGAAGCAAGAGATCAGAAATCAAACTCAAAGGGCTGCATTTTTCTAATGAGCCCCACCAGTGTACCCACCTATCCTCCTCAATTTTCCTCCAGAAGGTTGGGAGGACCCTTATAACATATTTAGTGAATGTGCAGCGGGGAAAGAACGTCCCATTGTGCAAGCAGAAATCCTTGCACTGACAAAACAATTCTCTTAGCACTGCATTTTATTGAGACTATGTAAAGTACTCTGCGCCTTCGTATCTGTAGTAGTAATGTTTGGCTGACGCTTTTAACAAAAGTACTGAGACAAAGCTTTAAAGAGGTGCATTAAAGGAAAGATAATTATGCACGAAGGTTTTGGCATAAACAGTTGAAAACAACTTTAAAATATCCATGTAAGTTAAAAGCCACCTTGTAAGGGCCCATCAGTCTTCTTTTTACATCCAATCTGTAGCTTCTGGACTGTTCTGCATTACCCATGTCTGTTGCATGCAGCCGGAGAATTTCATACACCCGTCTTGTATGTTGCTTAAAAACAAGGGGAATGGCATATGAATCAAGACCAAGAACTGTCACTATACAAGGTTTAGAGAAATGATTTCAAGGTTGTGTAGCCTATCCTCTATCTTTAAACCCTGACATATGTAACTCCTAATCACAGACTGAAGTTTGTTCCTGGCAGCCAAAATATGATGGTGTGACTTATGCAAGCCATGCGATATCTTCTAGAAACGGTGGCTGGGATTCAAAAACCTACCTAAGTCTACTGGTTCTTTGGGAACTCAGGCACTAAAAGGAGATTTGTTTCATTTACAATTGTTCTGAACATTAAGGCACTAGACATAGGATTGAACATTGAGTACAATGCTGCCTTTCACGAAGGAGTCCACCAATGAAGAGGTGGGGAGCAGTTTTCAACAACATTCTCCTCTTGTAGCCTCCCTCCCACCTGCTCTTCTACAGCAGATTTTTTTGGGGGGTTGAGGGCACAGTGGACTGCCAGGGCGAATCAGGAAAAATGCCCTCTCCCATTAATGCAACCTCTATTAGGTCAAGAACCTGTCTTTGAACAGAAGGACTCATCTTGTTTGTGGAAAGACAATGCCCACAGGGATGATCATCACATCAATACAATATTTTAAGCATCGTGTACCTTATTCACTTTCAGCTTTTGTTGAGCTTCGGTTACCATATCTTGACTGAAGCCTTGCTTGAGCTTCTCTGGAGAAAAGCAAGGTAAATCCTGACACAGTTTGACTAATACAAAATCTCGTAGTTTCACATAATTTTCAGACGGATCTTCAGCTAAAAGAACAAAGGAGAAGTGTTTTGTAATTTGCTTTTCCTGTCCATAAATCTCTGTCATTTTGGCATGGTAATACCACAAATTTTATGTTCTGGTTTTTAGTATAACTGAAATCCTTTGTTTATTAGGGGCTACCCCACGTTTTCTTCAAAAAATTGCTTTTTACTGGTAACTACTGTAAAGTTATCACAATTTTTTGAAAGTCCATGGTTTAGCTTTTGTAAAATAGGGGGTTCTCAGTAATTGGCTAATTGGGAACCACCCGGCTAGGGAATTAGAAGAGGGAGCACTGAATGCCCCCAGCTCTAAACAATGTTTAAGATCTTTGCAAATTTATGTGAACTAGGCTTACCAAATTATCAAGTTTCTGTCATATGAAATAATTAAAAGGTCTAATTCACCAAGTAGCAAATTCATGAAAAGCACATCAGTGGGCTAACTATTTCAATCTCACCTTAAAGCAACTACTATTTTGTAAATCTGACTACCTTGTAAATCCACTCAGCTTGCTGCCCCCTTCGCATAGCCGCCGTATAACTCTGAATGCCATCTCACTTTCATAATTTCCTGTCCCGCTCCTGACTGTCCAACCCAATTTCCCCTTAACAGCAGCAACGCTAAATGGATGAACAGGAGAAATTCATCTCTCCATACCTTTCAAGCTCCCTGTCGAAGAGAGCATGCACCCTAGCAAATTATTCCACAGGGCAATTTAAAGTCTGCTTCAGAGCAGTTTTACTGGAGAAAAAATACACACCATGTTCCATGCACTGATGCAGAAGCCTGCTGTCTGCCATCGTATGGCCTACTTTCATTTCTATGCACTGTCAAGGATGAGAAGCTGTAAATACATCTCTGGCTCAAAGATTCAGATAGAATATTCCATTTACGGACGTGCACAATTAAAATAACATTTTGTCCTTCGTCACCAATTGGTACAGTCGTACCTTGTTTTGCGACCGGGATCCGTTCTGGAGCTCAGGCCCCAAGCCGAAAAGGACGCAGGGCAAAGCGCCGCTTCTGCGCACGCGCGCAGTATGGTTTGTGCTTCTGCACATGCACGAAGTGCAATTTAGAGCTTCTGCACATGCACAAGCGGCAAACCCTGAAGTAACCTGTTCTGGTACTTCCGGGTTTGCCGCAGACATTGGCCAGAATGGACACTAGACAAAGCGGATGTTTGCGGAGGTATTACTGTACTTTATAATGCTTTTATAGATGATGGGAAGTATGTGGAATTTCTGTGGGGCTTTAATTATAAACAAGACTGAAATTCAAGATTTAGAGGTATATCTAGCATACAGGTACATGCCAAAACAAACTGCATTACTCGGCTCTACGCATGACTGGGGATTTTCTACTCCTGTTAAGAATCCGACTGCAAGGAGTTTTTGAAATCTGGAGGATTCACAGAATCAGTTTGTGGCAAAACATGTTGCTGTTAAAAGAAAATAGTTCTATTCCCACTGAACATAAAAAATGACGTTTCAGTACATAAAGGATCTCTAGGCTGTGGCCAAAGGGTTAATTTAGTATTAACTTAGTAGTGAGGTTTACAAACAAACATACCGTATTTTTCGGCCCATAGGGCGCACCTAGTTTTTTGGGGGGGAAATCGAGGATTTTTTTTTTATTTCCCCCCCGAAGCCATCTCCAAGCTAGAAGAGGGAGACGGAGCACTCCAAACCAGGTCGGGGAATAGTGGGATGGCGGTGCTCCGGCTCCCCGCTGTCCCCCGAGCTTGTGGGGCTGCCCGATATCTGCCCGAAGCCCGGGGTGCGCTCCGGAGCGTGCCGCGTGCTTCGGGCTGCCGCCCGCAAGCCTTGCGAGCCCGGCGGGAACTCCTGCCAGGCTCGCAAGGCTTGCGGATAGCTTCCTGAAGCCTGGAGAGCGAGAGGGGTCGGTGCGCACCGATCCCTCTCGCTCTCCAAGCTTCAGTGAAAGCCTGCATTCGCCCCATAGGATGCACACACATTTCCCCTTCATTTTTGGAGGGGAAAAAGTGCGTCTATAGGGGGAAAATACGGTACATACACACACACTGGTAGCATAGTACAGTGGTACCTCGGTTTTCGAACATAATCCGTTCCGGAAGACCATTCGACTTCTGAAACGTTCTAAAACCGAGGCGCAAAGGGCGGCCTGCAAATTCAATAGAGAAAATTGAAAAGAAAAAAAAAATCAGCAGAAGCCGTTCGACTTCCGAGGTGCATTTGAAAACGGAAGCATTTACTTCCAGGTTTTTGGCATTCGAAAACCGAAACGTTCGACTTCTGAGACGTTCGAAAACCAAGGTATCACTGTGCTGAAGTCTTCCTTTCTCCACTAGCTCAGGCTGTATTTACACAAAATACATTTCTGATGGTGTAATAAGAAAATTAGCTAGCGGATACATTCAAGAAAACGCCTGAAACACCTCTGAATGGAACTATACCTCATATGGCTGTGACTCAAAAAACTGCATAACTAGTTCCAGAAGCCCCACAGGCTTTCAAAGTGCACCAACTTTCAAAAGCAGTTTGTGATAGGGCATGTGGGTGATATACAAGGTCATGTTTATATTTTAAAAGGCAAAATTCCTACTGTGCGGCTAAAGTAGCTGGCTCATCCCCCCACCCCACCCCCAGTATATTCAAAACCAAGCAAAAATGGACTGGTATATATAATTCCTGAGAAGTTCAACGAAGGGTTAAATCCAAGGCATCCTAACCAAGCAGAACAGGGCTTTTTTTTTTTTTTTTTTTGCCTCCCCCTTCCTATTAGTCCACTGATAGTTGAAGGAGCTGCCAAAGAAACATGGAATATAACATATAAGCTGCAGCAATAGAGGAGAATCAGGAAAAAAAACAACACCCCCCCATGAGGGAGTAGGGGAAATCTTACTACAAGCAGAAGTCACCTATCCAAACCAATGAATTTTCTTTGCAGTGATATTCTTAACAGCCCACAATGAACTGTTGTAGGATAAATATCCAGAAGCTACCCTCTTTTCTTTAGTCAGTTATTGAGTCACTTTCTTTAACAGATCTCAGGGCAACGTAGAGCAAAAGATATATAAAATATATCAAAAATGAACAACTTTGTGTGTGTGTAATTAAAATAGGGACGCGGGTGGCACTGTGGGTTAAACCACAGAGCCTAGGACCTGCCGATCAGAAGGTCGGCGGTTCGAATCCCCGCGACGGGGTGAGCTCCTGTTGCTCGGTCCCTGCTCCTGCCAACCTAGCAGTTCGAAAGTGCAAGTAGATAAATAGGCACCACTCCGGCAGGAAGGTAAACGGCGTTTCTGTGCGCTGCTCTGGTTCGCCAGAAGCGGCTTAGTCATGCTGGCTACATGACCCGGAAGCTGTACGCCGGCTCCCTCGGCCAGCAAAGCGAGATGAGCGCCGCAACCCCAGAGTCGGTCACGACTGGACCTCATGGTCAGGGGTCCCTTTACCTTTACCTTTAATTAAAATACAAATCTGCACATTGCTGTTTGGGGTGAAATGTTACCATATCAAACTGGAAAGATCTGGATACAAAGAAGTGCTTTTAGCCAACGTCTAAACCTCAACGAGGAAGACAAATGTAGCTGCAGGAGAGATCATTTCAAAAATAAAAGGCCCCACTACAGAGAAGGCCCTTCTGTGCATTCCCAGTTGCATCAAGAAACAGAATCTTGTGCCATGTATTGTGGCATCTTGCAAAGTAGACTAGTCCATGGAAGCTTATGTTGTGATACCACAGCATAAGATGCCACTGGGCGGTTTCTGTTCCACATTGCCTCAAAAGTTCATTCCAATATCCTTTTCTTTAATTTTCTCATTCTCCAAGTTCATATTCTTTTGACGTTCGTCCATTTGCTCTCTGGGGTCCTAAGAATGGAGTGTACCGTCGTAGTGATTAGTAAACCAATGTCTCTCACTGATTTAGTGTTTTGCCTGAAGGAAGAAAGCTCTGCAAGGAGTTCCAGAAACCTAAATCTCTTGTCAAGTCAGCTGCGTACTTTGCAATAAAAATGGCTAATTAACTGGTAATCCTTTCATGCTAGGGAATGGATTTCCATGGTGCACTGTTCCCAGGGAGGAAAGGATTTGAAGAATTACATTATACGCAGTTCCTTCTGTGAGGAAGGGTAGCATTAACCTTGACCTCTGCTTAAGTTAATCTTTGAAAGATCATTTAATTTTGACAGATGAATTCAGAAAGTTATGGCACTGTCAGGGAAGCAGTGTTCAGCATTTCATATAAATTAATTCTTATCTCCAGCGAAAGACTCACGTACCTGTTATATCAAGCACTGCAGGGGATGACATATAGTACCTATGAACTGTTTCTAAAAGCTGAGCCCCGTGACCTTCTCCTTGGAATGGAGGCAATATCAGCATTTGGCTACACATAGAAGAAGAAGAAAAAAAATACTTAGCAAAAAAATAAGAACTACAGTCATACCTTGGTTTTTGAACAGAATGCGTTCAAACCGTTTGAAAACCAAGGCGCGGCTTCCGATTGGCTGCAGGAACGTCCTGCAGCCAATCGGAAAACACAAAAGCTGTGCCGGACGTTCAGCTTCCGAAAATCGTTCAAAAACCGAAAAAGCACTTCCAGGTTTCGATCACTGGGGAGCCAAGGCGTTTGAGATCGATTGTATACTCAACCCCCAGAAAATTTATTTACAGATTTATTCACAGCGAATTGCAATCTCTCTGTACATAAGGCTTTACATACAAAAACCTTATAGACTCCAAACATAATTGCACTAAGAGTTTGAGATTCCACCCCATTTCAGATGAAGACAATGAAATAAATAAATGCAAAGCCAGGCGAGAGTTTTAAAATTTCTTTTTTTAAAAAGCCCACAAAATTAACACAATTATAAACAAGTATTGGGAACTTCGACAGTACTCTCTTCTGAAATAAAAGGCAAGGCACGTGCTATGCTGCCAATTACCTTACACGTGGCCGGGTTTTGTCTGGGTACACATAGTAATTATAGACTGTCATATAGCCTACGGTCGCAAAGAGCGTAGCTCCATCCTTATTATACTTCTCAAATCTGCAGATAAAACAGAAAGCCAAGCAGGTCAATTACAGTCGCGCTCCCATGCAGTGTCCATTTTCTTTTCCATTCTCTGACTGAATTTCCAGTGTCAGCAAGCTACTCTGTGAGGGCCCAATGGGTACACCTGCTATGTTCTGAATGTACAATTCACTTAATTGGTGTGCAGCAACTTGGATAAATCAGACCTCTTTACAGCACTTCAGCGCACTTGCCTATTATAAAGATGAATAGGTGGCAAGTAAAAGAAAACACAGGCAAAGCTCATTTTACTGTTTAAGCCCTACATTCAGGGCTCCAACGGACAACAGTATTTAATTTGGCTCTATTCTCAAGGTCTCGCAAAGCATAATGGACACAAACTCCAGCCCTGATAAACAATAGTTTTCTCTTTCCTGGGAAAAATATCATTATACTGTCCCCAATAATTGGCCAGCCACAATTAAAATGCAGCCTTTGTGGAGGTAATAAGGTCCACTGTTGCTTTAGAACTGTACTTACACTAGAAAGTAGTTCCATCTTTCATCATCCACGTCAATAAAGCTAGCTGTTTCAATAAACCACATCAAGAAGGTCTGAAGCCTTTCATGATACTCTCGAAAGCCTGGGCATGTGATGTCAGCCTAGGGAAAAAGCCAGGAGAAGTCAGGTGAAACTCTTCACCAAAGGGAAGAGAGCACATCACAGAGCCTTATAAAGTGCCTCTGTGGGAAACTGTTTTATTAGCACACTGAAAGTGATCCTGGAGAAATAGCAACGTTTTACATATCACAAGCAATTATTTGAGGGTCACTTAAAAGTTGCCATGAAAGCTCTATCGGAAGGCTCTGTTTCTCCCCACCACCACCAAACACACACTTTTTACCTTGTATATTTGATACTTTACGTCTTCGCCAGCTTCTTCGTTATGCACAGAATATGTATGTAACAATGTCCCAAATGGCTTGAAATTGACCTCTTTTTCCAGCAGAGATACAAAGTCATCTGTACTTGTGCTAAAGCCTGGTGGAATAATTTCTCTAATTTTACTTTCCACATCATCTGCCTGAAAACAAGAGGTGGGGAGATAGAGAGAGAGAAGCACTGAGAATAAGGAATTGACTATTTCTAGAATTCACATAGGGTGGTGTGCTTATGCCCTGTGATTGTTGAAGCGCTATTTAAAGCACCCAATGTGGTTTCCTAAAATTTTGCACAGGTCCTTGTCCCAGACACAACAAAATGGTACACATGGGACCTTGCCACTAGGTGCCCCCTTGTGGCCCTTAGTTTACAAAGCTCAGAGCATTCATACGCACCCCCTAGTCCGTTATCACATTGTTCAAATCTAGTCTTTCAAAGGATCCACCAGTAACACGTTATAGTGCAGCATTCCCGGTTTAAGCTGTGCTCAGGGAAACTGCCTCTCCCTTATTGGAGGCAAAAAACCAGCCTGATCCCTCAGACCGTTTCTCAGGCTCACAAGGGTGGACACAGATACACAGTAATGTTGTGGCCTGCTCTTCAGTTGCCTTCCTTTTGAGGTAAGGCAGGGTAGGAGGTTAAAACATACAAGGTCAAGCAGGATCTTGAATGTTATCAGCACTGGAATAAGAAGTCTGCATGTTAAGTAAACTTAATTGCTGAGTCGGGAAGACAACATTCCTGATGAGTCATTGTGCTTTGGGTAATATACTCATGGTAAGATACTTCAGTTTAATAGCAGGTTAAACTGAAGCATCTTACTTCAGAAAACAGCTTTTCCACGAACACAAGATTCAGATTCTGCCTTTCTTTTAAAAAACAACAACCTGGAGCACTGGCATTTCATTACAGTAATAAAGAAGCTGGTAACCTTTTACCATAACGGTCTAAGAAAAGGGAAATTTTAAGACAGTGTACCACTCCCCACCTCAGTAATGGTCAATGCCACTAGCTCATTAAACTTTAGATAAGCTAAAAGGAAAAAACGGAGGAGAATCTAGTTCAGATTCTTGACTCTCAAGAGTTCCTTCCTTCTTGTCTGCTGCCAAGTCCTGACTAGGCACCTCAGTGCACTTATTAAATGCAGTCAATGCAACTTTGGTCTGCTGATATGCTGGCTGGGCAGGCCCACTGTATCTGCTTCTTGCAGACGTCTACCATTCAATATGGAATTCTTAAGTGAACAGTCTTTGATCACTCTTTCGGAGTAACACGTGTGCAATACAATCCCACACCCTCAAGGCGAAGCAAAAGCAACCCAAACAAATTAGGGTATTTAAGGAACTAACTGGCAGCAACAGGACAAACTCTTTTCCAGCCTGAATTCTGGTTTACACATAGTACAAGGAAAAAGCCCAAACACTCAAGTGTCAGGAAAATACAGACTTGGGAGCATGGTGGCAAGCCAATATAATTTATGCGCTAAAGACCCAAGGGGGGGGGGAGGAACTTCTTTTGCCCAAAGAATTTTTTTAATGCAATTTAACCAAAAGGGTGGGGAGGTTTTACAAGCAAAACTGAATTAAGATTAGCCTTGTTAAACAGCCAAATTGAATGTTACAGACTATCAGCTGAGCAGACATCATAATCCCTTTCAGGCCCCCAAAAGACCACTTGATTGAATACATTTACTACTTCTCCTTAACCATGAATATTTGATGAAGTTTCACAATAACGTATTGCCGCTTCTCACCAGGCAATAAAACTTAATGAATTGGTCTCAACTTAACAAAACCCTAACCCCCTCAATGCAACCCCTAAAAGCCTGACATTACATTCAACAAAATGAGCTTACATTCTATTCAAACCCTGCTCCCAACAATGAGTCCAGGTTTTTACTTAATGGAGTTTGCCGTGAGTTCAGCTGTAATGTTTGTATTGTATCTATTTCCATAAGGGCTGACACAAGAACACTTTGTGTTAACTTACTAAGCAGCTCTTTCACACCGTTTACATGCATGATAAGTATTAATTCTGAACCAAGACCATTGCTACTTAGCATTCAAAACAGGGAAATTAAGACGCTTAGGACAAAATACACTACAAAAGGCTAATACAACACACTACTAATTCCTGTTCTTTCAACTGGAGTCCTCCTAAGTAGAAGCAATGCACCTGCAAATGAATAATACTTTACTATCAGCTATATCGGGGGGATGTAGAATATGGGCAGAGTTCAGTCTACACACACTCCATTATTAATGCTTTGGTGCCACCAACTTTCATATTTAATCAGCCTTATCTTCCTAAAGAGCCATTATGTGCGGCATGCACGGTAGCTCTGCGACACTTGATTTTGTCTTGTGCTACTGATTAGACACCTTCAAATAAAAATTAAGAACATTTTCCTATATTAAATTTATCTAGTAAAAGTGCAGCAAGAGCGTGCCTGCGGCTAAATTAGGAATACCAAATGAGTTTCTAAAGAGTGCTTTTTTAAAAAACAAACTATTCAGGAGTGCTAGAATGGCAAATTTTTAAATGTACGTTTTAACAGGGAAGAGAGGTGGATGAAAGTCATAGCTCATTCCCATTCCCCCATATAGAACCCCTTTGTTACTATTTCTCAATATTTTACAAATATAACACACTACATACTATGCTATGTATCATATCATGCACCTAATGTAAAGAAACACCTTTTGGGTAGATTTTACCTAGTCTGAAGTACTGCTAAGGACTTCTTATTGTGTTCTACTCCCTATTGCATGGGTTGGGTACCTGTGACATTCAGGATGTTATTTTATTTATTGGTTCAATTGATATCCCACCCTTCCTCAGTTCGCTTGATGCCAGACAGGTTGCCACCTAGCAGTAATGCTGCTCATATCAACCCAGTCAGCGTGACCAACTGTAGGTGACGATGGAGTTACAGTTCAGCAAAATCTTGATGGCCACAGGTTCCCTATTCCTGATCTACTGAAAGGCAGTTTGTTCCATGCAGGGGTATAAAATCTTTTGCAACAGTTAGAAGCAGGAATACGTAAAGAGAAAGTTGGCCGGGAGATGGATATCCGAGTATTCAAGAGAAAAGAGGGTTCCCGTTCTTCCTGGCACATTCTAGTATGTTATTCTCCCACAAAACATCTCAGCCTTCCTTTTAGACAATAAGCAGTGGTGAAGAAGTGCCAATTATGATAAAGGTTCAAGTTTACCTAGAAGTTACAGCCTCTGATTTACAAGGCCTTCCTTCAAATGACCACAGAAGTGGAGCATAAGCGCTCTGCATAACCTCACAGCTATATATGTAAAGGTAAAGGGACCCCTGACCATTAGGTTCAGTCGTGGCCGACTCTGGGGTTGCGGCGCACATCTCGCTTTATTGGCTGAGGGAGCCGGCGTACAGCTTTCGGGTCATGTGGCCAGCATGACTAAGCCGCTTCTGGCGAACCAGAGCAGCACACGGAAATGCCGTTTACCTTCCCGCCGGAGTGGTACCTATTTATCTACTTGCACTTTGATGTGCTTTCGAACTGCTAGGTTGGCAGGAGCAGGGACTGAGCAACGGGAGCTCACCCTGTCGCGGGGATTCGAACCGTCAACCTTCTGATTGGCAAGTCCTAGGCTCTGTGGTTTAACCCACAGTGCCACCCGTGTGTGTGTGTGTGTGTATGTGTATGTGTATATTTATAAATATTTATATATTCCCAAGTTGAGCTGTATCCAAAGCAGAGGTTCTGAAGAGGCACCTGAGGCAGCCTTTACTCAAATTTGGCCCTGCTTCTTGGAAAGGCATTTGGAGGAGGGGGGAGTGTAAATATACAGTAAGAAAGAAGGGGCCAAGAAGACTAAAATAGAGAGTGAGGGGAAAAAAAACATGTAGATAAGGGGAGAAAGAGAATAGAAGGAAAAAGTGTATACAAAAAAGGCTGCATTAAAAACAACAAAAATGTGTTAAAGAACAATTAAAGATGGTAAAGTGGTGGTGGTGGGAGAAAGATGATAGTCCACACCACATTTCTTTACATTTGGCCTTTCCCTCTAATATGTATAAGTTTCAGATTTCTAAGATTGTGGACTGGCTAGATTTAAAAACAAGAAATGCAGCACTAAATACACACGCAGCTATACGGCCTGCTCCTATTGTAAAGGAAGAACAGTGGTCAAGATTAGGGTTATTCTGCAGTGCATACGGCCTTGGTAAACAACCGTGTGGCGTTATAACGTCTATCTAAGAAAATCTTAAATCGGAGATGTGCTGTATTACCTAACCTGCTGATATTAACACATTCAGGCCGTAACCACGAGTGTGGAACATGGGGTCTTCCAGATGTTCTAGGGACTCCCAATTCCCACCACTCCAGATCACTGGACCACATCTGGAGGATCACTGCTAAAGACACTAATTTGGTAGGAAGTCCTATTGAACTCATTGGGATTTATGCTTGGAATAGGCATCATTAAGTAAAACAACGACTTTGGGTATACCCCAGAAAAGAAGCTGTAAGGAAAAAAAGAATAAGCCTCAAAAATATCTAGGGCTGACATTTTTTATGCAGTAAACTACTTTACCAACCTCTTGCTGAATGGTTCGATTTTGAAACAGGATGGAAGTCTGACGAGGGAAGTGTATTGCTAAACCTGGTGAATACCCTTGTTTGTGTTTATTAATGTGGTGTGCAAGGCAGCTAGCTCCTAACACCTGCCCCTTAATGTGGCTTTGCTGCCCCTTCCCCCAATACACGTCCTCAATACATGTGCCTTAATATTCCACAATTGTGTTTAATTCAGTGAGGCCAAATGCAGAAGATGGGGAGGGATAATCTGTATCAGATACATCATAGAATGTAAGAACGCCCCTTTCCCCACGACATTCCACTTGACATGTGCAAGTATTCATTCTGCCGAACAAGAAGCCTTACATTCAGGCAGACACTTGAGATCATTTAGGGATCTAAAACTTACTTTAGAATTAGGACATTTAGCGTAACTCGAATGGTAAATGCGGGACATGGCTGCACAGAAGGAATTTCACCAAATAATTTAAACACAAATAAAAAATATACCAAATTTTGCACTCATACAACTTCTATGTCTATGCCCCATGAAAACAGCCATCTTCTTGATGGAGACCAGGGTGGCAGATGTTACTTCTCTTTGTGCAGTTTTGTGAAGAACTACACAATGCTTCAGATGTATATACTGAAGAGGTGCCTTTGCAAAGCAATTCCAGAAAGTATACATTAGGGATGAATGAATTAGTCGCTTTCTAATCAGTGTCAGTTTCACATTTTTTTTACCTGTTAATGGTCACATTAATTAGTAACTTTCCCCCCCCCCAAAATTCAAAACTCATGTTAATGCTCAGTTTGAATTTGCTAGTTTTCACGCTTCTCCAAATATTGCCATGAAGTTCTCATCAGTTTAAATGCATTTAAACTGATGAGAATTTCACTGCAACATTTGGAGAAGCGTGAAAACTAGCAAATTCAAACTGAGAATTAGTCCACAATGTGTTGAGCAGGTCACCTTATGTAGGAATTCACAACAGTGATGTTATTTGAGCACCCCCGCTATACATTTAGTTAAGACCAGCTTTGAGTAACCAATCACAGAAATGCTAGTCCAGAAATCCAATCTCTGAAAAAGAGTTTAAAAAAAAACACAATGGAGGATCAAAAAGTCTGGGTTAAAAGTCAAGCTGAAAGCTAGTTGAGAGATGGTGTAGTGCAAGGGTTGCCAAACCTTTTTGAGCCTGTGGCCACACTTAAAAACCAGAGAAGTTGCTGTGAGCACCACACACTGAAATCCAGGCTATTGGTTACAACAGAATGCTTGCTTCAAACCATATTTCAGTGGGAGGAGGAGAGAGGGAGGTGACTCAGTGGGTAGTAAGAAAGGCCTCTTTGGGAATGTGAGTATAATGTTGATGACTGGTGATTGTGCAGTATCAGACTGAGTTGTGAACGAGGAAGTCTCTGGACTGAACCTTGCCTCTGCTGAGAACTTACTAGACCTTTTGTGTGCTGCTTTCCATCAGACCCTCCCTCCACGCAGACACAGGTGGTGCTGTGGGTTAAACCACAGAGCCTAGGACTTGCCGATCAGAAGGTCAGCGGTTCGAATCCCTGCGACGGGGTGAGCTCCCATTGCCCGGTCCCTGCTCCTGCCAACCTAGCAGTTCGAAAGCACGTCAAAGTGCAAGTAGATAAATAGGTACCGCTCCAGCAGGAAGGTAAATGGCGTTTCCGTGTGCTGCTCTGGTTCGCCAGGAGTGGCTTAGTCATGCTGGCCACATGACCCAGAAGCTGTACGCCGGCTCCTTTGGCCAATAAAGCGAGATGAGCGCCGCAACCCCAGAGTCGGTCACAACTGGACCTAATGGTCCCTTTACCTTTATCTTTCCATTAGACCCAGACCCTCCCTCCAGCCTGCAATATGAGGGATAATGATACCAACTTAACTTACAGAGTTGTTACAACCATTTCACTCATAAATAATGAGATTCTGTATAAAGGGATGTAATGATACTGGTGCCGCAGATAATTAGTCACAACAACTGTGATTTTCAGGGAGTACATTTCTCTGTGATTTTGAGGAGGTACATTTCTCTGAAATAGCCATCTGCTTTAGCTAGAATCAATGGGTGACCAACTCCTTTGTGGCAATTTATGAATTGCGGCCTCTGGTGAACTTCTTTAAAATATAAAAATAAAAACTTCGCAGCATATATGCAAATTAAGACTCCTTCAGTTTTAAATGAGTAAACAACGCTTCTGTACTGCACAAGGCTTATGTTTTTTAACAGTTGTTGCTCCTAATTAACGCACCACTCACACTGATAAATTTCTGTACAGATCACATCTTAAGGAGAAACAAACCTGTTTTTATGCGGTGCTATTGTTTTCCCTCAATGTGTACCAAACTGGATTTTCAACACTACTCTTAAAAGCGGCAAAAATATACCCGAACTGCAAATTTATTCCAAATGTTTTTATATATGTTTTAAGGAACTGGTGTTCATTCCAAGTACTTTAAAGATGTTTAGTCACTTGGGTGCTGCTATATCGCTCTTCCTGAAATTTCTTTAGGCTTTACACCAGGCATAGGCAAACTCGGCCCTCCAGATGTTTTGGGACTACAACTCCCATCATCCCTAGCTAACAGGACCAGTGGTCAGGGATGATGGGAGTTGTAGTCCCAAAACATCTGGAGGGCCGACTTTGCCTATGCCTGCTTTACACAGAACACAGAAGTGACGTAGTGTTCCAATCCACAACCTGGAGTGCTTATGAACACAAGGAGACAGACAGAGTGGATGAATTTGTATGATGAGCTTTAAACAATGCAGAAAAGGCTTTGGCCAAGAAGCAGATCTTAAGAGCAGCAATTTGAAGGAAGAGAAGTTTTCCTTTTGGATAAGAAAACTACCGTTGGTTCTGTGAGAAAGGATTGCCATTTAACAAAGTTGGATACTGCTTTGAGTGTTGTTGAAATGGAAAAATACAATAGAATTATGTAAAAAAGGGGGGATCTGAATGATCAAAACCACCATCTGTATAATTTCCATTGATTTAAGTGATAAGTGCAATGGTGCAGGATTTTGGGAACAAGCGTGAGGTCGTAAAAAGCTTGAGAAGAGTAAAATGAAGGGTTCAGCTACAATGGCAAACTTATTTATCTAAGGTGACATCTGAACGTTTGACTTTACCTCCACACAGTCAAAGTTCTCATTAACTTTGGATGTATAATCAATGCGAAACAGTGTTGACAAGTTACCAGCAATGTAGTACAAAAGAATCTTCAGTCCCTTGTAACCAAAGGCAACCTCACTGCAGGAGAAAGAAAAATTAGGTTATAGCTGAACGCTAATCAACTCCACCAAGAAAATTAACTTCTCCTATACAGATAGATGTCATTACTGTTAAAAATTTTGAAGGATTTACCACTTTTAAAAACAGAGCCTTCAGTGTTGCCTTTAAAAATTCCTTCAGTTCACCCAAACATACCACTAGTCATTTCTCTAAATGTGTCTCATGAAACAAATTAGCCCAATTTACAAGTTTGTCAGTGATAGGTACAGCAGGTATTTCACCTTACACATGTATGGCTACATTTACAGTGGACGCTCGGGTTGCGAACGTGATCCATGTGGGAAGCACGTTTGCAACCCGCAGCACTCGCAACCCGCAGCGCCATGTGATTTGGCGCTTCTGCGCATAGTGCGATTTAGCACTTCTGCACATGCGCAAGTGCCAAAACCCAGAAGTAACCCGTTCTGGTACTTCCGGGTTCGGCACGGTGCGCAACCCAAAATCACGCAACCTGAGGCGTCTGTAACCCAAGATATGACTGGATATACTTTGTAGCATTGGCAGAGTTTGTGTTATTTTTGTCAGTGTCAGCTAAGGTTGGGTGATATATTGATATATCGTCCAAAACTGGTTTGAAGTCCACATTGTGTTATCAGTTTCATAATTTTTGACCTGGAAATATATCGTGAATCATTATGTTTTTGTGTATGTGCTATGCCGAAATCATTATATGGCAAAAAACCATGAAGCCAGCCAATGCCTCTACATAGCTCCATCCTTATTTCAGACATCGTGATATATCAGTATATTGTGATGTTTAGCGGGTGAAATATCATGATGTTGAAAACCATGTATCGCCCAGCCCTAGCGGGTAGGGCTTGCAACCTTGCAACTACAGAAAATTATAGGGCCATACAAAAATGCTCACTAGAATAGCTGCACTAGTACAAATATGTAATATTAATATCAACTTCTTAACTTATTTCTGACACTTTCTTGCATCACTTACTCATCCCCAAAAACTTGGTGGCTGAACTCTGGATGAAATGTTGTATTGTCATCTTCCAAATCCTCCTGAAAACGGACTGATGAGAAAAAGGACTGATTATAAGCTTTGCCAACATGTTTTACTTAATTCACAGAAGTCCAAACCAGTTAATACTTCCTTGCCTTCTTCTGCTTCAAAGGTCTGCCGGGGTCAGGCTTTCTACACTTAAAATATCCCATAGTTTTACTTTCTAAACATTAAATATAAATATTATCCCATTATAAAAACGATCTTATGTTAATTTTGCTGGTGGACAGAAGTGTGGATTCTTTTCTTCAGAACTTGGGGGGGGGAGCTGTTTTTCCAGAATTCCCTAGAGAAGGTGAATGCATGCTTCCTTAACACTTCTTGATTTGTCATTAAATTTTAGGGCTGCTTCACAGAACGTGTCCAAAGGTGGCCTAGTTATATTTTTTAAATAAATAAGAATAAAAAAGTGAATATTCTCTACACTCTGTTTAAGCCTGTCAGTGAAAGTCAAAACCCAGGCAAAAATCAATTCAATACATAGCTAACAACAGCCTTAACATGTGGTACTCTTTGTCAATTCCTAGACTCGTGTTAGCAAATTGCCACACAATAGTTGTTGTTTCCCCCCCCAATGTAAACAATTTGACTGTAACCTGCAGGTTGCAATTTGGTGACAATTACGTTGTTGATTTATGCTGTCCTCCACTCTGCAAGCAGCACACACTTAACATTTAACAGATGAGGAGCGGGAAAAGTACTTGCCCCAAGACCAGCTAATTCAAAGTTGAACAGATATTTAAAGCTGGGTCTAACACACTATTTGATGAACCACACCTGCCTCTACCTTTCACGAGTTCAGTGCTGATAGTAATGGTAATTACATGGTAATTTCAATCAGACAACTTTCAGACATATTCACTACATGGCTAGTTGTGAGGATGGAAAGTGTGCGCTATGAACTGCCATCAATGTTGTTTCTGTTCACTCCTTTCTGCAATAGTAATTAGGCAGTGATGCACCCGTACACAGGAACAGAAGAGAGGGAACAAACTAAGTTCTCTGGTGCTCTGCTAACTCTAACACTCCAAAATGGAGGCTCAAAGCAACACCTAAAACATTGCCAAGCTTAAGTATCAAAGCTATAATTTCAAAACCTTACCTAATTTTAGGTGAATTGCTTCATTTGTATTACACTTATACTCGGCCAATTTCTTTTCCATAGCAGAAAGCCCTAGGAAAACACATTTAAATAAGTTCTCACCGCAATTCAAACAATTTTCAAATAACGTTATCATTTTGGCTTATCCAACATAAAACTGTAGAGAAATAAACGGGAATTAGGTAGTGCTTTGAAGCATGAGTTGTTGTGTTAATACAAAACAAGGAAACCTGTAAGCCTGAGATGCTATATAAGAGGCCCACAAGATCCTGCTGTAGGTTCTCAGTACTTTTAGAATTCAGGCAAATAGTTACTTGCCTGATGCAAGTACAAATTATTCCCAGGCGATCAAGCAAAGGTGCTTTACACATTGGCTCTCAATGTAAGCATGCATGGGGCATGTGGGCTAGTATCATAGAATTGTAGAGTTGAAAGGGACGAGGGCCATTTGGTTCACCCCCTGCAATCCAGGAATCTCACTGTCCAAAGTGGAGCTCGACCCATGACCCTGAGTCTCATGCTCTATTGATTGAGCCAGCCTAATACTTTAAGCATATTGCCCTTTGCCAGAGGGCGATGCCACACTTGCCATGCCATGCACAACCGTGGAATGCTGCTTATTTGCAAGACAAAAATGTGACCTCTTTCATCCTGTGCCTCAGACAGCAAGATTTCGTTCACATCTCCTAGCCCTGCCATGACAGCCATTAACACGCAAGATCTTGCATGTTTGAGATTTATATTGGTTCAGACAAAACAGTCACAGATCTCCTGCACAACCCTGCAGTGATATTTTTCTCCCACACGGGAAGAGGGCATTTTCAGTGGCAAATAAAACGCTACTGCCAAATGGGGTTTCAAAATAAATAAATAAATAAATCTAGCTGTCTGGGTTTTGTTTTTCCCCCCAATAGTTTTGCTAAAATTATTTCATTAACGCCACAGAAAAAAATAAGAGGAATTATAAATATGGTTTAAGTCAGAACTTGGCTGAGGAACACATAATAAAAATGTTTGTTACATTTAGCACTACTACAGTGTTAAGTAAGGGGCCAATAATAATGGAACCACATACAGCCTCTAACAGTGCATTACAACAGACAGAGAAATCATAAAGTGGTCCTCCAAGACCCTCAGGAATTGTCAAGTGGTCTCCAGGGAGGAAATGCTTTGTCATGGGTTAAAGGAGAGTGTGCCTACCATTTTTGGTCTACAAATGAGCCAGGTGGACTGTCAAGGCACCGGTACATAAGATACCACTACGTGAAATGAAGTTCCAGAAAAGGAATTATAAAATTAGCCATGATACCAATTCCAGGCAAAATATTTTTTGTTATTGTTTGTTATTGTCCATGACAACATTTGGTACATATAAAAATATGATCAGTGACCACACCGCAGAGCTCGGAAGTTGAAGTTCAGTCCACTGATCTGTTAACCTCTGCATGCTGCTTAGGGTTACATTTTCAGTTCATGGTAAACACCAAGGGTTGGCAAGGCTTGCCGGGCCGGCACAGCACGACGCCAGAAATTGCATCTGCACATGTCTGCGGTGCCGGAAATCGCTTCTGTGCATGCCCAGACACCGAAAATCACACCTGCACAGAAGCAATTTTTGGCGTCTGGGCAAGCGCAGAAACAATTTCCGGTGCCACGAACATGCGCAGACGTGATTTCTGGAGTCTGGGCATGCGCAGAAGCAATTTCCTGAGCCGAGGAAGAGCGTCCCCACGCCGTGCTGGTTTAGCGCAGCACAGGGGGACTCACCAAATGGGCGGCTAGTTTCAGGGGCGGTTCGTGGGCTGCTTAAATGGCCTCTGTGGGCCGCAGGTTGGGGACCCCTGGTAAACACCATTTTGTTGTTTTTACACTTGCACTGACATGTTGCACATCCTTTCTTCTATCTACAAAAAAACTTCTCTGTAGGATACAGAGATGCATCAACTGTAGTGAGTGCATGTTTCAGTTCTCCATTTTCAAGTGTCCATCCCAAGTCTTCAAGACCTGGATTGACAGAAATCTGTATATGCTGTATCACCATGCTCTGACAGCAAACTCTTTTCAGTTATTTCAGTAATGTTCCACTAACTTCTTGTTGCTTGGTAGTGTGGAGGAAGTTTAATATGCTTGGGAGCCAGCTTCTTATCTCCACTCAAAATTTTGAGCAATACTTATAATTCTGCTCAGCTGACCAGCAGGTTCACTGTTGTCACCACTCTCCAAGATTTCTTCTGCTCCAAGCAAAATTCATAAATGCAGCAGCTAGACTGGTGACTGGGAGTGGCCGCCGAGACTGTATAACGCTGGTCCTGAAAGACGTACATTTGCTCTCAGTATGTTTCCAAGCACAATTCAAAGTATTGGTGCTGACCTTTAAAGCCCTAAATGGTCTTGGCCCTTGAACCAGGCAGAGGGCCTTCTTGGTAGTGGCACCCGCCCTGTGGAACGCCCTCCCATGAGATGTCAAGGAAATATCTGACTTTTAGAAGACATCTGAAGGCAGCCCTGTATCAGGAAACTGTTAATGTCTGATGTTTTACAATTTTTTATATGGGTGGGGAATAATAGTAGTAATAATAATATTACATAAACAGGCTATTAGTTACAATATTAAAGCAGTGACATAATCAATACCAAGCATTTTGAAGACCAGAATGAACCCTGACATCGTTATGAATCTTCAGTGTAGGGTATACTAGAGGAAGGCGCCAAGCATCTGTGAGTTTGCGTACAGGCATTCTAGCAAGATCATAAAGTTTAAGGTAGTCATCTAGAGTTTTGGCTGTGGATAACTCTCTTAGCTGGAACAATAAGGTATGAAGTTGTATCAAAATCGTCTCTTCCATTTGCCACATATATTACTGTGTCCCCAAGTAGCAACCATGTTTTTTAAAGAAGGTTAATTTATCACTTATGTTACTGGCAGGGATAGCCAAAGATGAGCATTCTTCTATCAATACCATACATGCCATTCCCATACATTATTTAGCTTGGAGCTTTCCAAACTGTGTGTTGCGACTTTCGTGTGTTGACTGCAGTGCGTAGGTGTGTTGCATGAACACTCCCCATGCTCCTCCTGGAACTGGAAAGCAGTTAGTATAACATCTGGATGCTTCTTTTAACTAACTGATTTTTCCCTTGTGTTTGTAGTCAAGAGTAGGAAGTATCATAACACACCACACATTTGTTTTCACCTGTTCATAACAATTAAACTTTTGAACTATATATCAATGCACATTCTCTTCAAACTTGATTCTCTGGAATCTTGCACCTTTGCAAGTCCTTGCTCAATTACATGTCTCACACAATCATGTATCAACTCTTGACAAAATCTGCAGATCTTTGCATTGCAGGTATCTCCTCAAAGAACTGACAGGATCAATTGCTATTTACATGCAGAGCAAGGTAAAAAGAGGTTGACAGAGGCCTTGTAAGTATGACCAGTGAAGCCAAGCCAAGGAAAGTGAACAGGGATCTGGGATGCAGATCAAATGACCCAGACAAACACTAGAATAAATGAAAAATGTTCTTAATATCTGCCTTTTCCCAACACCCCCTCCTCCCTCCTAACAACCATTGCCTAGCATCTGTTACCATGACACCCTCTCTAATGTTCCATCTTCCTGACCGCTGTGACCTGTGGACTATATACCACATGAGCCCCTTTCTCAAGTTCTCTTTCCCAAATTCCACCTCCTTGGTCAAAAAAATTGCTGCCAACCTATGGCCTGTAGACCAGCACTTCTTTAACTTTCTGTGTCCTCCTACCTAGCATGCTCCCCAAGAACATAAAAGATAGGACACATGCTGTTCTTATAAGTTAGATGATGGCAGTTGCTTGCTTTCCATTGAGGGCAACAGTCCCATTTCTCCCCAACTCATTTTAACAAAAATGGCATTCACACTCTCATTTAACTTAGGACACAGCAATTTATTACATTACACAAATTCAACATGGAGATAAAACACCCTCAACTTCCAAGCTTTGAATTTTAAGAATCTGTAAAGTGGTGGCATGTAAAAAGTGTCATAATTATGAACAGATGTTAAAAAAATAAACTTCACAATAAACCTTGTGAAGATGGTTAGGGGGGGAAATAAACTTGATAAGTTTGATAAGATGGTACACAATAAACAAAAATATGAAAACTGTTTGACCCCCTTGCAAGATGGCAGTCAAGCTAATAAGAATCTTTTTCTGGCAACCTAGATTTTTTAAATTTAGCATATTACTGTTTCAGAAAAACACTCACATGCTCTTTTTTTTAAAAAAAGATATTTATTGAGATTTTCAAAATGTTACAAAAAAGAGAAAAAATAAAATAGAAGCAGAAAAGAGTACAAAGGGTAAAAATAATTGACATAATAGAAAAAAAAGGGGAAAAAAACCAACCCCTTCCCACCATATACGAAAAAATTCCAAATGAGAAAAAATGACAGAAAAAAAGAAAAAAAGAAGAATGCAAAAATCACAAAACTTTAAAAACATTTAAAAACAAATTCATTATTTTCAAATCCTTAACTGTCATTACCTTCTTTCTTAGACCTCCTCCTCCTCCCTTTCTTTGTATCCTAGTTATTAATTATCCCAGCAAATCCTTGACCTTATCTTTCTATAATAAAATAAACCTTAAAACTTAAAACTTAAATCTTATCCTTACCAACTTCTCATAATCATAATATTCTTTCATAATTCTTTAAACATCTTTGCTAAAGCCAAGTAATTTCATTCCAACATTTTTCTATCATTCATCAATTTTATAAAACAGTTCTAATGGTAGAAAAAGAGGTATAAACAGATCCAATCTTCATCCAGCGTCCCTTCCTCCTGGTTCCGGGTTTTGTCAGTCCTTATTCCCGTCAATCTAGCCCATTAACCTGGCAACCTTATGTCCGAGGCCCTCAAGTCTCTTCCATGACCCTTCCGCGGCTCTTCTTCATATTTGTAACTGTATTTTCCCTTGTCTCCTGCTCGTGGTAACTCCAGCTTGACAATGTTTTTAACCCTTCTCAACAGATCAGCCCCTTTTCCATGTTCAACAATGAATTCCATGTAGTATTTAAAAGCATGTTTCAAAGGCCCTCCAAAATTGAGAGCCCCCACAGTCCCAAACATCTCACGGCCCGTTGCCATATTTGAAAAGTCCAAACATCCCAGCATAGGGGGGTCAATCCAGCCCCCCATTTCCAAACCAAGCCAAACTTTTCCTTTCCAGATATGGCTTTTTCCAAGTTCATTTGTCAAATCCAAAAATCATATTCCTGTTGGGCCTGTTCTGTCAAAACACACTCCTGATTTAATGTCAAAAACTCCTGTTCTGTCAAGACACACTCCTGATTTAAATCCTGAGTGGGCTCCACATATTTTCCCACTGTCTGTTCAAAGTTTCCCACTGCCTGTTCAAAATTTCTAGTCGAAGTCGCCATCCAATTCACCTTCTCGTGTAATTGTTCCAGTAGATCGTTTGTTTTATAGAGAGCATACAACAAGGCTTCTGAATACATTGTCCTACAAGGTCAGATACTTGTTCCCACGGTTGTAATCTGTAACAGCTGTCGACTCCCTGGAGTTAGTTACAGTTTCACAGTTACAATTTCACAGACTCCCCCTAGGGGGAAGACTTCTATTTATTCTTGCAACAAAGTTTCCTTTTTTAAGATACTTTGTCCATATATAATCCTTTAAAATGCGAAAGGGAACAGTGGAATCACTAGGTTTCTCTTCTTTTAGCCATCTGTCAAAAACACTTGTCTTTGGTTAATGAACTTCACACGTCAGTCCTGACAGCCCGCTCCAGGATCAGGACGGAGGAAAGTTACTTCACTTTAAAGTCACTTTAAACAGTCCAAAAAGATCCCCCCCTTCTCCTGCTGTCGAAGGGGGGTTCCACAATTTTAAATGGTGAAATCCAATCTTTTAAAAGCGATTTCCTGAGCTCTAGTTTAAATTGCCTTTGCTTTATTCTGTTTACAAAAGAACGGAAGGATGACTTCCTGTTTAGACCTTCCTGTTCCGTACCAAATTCAAGTAAATTTTTTAAAGTCCGATTCTTTCCTACTCGCAAGTCCTTATTTGATGTCCAATTGTTCAAAGTCTAAGTACTCACGGGTGCTTATTTTAAAGTCCAAATTGTCCCAGGAAAAGGCAGCGCTCTCCGGCAACAGCTATGCGGCTTCGCTCCACGGAAATAGCAGTTGACTCACAGCACCGCGCCACTTCCCCCTCTTCACTTCGGAGCCCGTTAGTGGGTTCCTTAGCGGGTTGGGGGGGCGCTAAAGGTGCCCGCCGAGTCCCATGGTCACAGGCTTCATCCGCCTGTGATTTTTAAGTGGGTCCCCGCTTCGCCGTAGCGGAGAAGACCCGTTTTCCGCGGAGCTAGTCCCTGCAGTTCAGAGGGAGTCTGCCATTGCTGGTGGCGCCACCCCGGAAGTCCAACACTCACATGCTCTTAACCCCCACCCTAAAAAAAAAAAAAAAAAAAGCCTGCATCCTTAATCTTAGGGAAGTGGTCCAGTTTACTGTGTGGAGACACCTTCAAATAATTAACACACTAAGGGCGTGTCAAGTGCTTTCAAAATCTGAATACACCAGCAGATCAAAAGTTAGCGCAATAGCAGCCCAACATTTCAACAAATGTACCATGTCCAACATGTCAGAGTACCATTCCAATACAACTGCAATTACATATTGCAGTACACACATTTCTTCCCAGCCTCCACCCATATGACCTGATGTGGTTTTGACACTAGCCTAATGAGCTAGAGAGAAGCCAGAACAGTATAGGAATCTAATATGCCATAGCCAGGCCTGGGGGACAAACTAAGTCCAGGACCTTCATGACTGCATGCATGCCCCAGGTTGGTTAGCTATGTTTTAGAGCAAGATTGGGAAATTCCTCATTCCCTCAGGATTAATCTGTTGGGAGGCTGCTGCTGGCAGTCCGCAAAGACAAACATAGGCAGTGTCAGAAACAAAAGTGTTCTGGATTAACTAATTCAGAAGAAATAGTGCTTTGCTTCAATTTTCATGATACCTCAGATTAGAATTCCCAATCCTAATTTACATAGAAGTAAGCCGCAACGGGTTTAATGGGGTACACGCAGAAATTTCTTTTAGTACATCAGATCAGTACAGCTACTGTTCTGAAAAGCAAGTAAAAGGAATTCCTTTATAACTTTCAGTGTGTCATATACATACACACTAAGGAAAAACCAACCAATTTATTCTCAGGCAGCTAGGGTGGGGGACTTATTTTAGCTATGCAACAAGGGAAAGTGTTTATTTTTTAAAACAACAACAACACTGCCCCCTCCAATTGTTCTGAAACTATAAATGAGGGAAAGACTTCAAAAACAAGGAGGAAATGAACAGGAAGGAAGGAACTCAGGTGGGATGGAAGAAAGGGGCAGCTTCAGAAAGTGATGGAGGGCACCTAAACTGAAGGTTGCCCACCTGCACTGCAATTTAGAGTATCTCACTGTAAAATATATACTTAATTTATAAACAGACTAATTTTATACATGTCTCTTTAAAAGCAAGTCCCATCAACTTCAATAGGACTCACTTCCAAGTAAACTAAGCAGCCAAACATGATACATGTTTACTTAAAAGTAAATCCTGCTGAGGGTAACTCAACCAACCGGTCCATCTGGGCAAGGATTGGAGCTTGCCAGATGGAACAATCTTCCCTCTCTTCCCCTATGCGCTGTTTTTTTTTGGGGGGGGGGGTTCTCCAGATTCACCCCAAGCCAATTTCAGGGGGGGGGGCTGGGGGGAAGCTCCATTGGGTAAGCAGAAGTCTTGTGTGAGGCTTCCACTGGGCTTCACCTAATTCACAGGTTAGGTGAATCCCACTCACTGTGTTCAAATGGGCTTACTATTAAGTATGCAAAGGATGTCCATCTCAGTAATTTCAGATGATCATGGCAACCTGCCCCAGAAATATTATATTGTGTGGGTGAAACACAGTGTTAGTCATAGTTATACTAGATAAGTGGACTTAACTAACCTAAGTCCACCAATTTAACCGACCTATTCAGAGTATGATTTAGTTGCATATTAACCTATGCACTTAACGCAATAATAATATTTTTGAGCTAATCACAGATAAAATGGCATACCAAGGACATTGGTGGTTCAGTGGTAGAATTCTTGCCTGCCATGCAGGAGGCCCAGGTTCAATTCCTGGCCAATGCAACTCGCCTTTAATGCCTACCTCTGGGATAGCTCAGTCAGTAAAGCATGAGACTCTTAATCTTAGGGTCGTGGGTTCAAGTCCATGGTGGGCAAAAGATTCCTGCATTGCAGGGGGTTGAATTTGTGGTCCTTTTCCAACTCTACAATTCTATGATTCTACCCTAAGGCTCCAAATATCAAGCAGTACATAGAAAGTCTCTGTCTTTAAATCAGCATGGGTACAACCACTTTGAAAGAGGAAAAAAGACGTGCCCAAAGTTAGAATAAAACTGCTAGCTGCACAAGTAAGGGGTCGGGGGGCTGCAGCACTTCAGAACAGAAGCAATCTCACAGCAAGGCATGGGGCTGCGCATCTCCGCCCTTCAAATTTTTTTTTTTCCAAAGGGGAGGAAGGGGCGCTTAATTCTGGCACAGCGGCAGGGGACCCGTTTTAGGAACGGGTCCAGACCCACCTGTCGAAACGCACGCGAACTGCAGTGCCCATGCTTCGTCCTTTACTTTCCTGACAGGGTGGAGATGGGGGGCTACTCTGTCCCCCACTCCACGTCGCACCCCATGGCAGTTCCCCCCACCCACCCCGAGGTCCTATAAGTTGCCCGCCCACCAATGGCAACGGGTCCCGAGTGAACTTCGAGGCGGCCGCGAATTTCAGGGCCCGGGTTCGGAGGCAGCCCCAAGGCGGAGGCGTTTTTCCCAGTCAGAGAGGGAGAAACCAGCCCACCCGGGTAACCGGCAACCGTTTTCCCGCGCAGCAGAGACCGCAGCTTCCCGGGGCTACTCGGACGGGACGCGGGCCACTTCCAGCTCACGCCTTGCCTCAGGGAGGCCTAACCCAAGCAGCCGGCCAGGCTCTCTTTCTCTCCCGCCATGACCCGCTTACCCGCCATTTCCGAAGCGGCGGCAGCGGCGGCCTCGGGCGCCAAGCGAAGCCCTCCGAGCCAGCCCAACTGAGCGAATCAAGCCGCGCGCCCACACGCCGGAAATAGCGTCGCGAAGGAGGGACGCACACGCACGCACTTCCGTTCTCTCTAGGCTCCAGGCTGGAGAGGAGAGACGCGGGCAAAAAACGTTAGGAGCGCCGGCGCATGCGCGGCGTTCTGGGAAGCGCCCTTCCTCCACTGTCGGGCGCTGACCTTCGCACGGAACTCCATTCCCAAGGGCTTATTTGCATAGCTCCGCCCAGCTCCCTTCCAACGCTCCGCCCTCTCGGGCTGAACGCCGGGTTCGCTGGGCTATGCAAGATAGAGAGCGGTCTTCAAAAATGCGATGGGCTTTGGAAATAGCTGCTCTTCTTCACACCAGTAGGGATGGGAGAAATTCGCTTTAGTTCGCATTTAAACCGAATTTGTCAAATGTATCTGCAAACCAATGTTCAGCAACAACAAAATGAATCCGTTGACATCCCTCTGTCATAGGAGACAATGGACCAGAACCTGCAAGGGAAACTTTTTTTATTCTTAATATTTCTCTTTTGTGCGAATGCATGTCTGTGCAAAAAAGCTGTTTTAATTGTAAAAAAATAGAAATACCGTAAATGTGCCTTCAGCAGCTGGTTGTGGGAAAAGGCAGACTGCAAGCCTTTCCTTTGGGCTGATGGAAACAAAATGGAAATAAGGGGCACAGAGGGAGACAGCACCCTGCCAAACATCACCACAGGCAGAGGATTTCTTCAGCCAGAACTCACAGAAACTCCATTCCATCACCTCTCAGGTGGGCACCATTGCCAAGGTGTTTTGTGATGATTTTCCTAGAAAAATAGCACGGACCACAGGTATATATACAAACAAACCCCATCACCCACAAACAAGAAATATCCCAATCAAACAGGTCTCCTCATAGGAGCAGTGTGAGTGGGTGCTCAGCACACCACGTAGAAAACCCCAGGCATAGTAATAGGGGCAATCTCATCCTTTATTTCCACCCTGTGGCTCCAGTCCAAATCATCTGTCAGGAGGGCTGTTCCCAGGACGCAGGCCTGGCCAGGACGGCTGAGGCAGCTGCTTCACAGGTGGGCTGGCCTTGCTTTCTTATATCCGATTCTGTTGCTGTGAGGGATAACCGAAGATCACCCCTGTCCGTTATGTTAAGGCGATTCCACATTAGGCTGAGTCACCCTTTCATGCACCTTTCACAATAATACTTACACGAAGAAACAGCACCTCACACACTAACACTGCTGCAGCCACACACCTTGCCCGTGACAAACGAGATTCAGACAGCTTGGTGCACACAGCGACAGAGTGCAGAAGTGGAAGGGAGAAGGAAGCAGAAGTGACGTTGCCGCAGAGTGTATGTGGCTCTCCATCCATTGGGAAGCACGGTAATTTCTCTGTTCGCTCTACTTCTCTGTTTTCTGTTTTCTTCACTTTTCTGTTTTATTTTCTCGGTCACTTCTCTGTTTTCTTCACTTTTCACTTCCCTCTGTGGCCCCCTAGTCTTGTGTGACATGGACCCCCATTTATGCAATTTTCACATGTGGCCCCCTTGGAATATACGGGGGGGGGGAAATATGGCCCCCAGGTGGGGAAAACTACTATAAAGCACTTTGCATACAGTGGTACCTCGGGATGCGGACGGGATCCATCCCGGAGCCCCGTTCACATCCTGAACAGAACGTAAGACACAACTGCGCATGCGTGGGTTGTGTTTTGCCACTTATGCACGTGATGTCATTTTGACCGTCTGCGCATGCGCGAGCGGCAAAACCCACTCCATTACTTCTGGGTCGCTGTGGAGCGCAACCCAAAACTACTTATCCTGAAGCGTATTTATCCCGAGGTATGATTGTATTATGTTGCCAGAAGGGCGCTGTCCAACATACAAGGAGGCTGGAGGTTTGCAGAATTATAAGTCTCTCAACCTACTGCAAACCCCCAGGTTACAAACTCTAAAAAAAAAGAGGTCACAAACGGACTGGGATTCTCCATCGATAGAGATTTGCGGTTCCCTATAGTAATTATACCCCTCTATATTCAAAAACAGCACATTAGACCAAAGCAAATCAGATTCAGAAGATCTCATATTTTTCTGCTTGTCTAGTTTGCCTATTTTGGCTCTTTAAAGAGTTAATCACATGTCTGGAAGCAGTTTGATAAAGCTGAAGTTAGTGTTTAATGTGTATGCTAAACAGTCAAAGCTATTTTAAACATCAGCTCCATTCAGAACTACCAATCTAGTGTAATAACACACTTGATACTACAGGATAATATCCCAATCACAGGTAACAGAATTAAATAACAAGTAACAAATGAGGGAAATAATGAATGCTGAATATTTCAGTAACAAAACTGTTAACATGGAATGCATAGCTTTTCAAAGCAAAAAATGAGGACGATAACAGTATAAATCAAGAAACACACAGTTTCCAAATGGTTGGTTGTTTTGGGGGTTTTTTGTAACTAATGTTTTTATTATTTAAATTTTGTTAGAGTATAAAATCTCCCCTAAACGTGACCAAAATCTAGAATGCGATGTTAATTGTGCATACAGGACAATCCTAAACATCATCAAGCTTGCTATCCAGTCGGCAACAAAAATAAAACAAAAACCATGGGGCATTTGCCTCGCCCCAGATGCTACCCAAACCCAAGACCCAGTCACACCCAGACTGTCTGAAGAGTCCAAAACCTAGACCAGTGGGATAGGACAAGTTTCATAGGCAGGCAGGTAGGTAGTCACAGGCTTAGACTCTGGATTTTATAGGTACCAACTCCTAGGGGCTGTGGGGGCTTTGGCACCCACAATAAAATATTTGAGGGGGCCGGGCCCACACAAAATTGATGGGCATTCCCATTCAAATGGTGAGTGTGAACTGCATCATGTGATGTGGGGCTGGGCTTAACTGTGCTCCCACAACATTTTATTCAAGTTGGCACCCCTGCTGTATGTGGCAGCCCACTAGAAAAGGCTGTGCCTACATCAGGGGTACCTCCAGATGGTGTTTGATTAGTTTAGCCTCAGTCAGCATGGCTAGTGCAGAGGAGCAATGGGAGTTGTAGTACACATCATCTGGAGTGCACCGTGTTGGCTTCGCCTCCCTGACCTACAGTGTGATGCCACCCACTTGGCCCTCACATTACCCATGTTGTGTTTTGCATTGCCTAGTCCTCTGCCATCCTAACTACACACGCAACCCCACTATCATTAACTTGACTGTCTGGGATCTGCTTTTCATACCCTCCCCTATGCCTGACTTCCTGGTTCATCACAGCAACAGGTGTGCAACCTTTAAAGCCCTAAACAGCCTCGGTCCAGTATACCTGAAGGAGTGTCTCCACCCCCATTGTTCTGCCCAGACGTTGAGGTCCGGTGCCGAGGGCCTTCTGGCGGTTCCCTCACTGCGAGAAGCGAAGTTACAGGGAACCAGGCAGAGGGCCTTCTTGGTACTGGCACTCGCCCTGTGGAACACCCTCCCACCAGATGTCAAAGAGAAAAACAACTACCAGACTTTTAGAAGACATCTGAAGGCAGCCCTGTTTAGGAAAGCTTTTAATGTTTAATAGACTATTGTATTTTAATATTCTGTTGGAAGCCGCCCAGAGTGGCTGGGGAAACCCAGCCAGATGGGTGGGGTATAATTAAATTATTATTATTATTATTATTATTATTACTACTACTACTACTACTACTACTACAGGTGACTGCTACTTCAGTTCTGCATAGCTAGGCTGTGGTCCTGCATTGCAAAAGGAACCATGCGTGTTCAACCAGAAATAGCAGCAGTGGGCCTTATTTTTTATTCATTTACTCAATCTATATTATAGCCCACACATCCTCCCAAAGGAGCTCTGGGTGGCATTTGGGTGAGATCTTTCTACACAGAGCATTCATGTACCTTTGTTTCCCTTGTGTGGAGACACTGCTACCGTTTGCTGAGGGAGAGAGGAAGGAAGGTCTAGTTAGCCAATTCAGAGTTAGGCAATGCACTTTGTGTTGTTTAATGCAGCATGGCAGAGACATGGAGGAGGAGGGTGGGTTATTGGTTTGTTTTTGTTCTTATGTTTTTTGTGTTTTTTATCTTGTTTTAATGTTGTGAACCACCCTGAGATGTACAGGATGAAAGGCGGTGTACAAATTATTATTATTATTATTATTATTATTATTATTATTACAGTGGTACCTCGGATTACAGACGCTTCAGGTTACATATGCTTCAGGTTACAAACTCTGCTAACCCAGAAATAGTACCTCAGGTTAAGAACTTTGCTTCAGGATGAGAACGGAAATCGCGTGGTGGCAGCACGGCGGCAGTGGGAGGCCCCATTAGCTAAAGTGGTACCTCAGGTTAAGATCAGGTTAAGAACGGACCTCCAGAACGAATTAGGTTCTTAACCTGAGGTACCACTGTATTATGCACAGTCATCTTACTTGAAAGAGAAGATTTTCCCTTCTTTTGTTTTCCTGTCTGGGGTGCATTCCCCACATAGGGACCAACTCCCAGGGGCCAATGTCCCTTCAGCCCCCCCAATAAAATATTTGAGGGGGCTGGGTACCCCCAAAGTTGATGGGCATTGCCATTCAAATGGCATGCATGTGCCACATCTTGTGATCGATTATGCGGGGTGGGACTTACCTGCCCCACCCAATATTTTATTCACGTTGGCACCCCTGATTCCCCAGCTGGAAGAATTAAAGATCAGGATTCTGTTGGGCCCTCTGTGAGTGTAGCCTTGAGGCAGATTCTAAATAAGAGAAGTACCAGCAATTGGCTCTTCCAATATTTTTTCAGAGGCCGCACACTTTGTGCAATGTGCCTTTAACCTTAGTGCCCCCTTGCACTGTTCTAAATGTGCACAATGTAAGATGGAGGTACCTTGGTTCTCAAACAGCTTGGTTCCAAAACGTCGAAAACCTGGAAATAAGTGTTCTTGTTTTCTAACGCTTTTTGGAAGCTGAACGTCTGATGCGGCTGTCGGCTATTGTTTCCGGGGCACCTGCCCCAATCAGAAGCTGCACCTTGTTTTTCGAACATTTTGGAAGTCAAACAGACTCCCAGAACGGATTAAGTTTTTGTATTTGCTATTTATTTTGCGTTTTTGTTTTTGAGGCTTTTTCGGTTAATTTGTTTTTGTGACTGTGTGGAACCCAGTTCAGCTACTGACTGATTGATTGTGTGACTGTGGAAATGGATAAAAGCCCCCCATCCAAACAATGACTATTATCAGTGCAGGTAAGAATTTTTTTAAAAAATTTTTATCATCTACAATACTGAATGAATGAATTTATTAATACGGTCACAGCCCAGCACCAACACACACAACATCACAGATCATAAAAAATATATATAAAAAATACAAAGGACAATATAAGTATAACAAGCATTTAAATATAAAAAAATTAAAATTAATTATTAGCATGCCCCCTGCTATCAACACTTGGGGGTTTGGTCACCATGGGATACCACTTGCTTCCTGCGACTAATTGCAGCCGCACAGAATTTGGCTACATTTAATGTAGTCTTGGGATTCTTGTCCTCTAGCAGCGGTTCCAAACCATGGTGTTCCGACTCCTTCCCGGACTTCCGCAAAACAGGTGCAATAAAAGTCGAACGTATGTCCTCATAAAGATGACAACGCAACAGTACATGTGAAGCAGTCTCAACCTCCAACGAGCCACAGGGGCAGACCCGCGCTGCGTATGGTTTACCCTCAAATCTGCCCTGAAGTAAGGCAGAAGGGAGAACGTTGAATCTGGCGAGGGTAAAAGACCGTCTGTATTTGGGTACCTGAAGACCTGACAGATAGTTAGCTGGAGAAAAACCTCTCCCATAGTCCCTTATTACTGTCTTATTTATTTTATAGTACAGTACATTGATTATTGCTTTCATTTTATGGATCAATGGTCTCGTTAGATAGTAAAAGTCATGTTAAATTGTTTAGGGTTGTTTTTAAAAGTCTGGAACGGATTAATCCATTTTGCATTACTTTCTATGGGAAAGCACGCCTTAGTTTTGGAACAGACTTCTGGAACGGATTAAGTTTGAGAACCAAGGTACCACTGTAGATATTTAGCCACACATCCAACCATTGACCTGCTTCTGTGGATGTGCTGCAACTTGAAATAAAAAATTTCATATATATATAATGTTCATAAATGTGCCGGCCAGGCGCGTACATGGATATGTGGACCACATGTCTGGAGCAGCACAGGAAGACCGCCCTGAAACCATTTTGACTCCCAACTGACCAAATGTTTTCTCTGCAAGGAGGGAGGGGGTGAGGGAACTTTCCCATTGCCTCAGGAATTGGGAAAGGAATGGCCATCTCAAAGGAATGGCCAGGCTACCAGGAAAGGCCATCAGATAAGGCATTATCAGATAACCTGACAGACAGGAAAAACAACAACATTCAAATTTCTGTTGTAGACCACCTTTTCTGTGATGTAGGTATGATGTATGGAGGGGTGGTCTTGAGCTCCAGGGGAGGCAATTTAAAATGTCTATATAAGGGCAGGCACACCTTTGTTCTGGGTCCTCCTCCTTTCCTGCATGTGAGGGGAGCACCCTGTTGCAACAGTTCAATAAAGATCAGGCTTACTAGCTGCTTTGCTTCTCAATATTCTCCGGTTGGCCTCTGTTATTTTCTCCTACCAGTGGAGAACCTACAAAGGACTCTATAAGGGCTCTTGTGTCCCTCATAAGGGAATGAGGGCAGATTTTGTTTATTACAGACTGGATGGAGAGTTAGCTGGAATCCTGAGTTAGCTGAAACAAGGCAGAAGGCCTTCTCGGTAGAGGCACCCGCCCTGTGGAACGCCCTCCCACCAGATGTTAAAGAGAAAAATAACTGTCAAACTTTTAGAAGACATCTGAAGGCAGCCCTGTTTAGGGAAGCTTTTAATGTTTAATAGGTGTAATTGTATTTTAGTGTTTTGTTGGAAGCCACCCAGAGTGGCTGGGGAGGCCCAGCCAGATGGGCAGGGTATAAATAGTAAATTATTATTATTATTATTATTATTATTATTATTATTATTATTATTTTCCTACAGCATGTTGCAGCTGTGTGGGTAAAGCAAGAGGGGATGTCAGCATTTCCTCCCAGCGCCATCACTCTACTGAAAATAATTCCTTCTATATCTATGAATTGATACTGCATTTCTCTCAAATTTCTTAATTTATCGGCTCAGCTTTGAGTGAAGTCATCCTTACATACAGCCAGCAAATAAAAATAACATTGAAAGCATGCCTTTGATTAAAGCCAAAGGAATCTCTTCCCCACCCCCCCCACCCCCATTAGGTCACCAGAGACTGAAGACCTGGAAGTCGCAAAGGATGGCTGCTCTTGTTTTTTACAGTTCAGAAGTTTCCATTCATCACCTACTTACCCTACCCAGTGATCTAGCAAAATTAATGAGCTGTGATAACAAAGGAGCTTTTCTACTGCAGAGAAGTTGAGCTTTTGCCAGACACACACAAAAGACTTTAGTAACCGGAGCATTTGTGATTGAAGAAACCAAGGTGTTTGTAGGAAATATTAGACTATGATTCACAAACTGCTTAAGCAATTTGGGTGGCTGGGATCCCAAACATATGAACAAAGGAGCTGCCTTACGACTCATACTATTGGTCCATTAACTAGCCCAGGCATAGGCAAACTCCGGCCCTCCAGATGTTTGGGATTACAATTCCCATCCCAATTTCCCTTTTGGGGCTTTTGCTTCACTGTCCCAGAATTGCACTCCTCAGACTATTTCATAGTCAAGAAAGGCCAAAGGGACAGATGATTAAAAGAGGACGTGTCCTTCGCCTGATACAATTTTTTGACCAATGTTCCAGATCTGGGTCATCCGTATTTATACATCCTATAGCTAGGATCAATAATAGCTGCAAAAGCAAACAAGAACAAGGGATGATAGCTGCTATATCCTGTGCCATACCTGGTTGGAGAATGGGGAATTATTACTTATTTCTGAGTTAAATTATTATTATTATTTATTGAATTTATATACCACCCTATACCCAGAGGTCTCAATGAGCAAGCAATAGCCCATTGGCTCAAAGGCCATGTTTGTGTGTGTATATGCATATGTATCCAGCCTTGGGCTCATTTGACAAAGGGCAAGATATAAGTACAAATAAATAATAAATCATTCCTCCCTCCTTCCTTGGACGTTGGATGGCCATCTGTCATGGATGCTATTTTATTTTTATTTTCATATTTTTTTACTGATTTTCCAAAAAAATTTAAACAGAGAAACAAACATAAATCTTAAATGTACTTAATCCAAAATTAGTAACATGTTAAGTGACTTCCTCGAATCCCCCTGACTGAATTTCAGTGTATATCATTAGAACAGTTTTCCAAAACCAATTTTCTCATAAAATTAACTTAATCACTTAACATCTTTCTTTTTTCTTTCTTTCTATTTTAACATTAAACATATTAATCTCTAACATTACATATTTAAATCCTAAGCCTATCTGATATTTGCAAGTTTTTCCAATTAAATTATCTTAACATATTTAACTAAATAGTCTTTAAATTACGTCCATTCCTCCTGGTACTCCTCCTCCTTCTCTTCCAGTCAGGTCGGCTAGCTCCGAAAAGTCCATCATCTTCATCTGCCATTCCTCCACTGTTGGGACTTCTAGTGTTTTCCAATTCTTAGCTAACAAAATTCTTGCTGCAGTTGTGGCATACAAAAACAGTCTAACATCTTTCTTGGGCAATTCCAAACCTGTTATTCCAAGAAGAAAGGCCTCTGGTTTATTAATAAATGTATATTTCAACATTTTTTTCATGTCATGGATGCTTTAGCTGAGATTCTTGCATTACAGGGAGTTGGACTAGATGACACTTGGGATCCATTTCAACTCTACAGTTCTATTATAAAGAGATTTCACAAGGTGGGACTTGTTTTCCAAGGGAAAATGTAGTGGCAGCTTGGAAGGGTGAGCAAAAATGCACCACTCCACTTTTCTTGGGGAGGGGCATGCGGAGACACCACCAGCCACCCCCATTTCGGTCCAAACTTAAAACATCCAGCCACACCTGTAGCCAAACTGATGGCACAGCCTGCACATGTTTGTCCCTGGCTCCTTCGTGGGCTTTTGGACTTGTGCTTGTTGACATTATTGAGAGTTAAACACACATACGCAGGAGAAGTCCCATGTCTTTATTCAGCCCCTCACCCTGGTCTCCCAGCAGCCACCCTAGGATGGGAACATGATACGATAACATTTGGGAGGATAAACATGATAACATTTGGAATGAGTTTATACAAAACGTAGTAGGCTATTAGCATTTACATAAGCACTAGGACAATAACACTATACCAATTTATACAGGAACATATGGAAATATTGTATATTGCTTTTGGGGGGGTATGTTTTCGTTTTCATATGTTATCTTTGTTACTGTTGTTTATTTATTGAGTTTATATACCACGCTGTACCCTGAGGACCCAGGGCGGAAAGATCACAACATATATAATCAGAATAAGAACAACAACCCAATAACACCCCCCCCCGAAAAGAGCCACATTTTAAAAGGGTATATAGGATTTTGTTGCTTTTCTCTCACTTTTCCTTCTCCTCCCCATCACTTTATTTCTTTTTAACTGAAACCACCTTAATAAAATACAAATATTAAAAACAGGATGGGAACAGGGAATATTTTGGGGGGAGTATTTGTTTTTTTTGGGGGGGGGGCAGCCCAGTATAAGGCCCGTCCCGCATAATCAATCATCTGAAGCGTTGCACTGCGCACTATTGAATGGCAATGCCCATCAACTTAGGGGGGCCTGGTCCAATATGATATGATATGATATGATATGATATGATTGATATGATATAAATCCACCATCCTATATCTATCTATCTATCTATCTATCTATCTATCTATCTATCTATCTATCTATCTATCATCTTTTTTTGGGGGGGGGTGGCAGAAGACTCCTCGGCCCCTAGGAATGGGCTCCTATGGATGGGAAGTCCAGAGAGAAGGACAACGATCTCTCGCCCCGCTTGCTGTTCCGCGAGCCGGTGGGGAAGAGACAGAAAAGCAAAGGAAAAAAATAACAATTTCGGGGCTGGTCTCTCTCTCTCTCTCCCACGCCGCCGCTGCCCAGCTCCCTCCGCCTTTGCTCTTCTATGGCGCGGCTGCGCTCGTCAGAATGCGGCGCTTAGCCTTCCGCGCCGGCGCGCCTTCCAGAACCGCGCAGGCCACGGCGGCGGCGGCGGCGGCCCTGGCAACGGGGTCACGGCGGGACAAGCTCCCGAGCTCGGCCGGGGATCCTCATTAACATAGGCCCCGGCTGAGGCCGCCGTGCGCCGGGCGGGGTGTCTCTCCCGGAGACTCCTCCTCCTGCCCTCCTCCTTTTCCACCGCCATCCACTTCCCCGAGCTCAGCATGGCGGTCAAGGTGACTCTCCTCCTCTCGGCTTCCTGCAAATAAGCGCGGCGGCGGCGGCAGCAGCAGCCGGTTTGCGCGGGCGGCTGCGCGGGGGAGAGGGGTTGCGGCGCGCGCGCGGGTGGGTGGATGTGGGGGGCCCGGCCCCCTTCCGCCTCCAGGCCACAGTGGCGGCAAGGGCGGGGAAGGGGGTCCCCTCAAATGTTGGCAAGGGCGGGGTGAGGGCGGCTGAAAGGCGCCCCTAGCGACAAGGGAGGGTGCCCCAGGAGGGCATAGAATAGATAGATAGAGAAATCAATTATCTATCTATCTATATCTATCCATCTATCTATCCATCCAAGAGTGTCTCAAAAATCCCGATTAACAGCCGGATTCCCATTGCCCTGCCAGGGCTCAATCTTGCCACTGGTGGATTCATCTTCCCCCCCTCATTTCGCATGTCTGAAATGGGCTTCTGAGTAACTGGGCGCAGTGAGATGTTTGTTACCTCAGACTGGTCAAAAAATGGGTGGGGTGGGGGTGCTTGGCAGGGGAGGTAGCCAGGAGGGGAAAGATGGGGGGGTCATAGTCCCCCTTGTTTGCCTGGTCCACGGTCCTACGAAGCTTCTCTACCTGCAAAAGCCCCATTCTCCCCATCTCGACTAAGCCATGTAGGATTTTAGGCGAGATCCCTGCATTGCATGGGGTTGGACTAGAGGATCCTCAGGGTCCCCCTTTTCCAACTCTGCAGTTCTGTGACTCTGTGATCAAGACCATTAGCGAAACTGATCAAAGCAGGGCAAGTTAGGGATGATTTTGTGCCCCCATCCCTTTAAACCCTCCCCCCAATGATTTGCACCTTAAATCCACTCACTCGGTTCGAATGAATCTGGGCTTGTTTTCTCTCTTTGGGACCTCAGCATGCAGTTCGCACCAGGGAGTGCTAAATTAGGCTGTCATCCAAATCGGGCCTAAGGCTTCAATGGGCCTTACCTCCAAGTAAGTGGGGTTAGGATCGCAGCCTATGCTGTTCCTATAATATTCTTCAGCGATCTGTGTATACACTTCTATTTGGTCTGCAACCAGGGCACTTCCCCCAACACTGGTTTGGGAAGTAATGTACACACAACAGTAGCCGCAATCCATATCTGTCCGGTTGTTTCTTATGAAATATTGCATTTTGATGCATTTTCTCTCCCCTCCCCCCCCCCGGCTGCCAAACCAGTTTTGCTCTGAATTGAGAAAAAGAATAACCAGGCTGCATTTTAAGCTGGGAATATGTACACAGCCGTGGGCTATTAGTGTATGGATAAAGGAGGCTTCAATCATCCATGCCGTGTTCGGGTTGTGCTTATTTTGGAATGATTAACTGCAGAGTGTGCAGATGAACTCTGAGGTATGTGTTAAAAAATAAAAACAAGGCTTTGCCCTCGCTAAGCAACTTAGGCCTGAGGATAGCGGAGGCCTTGTAAGGCCTGTGATATCCTTGAAGACAGGGAAGGAAGGAAGCCTTTTCCCTCCACCGATGTAAAATAGAGCTTGTTATGTCACACTTCCTGGGACACGAGGCTGCATAGGCAAGTAAATGCTTTGCATTCCATCTTCCTGTAGGTGTGGGAGGTAAGGTGGAGCCCTCTCCTTGTCTAGCACTTACCCAGTTTCTTAGAAAGGCCTGTCTCCTTGAGGTACAGTATAGCTATACAGCAGTTAAGCAGTTTTAAAAGGAGGAGAGTAACATGAGGAAAGGGACTGTTAATTGGGATAAATAAGGTCATTGGTGTGCCTCCTCCACCCAAGGTTTGCTGGAGGTCAGTCTGGGGATCAGAGGTCCTTTGTAGGTTTTAAGAGTGTTGTAATTCATCTCCAGGAACACACCACATGCAAAGTAATACATGATATTCTGTTGCACATGCTAAATTGCAATGGCTACCGGATCTTGTTCCGGGGGTGGGGGAGGTTAGTTTATTTGCAGAGGGCTACTTGCGCTTTCTGGCATGCACAATATGCCTTCACTCTTGTTGTGACTTCTTTGTAGGAGAGCAAAACTGTTTTCTGATTGGAACACTTCTGTTTTATCTTCTTAGCTTCATTATCTGTTGTTTTAGTTTTCTTCTTGAGTTAGTAGGCTCTGTTTCTCTTTCCTTGGCAGTTCCTCCCGAGTTTGACAGCTGTCATGAGGCTTGCAATTGTTTTACTGTTCAGCAACATAAACATGTGTCTGAATGTCTGGCACTCGCTCTATCATTTAGATAAGAGACTTGATATTTATTACTCTTTATCTGCATAGATTGCAGTTCAGGTTTCCCTCTTTGGTAGATGAGTAACCCGACAAGCGGAGCATTAACCTTCCCCCTTCCTTCTTGGTTTTGTAGGTTCAAACAACCCGGAGAGCAGATCCTAATGAGCTTCGCAACATATTTTTGAAGGTAAGCGACTGTTTTTTGATGTTGTCAGAGTTCTATATTTTTAGCTTTAGTCATTTCCCATGCTTTCTTGGTATGCTGGAAAATGGTGCATGCATTTCTGCAAAGGGCTCTCTCATTCTTTGCTATGCTCAGCGTGATCCTGGAAGTGACACGTCAGTGGCACTGGGATTAGGACCGCTTGGAAGCAGCCAATGAGGCCATCAGCCTGACTTTCCTGTTCACACGCTAGGCAGATGGAGTGACCACAGGGTGTTTCTGTAGATCTGGTGTGGGAGGGGAATCAGTGGTCCTCAGCTTAATTTCTTGGCCAAATTTCAGAAACCCTCCTCAGGTGATCAATTCAGTCCTCTGGGAAGAGTGTTCTGTCTCCCCCAGCAGCCTGTTTAGGAGAGGGGAAGGGAGAAAGAATGGGGACCCCCCCCACACTTTTGACTCTGGCCCTGCCCAGCACCAGCCCACAGAGATTACCCCCCAGAGGGAATGCGGCCTTGAACAGAAAAAAAGCAACACTCCTCCACCCTCAGATCTAAGAGGCTTCAGAGAAAGATAGGTATTCTCTCTACCTGAGATTTGCACAGCTTAAATTGCTCTGGGGTCTATATTTTTATTAATTCCGGAGGGTTGCACAGCTGCATAGGAAAGCATTTTTAAGATAGCATGTCCTTTTACATGCAGTATTTCCCATTTTATGTCTGCACCCCATAGCATATTCTTAATGGCACTGCCTAATATGTAGATATGTATTTCATCACTCTTCTGTATTGGTGTAAAGTAAATAACATGTAGTGACTTAAATGGAGAGATGTCTTCTGGAACTCAGGTTGTTCCTGCTTTCAGAACTGGGGTGCGGAGAAGAAATGGAGGCACCTTTTGATGATTTTTCTCGTTGAACCCCCTGTACTCCTCCAAAATCTGCTCCAGAGTGTGTTGGGGGGGGGGGTCCAGAAGGTGGTAGACAGTAGTGGTGGGCTGCGGTGGGAAGGACGATCAGCCAAAATTGCCTCCCCTCCTTCTGTCTGCTGAAGTGAAAACTCTTTTACTTCCATTTGCAGACGAGCAAATCTGCATTTGAGGCAGTAGGTGTCAAAATGAGAATATAAGGCTGTGTATGCACCATAAATTCAGTGCATTTAAAGACTCATGGGAACTGTAGTTTGCTAAGGGTGCTGGGAATTGTAGCTCTTAGAGGAGTAAACACCAATTCCTGGGACTTTTTTTGTGAGAAGTCATGTGCTTTAAATGTATGACAATGCATTGCCAAAGTTTCAAATGATACTAATTTAGTTCCTTATTTCTGAAAAATCAGAACATTAGCAATGTGTTTTAATACAGCTAAAGTTATGCACTTCTAAACCTGTTTATTGCAGTGTGCACAGAGAGCCAGTGTGGTGTAGTGGTTAAGAGCGGTAGTCTCGTAATCTGGGGAACCGGGTTCGCGTCTCCGCTCCTCCACATGCAGCTGCTGGGTGACCCTGGGCCAGTCACACTTCTCTGAAGTCTCTCAGCCCCACTCACCTCACAGAGTGTTTGTTGTGGGGGAGGAAGGGAAAGGAGAATGTTAGCCGCTTTGAGACTCCTGAAGGGGAGTGAAAGGTGGGATATCAAATCCAAACTCTTCTTCTTCCGTTGAAATCATGGGGAGTTCGGATTTGTTTTTTTCATTTTGGCTGGGCCGTGCTTTTAATTGTGCCTATGTGTTTATCGACTTATTCATGACTCGGTGTGATGTGCAGGTTTGAATTTCTCAGTAGCGCAGCTGGGAGCGACCTTGTTTGTAATTCCTTGCAACTCGATCCGTTGCGTCAAAATACAAAGCGCCTTGTGCTGAAACCACAGCAGGTTTCACGGGTCAGTTCTCTCTTGCTCTTTTGATTATGCAATGCTGTGATCCCTAAAGGGTGTGCATTCCTGCCTAAATTTGGCTACCCTTGGAAATGGAGGCAAGTGAAGGTGAAGATCATTAAGTGAAACACAGTTCATATGACCATTTCCAGAGGGGTAGCCGTCTTGGTCTGCCACAGCAAAGAACTTTGTGGCCCATTAAAGGGTAACAAGTTTCATTAGGGCAGAAACAGTCCAAGTATAATGCTCAGATGCAAATATATATACATCTGAAACGGGGGGCGGGGAGTTTAAAGCAGTCAGGAGCAGACTTTGATGAACTTGTTGCTGCTGTTTGCTTTATTTATATGCTATTGTGTTTGATATTAAAGTGATGGCAGTGTTTGTTTGTTTTTTTATTGCTATTGTGATTATTATGAGTCGCTTTGAGCTCAACAGTTGTTGCTGGAAAAGCAGAATGCAAATATCAAATCAAACAAGAGCTCATGTGCTCACTTTTTTTGCCTCGAATGTAATATTTATGTCAATTTCTCTGTATATCCATGATGTGTCTTATGAAGTGCAATTTATTATGCCTAATACCTGTCGAGTTGGATCAAAAGTTGAAGTGAAGTGGGATGCATGCCTTGGTGATTGGGATTCCTGAAGTGAGGTCAGAAACATTTGAAAGGAAATCGGCACTTTTCATGTGATGATTAAATATTGTGTTTTGTTCAGCCTTTGGAATTTGTGTGTTAAAGTAAATGGCAGGATTGAGGAATTGTTATGAAAAGCTGCATATAGGCACAATACAAAGCTGATCTGAATAAGGATAAAATAAATGGAAAATATCATTTTTTAAACAAACAAACAAACCCTGTCTTTATTCTCTCTCTCTCTCTCTCTCTCTCTCTCTCTCTCTCTCACACACACACACCTATTGCTCTGTGATTTATAGCTGTCTCCTTCTTGTGACAAAGGCAACATCTAGATCCCTTAGTCTAATAATACACATTTGAGAGCTTTCTTAAGCAGTCAGTTTAGAAAGTTCAGGCTTCCCTCGCACCATAACAGTACAAAGCAACCTTTCCCAAGCTGGTGCCTTCCCATCAGCCGCAGCCTGCATGTTGACTGGGGCTGATGGGAATTGTATTCCAAAACATCTGGAGAGCACCAGTTTTGGGAAGGCTGCTTTAAAGCGATATCAAAAGTGCCTCCTCCTTAGACTCGTGACTCTGGGTGTCCTCTCCCTTCTTGGGGCTGTGGCAAATGCCCGGCGTCTGCAACCTATGGTTACCCTATGCCAAGCATAGGCAAACTCGGCCCTCCAGATGTTTTGGGACTACAACTCCCATGATCCCTAGCTAACGGGACCAGTGGTCAGGGATGATGGGAACTGTAGTCCCAAAAACATCTAGAGGGTTGAGTTTGCCTATGCCTGCCCTATGCTCTAAAGAGCCAGGCGGTTTGCTAGTCTGTTGCTGCCTGTGAGATTTGCCACCCTATATACCTCTGTATCCAGCATACACACATTGCTGAATCTTTTCCTCCCCTCAAGTCTGTCATTTTTTAAAATTTACTTTTATTTCTATGTCGTTTTTCATTCAAATGACTCCCAAAGCGGTTCATAAATAATAACATGATAGAACTCCCCCCCCCATAAGCCATGCTTTTCTTGGCGCCTCAACCATTTGTGCCGCTAAGTGTCTTAATATTACATCTGCATGGGAACCCTGACTTTGGTTACATCTATAAATAAGTAGATGAATAAATGCCCACTATGCGTTGCTAAAGTACAACTTGCAATTCACTTCAGTAGAAGCTGCACAAAAGGGGAGGTTGTTACTTCAGAGACTAGCCTGGTTTGGTGACTTTAAAAGTCCTAAAATACTAAATAGTTTCAGGGAAAGAAAGAGGAGAGGAATCAAATGTTAAAAATGTAAATCCCCCTCCCTGATTTTTTTTTTGGTAGGATTTCTGGAAGCTGATTTTTAACATTTGAAATAGTTGCAGAGTTATTGTTGGGGTTTTTTTACGGTTAATTTTCCTATTTTGATTTGGCCCCCAAACCCTTTTAGTTAGAAGTCAGTCCCATTGACTTGAAGGAAATCTAAAAAACCAGTTTGAGTCTCGTTCACAAAAGAATCTTCTTATTTTTGTTGTTGTGATGTAGGACAACCTAAGATATAAAATGCTATTTAATTGTCAGATTGTATAATAAAACATATTTCATATATGAAAACTATATTTCAGGCTGTAAGCTTTCATTAGATAAATAATTTTCTGCTATAAGTTTCTGATTGGCCCATCGTTAGCAAGGATTTGAGCAACACTGTGAATCTTGTTTCTTAGCAAGATTTACAAGGCCTCCTCTTCCCCTTTGTGAATGTGCTCTGAAAACATCTCTTCAGAAGGATTGTTACGATCAATTTTACTAACTTATATTTGTACAGTTTTATGGAGATTTAGTTTATTTGTTTGCTATATTTAAACTTTGTCTTGTTTTTTGACTTGTGAACTGCTTTGGAGCAATTATGCACACAAATTAATTTTGAAAGCAGAATACAAATGAGTATATAAAAAAGCACCAAATAAACAATTATTACCTTAAAAACAACTGATTTTTTAGTCGGTGTGCTAATAAGATGATTAAGAGCTGGCTGACGCAAATCTGTACCAAATATGCTGCACACGAATGGCTTAATTATTTTCTCAGGCTCCAGCAATTTGTATGGTTTCCAACACCATTCTAAATCTTATGACCTTTTCTCAGAGTGTTTTCATTAGTTAGCAGTGCAGAATTTTACCTGTGGAAAATAGAGAATTGTTTTACTTTTCAGCTCAATTTCCAGGTAGAACTCAACGGCCCTTATTTCACGTCTTACCAGTAGCTAGAGTAGTCTGTCCCTCTTTGGTGGGAGATAGTTCAGATTATGTGCACCAGGAAAGTGTTACTGAAAAGCCCTGGTACAAATAAACAAATTTGTACAGCTGAAATCCTTTTTTTAAGAACGCAAAGGGAGCCTTCCTGGATTAGACCAAGGGCCCAAGCGTCCTGTTCTCAGCAACTAGTACAGAGTCAGGGACGCGGGTGGCGCTGTGGGTTAAACCACAGAGCCTAGGACTCGCCGATCAGAAGGTTGGCGGTTTGAATCCCCGTGACGGGGTGAGCTCCCATTGCTCATTCCCTTTTCCTGCCAACCTAGCAGTTCGAAAGCACCCCTAAGTGCAAGTAGATAAATAGGTACCGCTCCGGCGGGAAGGTAAACAGCATTTCCGTGCACTGCTCTGGTTCGCCAGAAGCGGCTTAGTCATGCTGACCACATGACCCGGAAGCTGTACGCCGGGTCCCTCGGCCAATAAAGCGAGACGAGCACTGCAACCCCAGAGTTGGTCACGACTGGACCTAATGTTCAGGGGTCCCTTTACCTTTACTAGTACAGAGCCATGTCTTGACCAGCTGCCCATAGTACACTGCTGAGGTCTAATGCACTTGTTTGGCAAAGCAATTCCACAGAGTGGACTCCACAGCAGAGAAAAGCCCTAATCCTAGTTGACACCAGCCTCTCCTAACAAAGTCTGACCTGGAGCAGGGCCTTGGATGAAGGCTGGAGCATACAGGGAGGAATGTATGGAAGAAGGTACCCAGGTTCCAAGCTGTTAAGGACTTTAAAGTTTAACACCACTGCTACTGAAAAGGAACTTCCGTGAAACTCAGCTTGTGAGTGGAAGTACAGTCATGCCTCGGGTTAAATATGCTTCAGGTTGAGCATTTTCAGGTTACACTCTGCGGCGACCTGGAAGTAATGGAACGTGTTACTTCTGGGTTTCGCCGCTCGCGCATGCGTAGACACTCAAAATGACGTCACGCGCATGCGCGGAAGCGGTAAATTGCGACCTGCAAACGCGGGTTGCGTTCGCTTCAGGATGCGAATGGGACTCCGTGCACATGCACAAAAGCTTCTCTAGCTTTTGTATAATAATGTATGTATAATAATTTATACACACATACATACCTCGCCCATGTAGTTGGGTTTCCCCAGCCACTCTGGATGGCTCCCAACAGAATATTAAAAACACAATAAAACATCAAACATTAAAAACCTCCCTAAACAGGGCTGCCTTTAGATGTCTTCTGAAAGTCAGATAGTTGTTTATTTCCTTGACATCTGATGGGAGGGCGTTCCACAGGGTGGGCGCCACTACCAAGAAAGCCCTCTGCCTGGTTCCCTGTAACCTCACTTCTCGCAGGGAGGGAACCGCCAGAAGGCCCTCGGTGCTGGATCTCAGTGTCCGGGCTGAACAATGGGTGTGGAGAGGCTCCTTCAGGTATACAGGGCTGAGGCCGTTTAGGGCTTTTAAAGGTCAGCACCAACACTTTGAATTGTGCTCGGAAACGTACCGGGAGACGTATTGGGCTATTGCCTACTCTGAAACAAATACTAACAATTTAGACAATCGCTATGTCCTTTTTTGTCTTTGCTGTAGTATGCCACTGTTGAACAAGATGGAGAGCATTACATGACGCCAGGCGACTTCGTGCAGAGATACCTGGGACTGTATACAGATCCCCATTTCAATCCTCAAACGGTGCAGCTGTTAGCAGGAGTCGCAGATCAGACAAAGGATGGGTAAGGAACCAACCAGTACATTCCTAACAATTGATTGGAAATTATGTTGTTTAGGCTACAATCTGAAGGTGAAAACTGCACATAGGCATAGATTTCTCTTGGAAGTTTTGGCCACAGGGCCGAAGAGGCTACCATCTTTTTGGTTTTACAAGGCAATCGACTCTTCTGCTTCCAGAACTACAGTAGCAAAAATGACCAAGACAGTAGCATGCATAGCCTGGACAGTTCCGCTGGTTATCAGCGTGCTGCTGATAACACCAAGGTTGCAGGTTCGATCCCCGTATGGGACAGCTGCGTATTCCTGCATTGCAGGGGGTTGGACTAGATGATCCTCAGGGTCCCTTTCAACTCTACAATTCTAAGATCTCTGGCCTGGTTTTGATCCGTGGACATGAAGCACCATCTTTGTATTGTTTCCATATGTTTCAAGTGATTGATTTTAACATGTCAGGTTTCCCCCCAAGCTTGCTATGAGGAGACCAGGAGGAAAAATATAGGGAAGAACACTTTGTGGCAGTCTTTTAGATATTGGGCAGGATTCACCTAACCAGTCTCATCAGCGGAAGCCCTTCACAATGCGGCTTCCCCCCCAAAAATTGACTCTGGGGAGGTCGGGATAACCCCAAGAACAGCCCAGGTTCCTCCATCTGTCAAACTGCATTGCTTGCACAGATGGAACGACGGAAAGAGCATAGAGTTGTATAGAATAGAGCATAGAGATGTCATAGAATGCAGGGATTGACCCTGAAGCCTGACTCACAAACAAGGAAATGATGCAATCAGTTCACTTGCTCAGTTGCTCATTTACAACTGCTCTGGAGAAGTTCTGTTTCCCTTTTTATATCAGAGACTTTGATTCTGGGGTCCTCCAAATCCAGGCTTAGGAAAGGGAGGAAATGTCACGTGACCTTTGTAGCAGGAGGTCTCTCTAACTCCCACACATCAAACGAAGGAGGGCTCCTCCAAAACGTGATCTATTAGGGAGAGAGACACTAATCGCTATATGCGGCAAGAAACGATTTGCCTAATCAAGAGAAGGTCATGCCGTACAGCGCTTTTAAAACATTACTTATGGACAATATTCTTTGTTGCTTAAATTGCTTTCACAGAATGTCCACTCTTCTCAAACGTAGCCTTTTAACCCACTTGGTTTCAGAGCAGCCTTGCCCTGCCTCCCCTTCTCTGGTCTCTTTCTGTGGCTCTCCAAATTTATTTTAGCAGGGAAGTGCCAGTGTCGTTGGACAATAGCCAACAAGTAAACATACATGGGAGCAGAGGCCACTGGGGCCATCAGAGAGCAGTGATAGAGAGACAATTAAAGGTTGCTGTTAAAACAAAAAAAGCAATATTCTCCCCACCCCCATTTTTTCTTTTTCTTTTTCCTAAATGTCCGATTTTCATTTATGTGAAATTAAAAGCCCCTTATATTCTTTAGGGTTATTTTGTGTGCACATATGACCCCAGATGTTATTCTGAATGCTGTTATTTCCCTTACGGCTCTGGTTTAGTATCTGCTATTTTTTATTATTATTTGTGGCAAGCCCTGTGCAGCTCTGCCAAAGTGTGCATATGCTGAATGTCCTTTGTCTTACAATGGATGCAAAACTGTGGCCTTTCTCCCCGTCTGCTTTCGCCCCTGAAGCCATGGCTTTCCAAAGTGTGAAGTGACCATTTCAAAAGAGGCACCAACTCAAGGTTGGGCAATGTGGTACCCTCCAGATGTTATTGGACTGCAGCTCCTATCACCCTTGTCCCTTGGACTCCGCTGTCTGGGATTGATGGGAGTTGTATGCAGCAACATCTGTGGAGGCACTACATGTTGGGATACTGCCGGGAAGACCGGGGCGTCAGGCAGGCCCCCAGTTGGCTCCGGACGATCACCAGCGGCCAGTCTTCCTTGGAACAGCATCAAACAGTGACACGAGTCTCAGATACGTTTAGAGACCCGTGCACGCTCTGTTAGCAGAGTGTGTAAATCACCTCTCTGCAAAAGAGGCAGACAGAGGCAGATGTGCAAGCATATCTATAGCATTTATTGAGCATAGTTCAGGAACAAAGGAAAAAACATGTCTGCATCCCTTCGTGTCCAGCAAAACAGCAGTAACACAAAAGCTACATACAACAGAAGTTCCCAGCAGACAGTGCTGGGAGTAAACAGGCATGTGATACACAACAGTCATGCCTGACCCTTTTAAGGTGGAATGGAACTATATCCTAACACTACATTGGCTACCCCCGCTGTCACGATTGCTGTAAGAGGTGCAAGAACCTTGTTTCCCCGCCTTTGATTTTGACCGTCGTTTGCTTTGCAGTGGAAGCCATGTGAGATGGGGCAACAAGGATCTTAATGTATCCTCAGTGTGAGGATAATGTCGGAATCAACTCAGTGTGTGATTTAAAATGCTGTAGTTTAGAATTTATACCCAGGCTTCCATTGCCTATTGTTGCGTGTCTTTTGATTAGTGGTTGTCATTGACCTGTTCATAACATAGACAGCTGTTCATGTTACTTTCCAAAATGCAACATTTCTTATAAAGAAGAGCTGACAGCATCAATCCTGTGCTAATTCAGTATGATCAGATGCACAGCTTTCCTTCATCCTTGACTAAATTAGTGAAAATCTACGTTCCTTTCTTATACTTAATTTCTTCCTGTTGGATTTAATCATAGGAGTATTTTAAATGTAATTCAAAATGACTCAGAAAAGTTTCTCTTAGTTTTGTTAATGGCAGACCATTGAGTCATCTTAACCATTCATTCAATCAATCAAACAAATCAACCAACTTTATTTGCATAGAGAAAGTGCATCATATACATGGATCAGAAAACAACACAGAGAACGAAACATAGTAGGAGATACATTAGGATAAAACTTTCCAGACAAAAATGGCTCTTAGGATCTATGGCAGGGGTCGGCAACGTTTTTTGAGGCCGGTTTTGCGGAGGTGAGGATCGTAAAGGTGATGTAAATATGGAGTGTCCTGGCCAAAATGAGGGTGGAATTCCCAACCCCAATGGGGAACAGTTGCACTGCTAAGGGTTTGGAATTCAGTCTCTAGGATTCTGCACTTGATTGTCTGGAATGATTCCAATTATGGTGGGAGCATAAGCAGCAACTCAAGTGATAGGTCACAGGTTCTGATTTTGCTCTCAATGCAAGTTAACCATTTGGAGTGGTGGGATTCCGCCAGCATGTGGAGAGTTAAAGAAGATGGATCGGTCATGAAATGTAGACAGAGCCAGAATTTTATAGTTGTGAGCCATGCTTTGGTTTCCAGCAGCCCTTGTCCAGTTTCCAGACACATGGCTGCATATGGCACACACTTTGGCAGCCCCAGGATTTTGCCCAGAAATTTGGATTGGCTGTGTTCCAATGACTGGTTAACTGCACCTTAACCATTCTAAACAAAATTTAAAAATTCCTTCCAGTAGCACCTTAGAGACCAGCGAAGTTTGTTATTAGTATGAGCTTTCGTGTGCATGCATACATCTTCAGATATGAACTTAACCATTCTAGATCCAGATGGTAGATCTGATACCGCTTATGGGTCCAGAACACTCTCCAAGAAGCAATAGGATGGCAGAGCTGTTCTTAATTGTGGTTTAATTTTTTACTTTCAGTGTTGTAAAGCTCAACAGTGTTAGAATTTTCACTAGATCTTATTTTGCTGGTCTCTTTTTCCTCTCTCCACCTACCCCCCCAATCTGAAATTTCTGGTTTCTTCTGATTTGTAGGTTGATCTCCTATCAAGAGTTTTTGGCGTTTGAATCCGTCCTATGCACACCAGATTCAATGTTCATCGTTGCTTTTCAGTTGTTCGACAAGAGTGGCAGTGGCGAAGTGACCTTTGGTAAGAGCGTTAAAGATATTTCCTAAAGCAGTGCGGGAAGGTAGGGACGATAGTTCTGGTGTGTGTCCCAGAAATCTACCCCCAAATAAATACGTACTTTGAGATTCTAGTAACTAACTCTTACCTTCTTTTTTCTTTATTTTCTTCAAAGATCCAGCTGCCGCACACCATAGAAACCTTATGCAACCACACAATGTGATTACTGTGGCTCATTGCATAATCGGTGGCTGAACATTCCTAAAATAGTTGCTGCAAAATTTGTTTCGTTCCAGCCACTCCTAGCTAGATTTCTTTGTGAGATAGACTTGATGCTGGCTGAGTGTTCACCTCAACACATTTTCAACCCATGGGCTGTAATGGCACTTTTTGTTGCATTGTTGTTTAGTCATTTAGTCATGTCTGACTCTTCGTGACCCCATGGACCAGAGCATGCCAGGCACTCCTGTCTTCCACTGCCTCCCGCAGTTTGGTCAAACTCACGTTGGTAGCTTCGAGAACACTGTCCAACCATCTCATCCTCTGTCGTCCCCTTCTCCTTGTGCCCTCAATCTTTCCCAACATCAGGGTCTTTTCCAGGGAGTCTTCTCTTCTCATGAGGTGGCCAAAGTATTGGAGCCTCAGCTTCAGGATCTGTCCTTCCAGTGGGATGATTTCCTTCCGAATGGATAGGTTTGATCTTCTTGCAGTCCATAGGACTCTCAAGAGTCTCCTCCAGCACCATAATTCAAAAGCATTAATTCTTTGGCGATCAGCCTTCTTTATGGTGCAGCTCTCACTTCCATACATCACTACTGGGAAAACCATAGCTTTTACTATACAGACCTTTGTCAGCAAGGTGATGTCTCTGCTTTTTAAGATGCTTTTTAAGTTTGTCACTGCTTTTCTCCCAAGAAATTTCGTGACTGCTGTCACCATCTGCAGTGTTCATGGAGCCCAAGAAAGTAAAATCTCTAACTGCCTCCATTTCTTCCCCTTCTATTTGCCAGGAGGTGATGACTTTTTGTTGTAGCCTATAGCTAATTTGGAAATAATACTGAACTGAATTGAGTCCTGCAGGGCGGGGGGACGGGACCATTTCTTCTCCACTGTTCATATCCGTTGCCTGCCCCGTCCCAGCTGCTGCTTCGATCCAACCAATCAGGGAGCACATAGCAAGTATAGGTGACTTTTATGAGGACCAATGTAGCTGAGTGACGAGTGAGAGGCATGTTTTCTTGGACTCCGGTGATCCTGACCAGTCTGGATTGCTTTGCTTTTCCATTAAGCAGGCAAAGCACTTGCACACTAATTAGGGGCGGGGTGGGACTCAGCTGCACATCATCTCATTGTTGATTACCTCCTTTAACCTGTCAGTTCGCAAGCACTTTGCTGGTTTAAAGGAGGCAATCTGCAGTACGATCCCTCCCTCCCTCAATCAATTTGCAAGCATTTTGCCCAAAGAGGAGGGCGAGGAATTGCAGTGTGTATATCGCCTCCTTTTATCTTGCAAAGAGCTTCCAGATTGACAGCTTAAAGGAGGCGCGCGGCGCAATACTCTGCCGTAGCCAAGACCTGCAGGGCCATGTGCCAAGCCCCTCTTGCATTGTGCACCTGGCTCCATCGCTGACAGCGCCCAGGAACTGTGTCACCTGGAGGTGTCAGTGAGCTCACCTGAAAGCAGTGAGCACTGGTGGTGGGGAGGAGACGGAGGGTGGCTGAGTGGGGTGGGAATGGCGCTGAGTGGAAAGGGGTAGGAAAGAGGGGAGCAGCCGGTCTGCCGGAAGATGGAAGGCTCCCTTCCAGGGCTGACCGACCTCGTGCCAGTGGAAACAAGCCAATCTCCCAGGCAGGCAAAGGAGATGACTAGATAAGATTCTCTGATGCGAGAGTCATCATGCATTGATCTCAGTAGGGTGCTGTTCCTCTCCCCGTTTCCCTTTGGTGTTCTCTAAAATCCATTTTGAAAATGTTCTTTATTTGTACTGCTCTTGGTGTACTCAGATGTAAGTCCCATAGAGTTTAGTGGAGCTTACTCCCATGTAAAGGAGTGCAGGATTGCAGCCTTAATACCGTGGGATATCTTGTAGCAGATACATTGTCCCATTTTGCAAGCCGGTTACAGATAAATTGTTATTGTTGTGACTGGGATATGGTACTTAATTGTAACATAAATGCTATATATAGCATGTTGGTAAAGGCACCCTGTTGTGATATATATAATTTTGACTTTAAATTAAAGGTTTGCATCTTTCTTAGCAATAAGTTTCTGCTTGATAGGAGCTGTAGCTTATCTCTCCACTCTTCTGCTCTGTAGGGATTTGGTTACTTAATGTATATTAACAGCAATCAAATAATGTAATTTTTCTTCTTGCACAATATGGGTAATTAAATTAAGGAATTGGAATTTTAAAGCCAGGCCTTTCAAAATCTATGATTAGAGGGCTGGCAGGGTCGAGAAGGTCATTGCAACAATTCCCTCCTTCGGTTAACATCAGCTCCCCACAGACTTAAATTATCTATTATTTGCCCTTTGAATGCAAAGTTTAAAAGGATAAAAAATGGAGAGATATCGTTTTAAAACTAATGTACAAATAATTCAAAGGTATTCTGTGGAAAGTGAAAATGCTATGCTGTCTGCCCTATGCAGTTTTGACAGATGTCTAGTGGAGCTTTTGAGATGTTTCGCTAGAGAGAATTCATTCAGGGGTTCAGCCTCTTTCTAACCCCCTCCAGACGAGAGGAGAGAAACATCTGATTCAGACGGCACTGTATTCATCGGAATGCGTAATATCTCTAACTCCCAAAGGGAAATGTCATTGGTCAGTGGGAGAGCATCTGTTTTGAATGCAGAAGGTCCCAGGTTCAGTCCCTGGCGTCCCCGGGTAGGGCTGAAAGAGAGACTTCTTGCCTGAAATCCTGGCACTGGGAGCCAGTGTGGTGTAGTGGTTGAGAGCGGTAGACTCGTAATCTGGTGAACCGGGTTCGCGTCTCCGCTCCTCCACATGCAGCTGCTTGGGCTAGTCACACTTCTCTGAAGTCTCTCAGCCTCACTCACCTCACAAGAGTGTTTGTTGTGGGGGAGGAAGGGAAAGGAGAATGTTAGCCGCTTTGAGACTCCTTCGGGTAGTGATAAAGCGGGATATCAAATCCAAACTCCTCTTCTTCTGAAGAGCCGCTGCTATCAGTCAGTGTGGACAATACTGAGCTAAATGGACCCATGGTCTGAGTCAGTATAAGGCAGCTTCCCAGGTTCTCTATATCCTGAAGAGACAGACATGATGCATCTTCGTTCAGATATTATCTGGTCAGGACACGAAGAGTTAAGCAAATACGTGCTTCCAAAACACCTAGCAAGTTTGAGATTTCTTGCTGGTAATTTAGAGTGCAGTCCCACTCAACAGGGAATAAACCCCATTGAATTCATTAGGTCACAGAGCTTAGGGAAGTTTTTAATGTGTGACATTTTAATGTATTTTTAATCTTTGTTGGAAGCCGCCCAGAGTGGCTGGGGAAACCCAGCCAGATGGGCAGGGTACAAATAATAAATTATTATTATTATTATTATTATTATTATTGTTGTTGTTGTTGTTGTTGTTATTGTTGTTGCCGCGACGGGGTGAGCTCCTGTTGCTCTGTCCCAGCTTCTGCCAACCTAGCAGTTCGAAAGCACACCAGTGCAAGTAGATAAATAGGTACCAGTGCGGCGGGAGAGTAAACGGCGTTTCCGTGTGCTCTGCTTTCCGTCACGGTGTCCTGTTGCGCCAGATGCGGTTTAGTCATGCTGGCCACATGACCCGGAAAGCTCTCTCTGGACAAAACACCGGCTCCCTTGGCCTGAAAGCGAGAAGAGCGCCGCAACCCCATAGTCGCCTTTGACTGGACTTAACCGTCCAGGGGTCTTTTTTTGCTAGCAAAACTGAGTTACTGTGTTGCAAAATGATGCCTGTCTAAAAAGTGTGTCGCCAACGTGAAAAGTTTGGAAAGCTCTGAGTTCGGACTTCCTTCTGAGTACGCATGATAAGGATGCGCTGGAAATGTCTGAACATGCTGAAAGCATCTTAAACGTTGACATGCTCTCTTTAAGTGTTCAGTATGAATCTTTTCATGTCGGACGATCTTATGTATGAGCGAACTAGCCCCACCCCCTTGACACTGAAATGCACATTGGCCACACACCCATTAAACACATTATTGGCATTGGTCCGAAGGGGGTCCTATGCACGTATAGATGTGTGCCCTTGGAACTCCCTCCATGGGGATGCAACAGAAATGAACCGTGAATTGGCAGTGAGCATGACCACCACATGCTTCACCTTCCAGAGATGTGGGGGATAGCACTCCCGTCTGCATACCTTCACACATTCATGCTGAATGACTGAAAAGGGCTCCTCCCTGGTTAAGATATTCTCTGCCAGAGTCACAGTTGGGGCAATGATCTGAAATAGTTAACATATTTTCTGTAATGATAACGACCCTATTCTTATACCTGTCTTTAATAGTTGCATTCACACAAGTCTCAATCAAGTCTCAATCACGCCGTGCATAGTCTGTGAAATATTATGGTGTATTTTGAGTACAGGTATTCATTGCCTTTCAATGAGGTCTTAATTTGACACGCAGAATCAAGGAACACAGCATTGATTTTATATCAGCATGCAAAGCACCAGGTATTTCTAATAAAGGAAATAAATTGCTTCTTAATTAAAACTGAATAAGGCAAAATCATGGATCTTGAAGATCTACATAGTATTAATACACAAGTAGTATTAAAATCTATTCTATACAAAGTGTGTTTTCACTCTAGAAAGATAAACAGCTCTCTAACTTGAAGTTGTTTCCCTGTTTGATTGGCTCTTCTAGAAGTATGGTTTTCATTTTCTGTTCAAAGAATTTTAAGTAGGGTTTATCTTTCTCTCTTTTTCTAATTAATTTCCTTTCTCCCCTTTCCCCCTCTTTGTTTTCAAAGAAAATGTAAAGGAAATATTTGGGCAGACCGTTATTCACCATCACATCCCTTTCAATTGGGACTGCGAGTTCATTCGATTGCACTTTGGCCATAACAGGAAGAAACATCTGACATACTCGGAATTTACTCAGTTTTTGCAGGTCAGTTGCTTAGTTTCCTGTACTGTAATGATGGGTTCCTTCTCCTTGTGCTCAACAAATGTTTGCAAAGTAGAGATACAGCCAAGCTTTATGCTCACAAAGGATCCAATATTTTAAACCTTCATAGAAGCTAAAAGCTTTTATCTTGGCCAATAAACTATGAATGACTCTCCCCCCACCCCTGCTCCAGATATATGTTTCTCGCAGATGAAGATTGTGGGTTGTAAAACAGCCACTGTGGAAGATGAAAGTCAAAATGCATTTGGCATTTTTCATCGCATTAAGTGGACTTTCAGCCGTTGAACTTGGGATTGCTTTCCATATTGTATCCAATTTGCATTGGATCAAGTTGATTTTGGAAAACAGTTTGAGACTGTTAGATCTGAAAAAAGTTATTTTAAAAATATTTTTCCATTGACTTGTAGGCTTTATTTGTCCTTTATTTCTTTGTTCGCAAAGGGATATTGCATTAAAGAGTTGGTTAGATTTGATTTGTGTGCATCATCAGGCCACCCTTTTGTGAGTAAAAAGTATGTTGTTCTCTTGTGCTGCTTTTGTTTATTCTCTTGATCTTTTGCTGCCCTTACTCTAACCTTAAAGGACTTGCTAATCAAAATACAGTTGTGGCTACCTTCACAGTGTCTATCCCTTTAAACAAAATGTGCTGCTGTGGTTATAATAACTTGGTCCACCTCACAATATCATGACAAGAATAAAGTAGTTTTCTGACACCCTGATCCTAAATGATTTTCAGTGGTTTGCCCAACATGATATGAAAAAAGGAACATGGTGGCATCCAGATTGCTGATGTTCTTGTGAGGACTGATTTTCACAAGGTTGCTTTGCCATGTGCATATTCAGTTGGTCCAAGAACACAAGCCAGCATGAAATAAAGGGGTGGGGGAACCCCACTAAGTAATTTAGCAAACCATCTCCTAGCATTGGATACAACTCAGAAAAATATTGGGTTGTACTGCTGCTATGTTTGGATTGCTTTCTCACTCTGTAAAACAGCCCCTGGATAAAATTCTTTGCCAAACATGTTGAGTTCTAAAACTGGTGTAAATTATGAAAGTTTGTATCTCCAGGATCATTTGTTCAGCAATCCGTTGACCTCAGGGAGGGGTGTGTATGTCAGGGGCTCTTCCTCACAACCATAAATTTCTGCTAGATATGTGCTGTTTACTGGCTTCTGATATTTCACTAAACACTGCCACAGCCATCCTAAAAACTAGAACCTTGTATTGAACATTTAAAAAGGTAAGCTTGCAAGTCTTATCTGTGAGAGTCCGGTTTTGAGTCAATCAGTTGTATCTAATGAAGTTATCTGATTAGCACAAGGACTTCTGTCTGCTCAATAGGACTTCCTGTCCTTGTACACCCCCTGAGCTCCTCTATCTGTTCTGGGGGTTCCACCAGCCCTCCAGTGCAGAATTGGAGGGATACAAGAAATGTAGAGGGAGTCCTGTTGCTCAGGCGGATATCCTTGAGCTATCAGTTGACTCCATTGGACACAATCCAGTTGGTATTAATTGTTATCATTCATTGGTTGTATGCCTTGTATCTTATTTCCAGCTGATGAAGACTATTACAAAACATTAGTATCATTCCGGAGACACTGTCCTTTTGAGGCTTTTGAGATGTCTTCCGTTGAAACTTTTGAGAGACTATTGAGAGACTTTACTTTAGAAACTTTTGAGACGTCTTCTGTTAAAACTTTGGAAAGACTATTGTGAGATTGTCCTTAGGCATCTGTTTTGGAACACACGGCTTGAGGTCCTCGCTACCTCTTTGTTATATTGTACATATGAACTTTGATTGGCTTATTCCTATAATTTAAATGATATCATTATTCTATTATATATTCTCTACTAACTATTAGCTACGTGTTGTGTTTGTATTTTTGTGATTGGATAGCCTTGTTGTGATTGGATGTGTTGTGATTGGATATCCAAGGTAATGGATAGCCTTGTGTGCCATACCCAGTGATGGTCGTGTCAGTGTGGATTGATAACTCATTATGGACTGGGCTGCCTTCAGGCTACTTGCAGCAACAGCTTTTCCAAAAGTGCGGGACAGAGCACTGATCTGTACTGACTTCTGCTGGTCTTTATTTCAGTATGCATCCAGGGTCAATGTGTAGATTCTGGCCATCAGTATGATGGGTATTTAGAACAAAGCTCTCAGTATATCGTTTCTTATCATATTATTTCAGGAGCTGCAGTCAGAACATGCCCGGCAAGCGTTTGCACTGAAAGACAAGAACAAAACAGGCACGATTACTGGCCTGGATTTTGGCAGCATCATGGCTACAATTCGTCCACACATGCTCACTCCTTTTGTGGAGGAGAACTTGGTTTCAGTAAGTATCAGGAAGCATGGGACACAGGGAATGAGGACTGAGATTCAGGTTCTCAAAAATTGCAGATTTGGGATCATCCGTTGCCCAGGCAAGATTTTGTGACCTCCATAAGGATTTTCCTGGTGGGGCTTACTAGAAAGAAGGCAGTAACATAAATGAGCAGGTAGAAGAAATAAGAATTCTTCCAGCAATTGGTGGAGGTCTAGCTATAGCTAGTGAAGTCTTCTTCTCTTACTCTCCCCCTGCAGTCCCCTGTGTGCAGGTATTTCCAGGAACTGAAACATACAAATATATATATATATATATTTTCTTTCCACCCAGGCTGCAGGTGGCTCCATTTCTCACCAAGTTAGCTTTTCGTATTTCAACGCTTTCAATGCCTTGCTGAACAACATGGAGCTTGTTCGAAAGATATACAGCCTCATTGCAGGTGCTAGAAAAGATGTCGAGGTTACAAAAGGTAAAGCATTGTATGCCATAAACTCTTGAGATTACTGAAGCTGGAGCAATATTTGGCCCCTGTTACTCATTGATAGAGCATCTAGGTTTGCCTGCTGAAGTTCTGTATTCAGTCCACTGTTAGGAGGACCAGGTAGCTGGCGATGGGAAACACCTCCACCTAAGACCTGGGGGAGCCCTGGCCAGTCAGTCTCACCTGATGTAAAGCAGCTGATCAAGTATCTATGATACATATCACCTAGGTGAGCAAGCTTCCCCATGCATGGAGCCCATGTAATATCCCCCATCCCTTGAAATGAATGGGCTGAAGAGCTACATTACCACGTCAGAACTTCAGCAGCTGCAAAAGATTGTTGACTTAAGGCAGGCATAGGCAAACTCGGCCCTCCAGAGGTTTTGGGACTACAACTCCCATGATCCCTAGCTAACAGGACCAGTGGTCAGGGATGATGGGAATTGTAGTCCCAAAACATCTGGAGGGCCGAGTTTGCCTATGCCTGACTTAAGGCAACAGTCCATGCTCTGTCAAGGTCAATTGTTCATTTGCAAACTTATACCCTGCCTCTTAACTACGAGAGCCCCCAAGGCAGCAGCTTACAATACAAAATATGCATTAAATGAAACAGTAAAAATACACAGAAATTTAAAGCTAAAAACTAGAGTCACAGTAAACTATTTTGGGTTGTAAGATCTCAAACAGGGGAAGAAAGGATGGAAGGTACCAATGTTAGAAATAAGGAAAGGATGTTCATGTATGTAATTACAGCAGCGAGAATTATTGTGGCAAGGAATTGGAAAAGTGAAATACTACCAACAACAACAGATTGGCAAATATTCATGATAGCATGATCTGTAAAAGGTCCGTAGGCTGCCTGCTTTCTCTGTATTCTAGTAACTGGAAATATAATTAGATAAGGACTCCTCTTGGGCATGTAGCCCTTTAAACTTAATTTGAGTCGGTATTCAGTTCTTTCTTTTTCAATGGCTGGGTCTGGTCTTGGATATTTTAGAGCAGAGCTCTAGAAGAGAGTGCCTCTGACCATATGCAGAGTACTTTCCTCTCTCTACTGAAGAGCTGCAATCCACCTGTGATTAGGAGAAGTATGTCCAGGACAAAATTATGCGATTGGATCTCAAAAATCTAACAAATTTTAGAGCAAACTGTGTTCATTTCAACCTGGTCTTTGGATTTTGCTCCCATAACGTTAAGCCAAACTGTAGATTGTGTATTTAAAAGTTCCAATAAGTTACGCATAATTAGTTTGTGTTTTTTTGTTTTAACCCGTTGCTTTAAAACAGAGGAGTTCTCTCAGTCTGCAATCAAATTTGGACAAGTTACACCTTTGGAGATCGATATCCTTTTTCAGCTCTCCGATTTGTATAATGCCTCAGGGTAATCTTAACTTTTTTTGTAATATTAAGTTTCTAGAGTGTTGTCATTAGATGGAGGTTGTTGTTGTGTGTGTGTTTTTTTAATTGACAACTGTGGGATGGAAATTCTGTGCACACAGTGTGGTCTTGAGATGGTGTGTGTGTGTGCCACTCAGTGTATATGCAGTGTGACATGGGGCTAGGGCAACGTATGCCTATATCTGTGCACTCATACACCTGGTTACTATAGTTCCCTCCCTTGCTTTTGAGGGTAAAAGTTTACAGTGTATGTTCAGTCCATAGCTGTCAACCTTCCCTTTTTTGGCGGGAAATTCTTTTACTCCAGCGCAGTTTCCCTCTGCTTCCCACTGCTATCCCGGATTGTTAGATATCCCATAGACTGTCCCCGGGACAGGTGAGGCTGCTGATCCCTTATTTTTGAGGCTGCTGATCCCTTATTTTCAAATCTGAAACTTGACAGCTATGGTTCAGTCTTTTATTACTTTATGCAAATGGAGGACTGCACATGGGTTCAGATTCCTACTCAGCCATCATGAAGCTCACTGGGTAACACTGGGTCAGTCTTACTGAGTCTTACACAGGGTTGTTGCGAGGATAAAATGAAGGGTGCTGCCATGAGCTCCTTGGAAGAAAGTCTGGCTCTAAATGCAGCCAAATCAAATCAAATATGCTTTGTGGATGTGTAATTTCGGATTGCAAGCGGGAGATTACATTTTTGAGGGCAGTGGTACCTTGGTTCTCAAACTTAATCCGTTCCCGGAGTCCGTTCAACTCCTGAAACCGTTCGAGAACCAAGGCGCAGCTTCCGATTGGCTGCAGGAGCTTCCTGCACTCAAGCAGAAGCTGCGTCGGATGTTCGGCTTCCGAAAAATGTTCACAAACCGGAACACTTGCTTCCAGGTTTGTGACGTTCAGGAGCCGATTTATTTGGCAACTAAGCTGTTCAGGAACCAAGCTTCCACTGCAATACCTCTTTGCAAATATAAAAACTGGTATATTGCAGAGAAGGTTGATTGTAGAATCTTGATGTAGAATCTTTCCCTGTCATATGCTAGTTCTGTGTACAGGGATGAGTATTTGATGGGAGAGTTTGGGCAATAATAGCTCAGGTTAATAAATCAAGATATGAATGAGCCTTTTGCTCATGCAAGGAGATTCTTTCCATGAACTTCAAATAATAAGAATAATAATAATAACAATAATAATTTTATTATTTATGCCCCGCCCATCTGGCTGGGTTTCCCCAGCCACTCTGAGCAGCTTCCAACAAAATATTAAAATACAATAGTCCTTCAGATATTAAAAGCTTCCCTAAACAGGGCTGCCTTCAGATATCTCCTAAAAGTCTGGTAGTTGTTTTTTCCTTTGACATCTGGTGGGAGGGTGTTCCACAGGGTGGGTGCCACTACCAAGAAGGCCCTCTGCCTGGTTCCCTGTAACTTAAACCAGGAAGCCTCAAACAACCATAGTTTCTTGTTTCATCAGAACTGGAGAAACTACGTTTTTGGAATAAGCCAGGGCATTAAGTCAACTTCAAACCATGATTTAATATCCTGGCAGGCTCCAAAGCTCTGTAGGCTGAGGTATGGTAGTCTGAAATGTGCCTGATGGGTTTGGGCTTGCTATTACGTTTAACTGGGATTTCTTTTCCCTGGTCTTGAACGCAGACGCTTGACGCTGGCAGACATTGAGAGAATAGCTCCCTTGGCTGAAGGAGCGTTGCCTTACAACTTGGCAGAACTTCAGAGGCAGGTAGGTACCTTCCAGAAAATATGGAAGCCAGCCAATCCCAGTAAACGTGTAGCGGTTATGGCTTTAAGCTAGGGCTTCTGAGATTATAATTTTGAAATCTTTCCCATGACATCCATATTTATATTTGCTCAGTCCATGGACACACGAGCGCACTGCAGTTTTTGGGAAAGTTTTCCACCCTTCTGAAAACGGCCCTTGTCAAACCATCAAAATGATTTTTTAAACTGTTCTGTGTAATAGAAAGTGCTTGATCTGAGAGGTGGTGATATAAGCCTTTGGTCTGTGTGTGTGTCCCATCCTTTTCAGCAGTTCTTGCAACACCTCTTCCACCAAACATTTGTTTTGTTTTGTTTTAAAATTGGGCTGAAAAAAGGCAGTTTGAAGGAAACAGACACAACCTTCTTGTGACGTGGGGACCTCTCGGCTGAAGCACAGGATTCCCAAAGCAGTTGCTCATTATCATAACAAAATAGCTGGCTGTTGCTCTGGCCTTTCAGAATATTGTTGCCTTCAGACGCTTACATTTGTGTTTTAGGTTTGTGAAACTATGTTAAAAATGAATACTTTGTTGAAAAAGAAAGAAATACACCCGAAACAAATCCTTTTAAAAAGTACAAATCTGGATGCTTGCACAAGCTGCCATGTATTGAATTGTTTCTGGAGGAAAAGCACAGTCTAGTCAGATTATTTTATGAGGCCTTGTATGTGGATTTTGCTGTTTGCAAATTACTGCATTATCTGGATTGTTTTGTGTTAAAGCTCATTTTTGAAATTAACTTGTCTCTAATATTTTGGCATATTTCCTTCTCTTGCCTGATAAAGCCACTCTGTCTTTGTTGATTTTTTATTTTTCATTTTACAATCAGCACATGAAAGGTTTGTTGGACTAATTATCCCTCATGGAGATTGACCAGGACTGTTTGGCTAGACTAATTTATTGAATTTTGCTTATGTGGTTTGATTGTTTTTAGCCCTTGTCTCCATAGCAACAGGATTTTTATTTTTTTATTTTTTTTAATTAACTCAAACTTTGGGCTGCTGGAAAAACGCTGCTTTAAAGTAGCCCTGCTTAAAATGAATGGAAATGATCTGGGAAAGAAGGGGTTGCATATTTTGCAGCCTTAATGAATTGTCACCTGCTAAGAAATACAGGCCTTCCTGGAATCTTTTGTGTTTTGGGAACAATCAAAGGTTTAACATTACTTGGGCCGGACTCAGTCTTTGGATGATCAGATTATATCAGCTAAAAAAAGACTTCTACAGCTTACATTTCGGTTTGAACCTCAGTGAAGGTTCAAGGAAAGAAGCATCCTTGGTAGAATTAAACTTTGTCCTCCTCCTCCTCCCTCCTCTCTGCACTACTCCATCCTTCTTTTCGTAACAGAAGTGGTGTCGCTGTCCTTCTCCTTCCTCCACTCTTACTCCTCTTCTTGCTGCCACATTAGTGGTGGCAAATTCTAACGAAGAGCCCCCAGCACCGTGGGTAGATGTGATGGTTAGAAAGGTGTATTGAACGTAATTTGTTGTGTAAAGCTTTAAAGGTAAAAGGTAAAGGGGCCCCCTGACCGTTAGGTCCAGTCGTGACCGACTCTGGGGTTCCGGCGCTCATCTCGCTTTATTGGCCGAGGGAGCCGGCGTACAGCTTCCGGGTCATGTGGCTAAGCCGCTTCTGGTGAACCAGAGCAGCGCACGGAAACGCCGTTTACCTTCCTGCCGGAGTGGTACCTATTTATCTCCTTGCACTTTGACGTTCTTTTAAACTGCTAGGTTGGCAGGAGCAGGGACTGAGCAACGGGAGCTCGCCCCGTCGCGGGGATTTGAACTGCCAGCCTTCTGATCAGCAAGTCCTAGGCTCTGTGGTTTAACCCACAGCGCCACCCGCCTCCCTTTGTAAAGCTTTACAAAGTTCTAAAAGTCTTTCCAGCCACTGTGGCCATGCCACTGGCCCTCTCCTTTAAAAAAACAACAAAAAACTTATTTATACTTGTTATGCCTACTCGCGTGGTTGCTCGAGAGCGAACAGGAAAGATCCTCACTGGTCTTTTCAAAGGCTTTATTATCGGTGCAAAAACATTTACAGTGCAGAACGTCTCAATTTCATGTCTTGCTCAGTCACTAGCAGAATCTGAGAGTGGGCGGTCCTTAAACTTTCTCCAGCAGAGTAGTCTCTTGACCCCCATCCGACGCCTCCCCTCTCTGCGCATAAACCTACTGCGCAGAGAGGGCGTGGGTAAAGAGGGACTTGCCTCCCCCCAGCTTTGCTCATGCACAGTGTCTTGGCTCTCTCTTGCATCCTCTGAGGCCTGCATCCCTTCCCCATTAGAGGCGGGGCTTCCCTTCTCCGCGGAGGAAGTACTGCTTCTCACAATCTTTGGAGTCTGCCTGTAACCCAGCTGCCCTTCCACCTCTCGCGTCTTAGCTGATGACAGTTCCCTGACAATACTTTTCAGATATATACATTTCCTTAATTTTACAGTCCTTTTTGACATTTTAAAACTAGACTTCCTTCCCCCTCTTTCTGCAGTTCTTTAAATTTATTTTTAATATCTTCTGCATATCCAAATTAACTTAACTTACTCGTTTATTTATCTTCTTTAAATATATGCTCTTATGTAGCTGCAGGTTATTACAGTGCTACCTTGGTTCTCGAACTTAATCCATTCCAGAAGTCCGTTCGACTCCCGGAACAGTTCAAAAACCAAGGCGCGGCTTCCGATTGGCTGCAGGAGCTTCCTGCATTTAAGTGGAAGCCGCGTTGGATGTTCGGCTTCTGGAAAATGTTCGCAAACCGGAATACTTATTTCTGGGTTCGAGAACCAAAGTACCACCGTACAATAATCTTGCCATTGTTTTTATCTGTTTAAAATTTGTCAATATTCAATAAACCATTTCTCTTCTTTTATAAAAAGTTTGTTATCTTGCTTTCTTACTCTTCCGGTAAGTTTCACCATTTCTGCATATTCCATAAGTTTTTTTATCCATTCTTCCTTTGCTGTGTCTTCTTCTTCTTTCCAATTTGGGGCAAGTTACATTCTTGCCGCTGTAGTCTCGTACGTGAATAAATTTCTGTACAATTTAGGTAGTTCTATCCCTATAATTCCCAATCCACTGGCCTTCTCCCGGCCACCTCTCCCAGAGTGCCTTTCTCACAAGTGAGATGACAGTGGAGAGCCTCATCCAGTGTGAGTGCAGTGGAGAGCCAGTGTGGTGTAGTGGTTAAGAGCGGTAGACTCGTAATCTGGTGAACCGGGTTCGCGTCTCCGCTCCTCCACATGCAGCTGCTGCGTGACCTTGGGCTAGTCACACTTCTCTGAAGTCTCTCAGCCCCACTCACCTCACAGAGTGTTTGTTGTGGGGGAGGAAGGGAAAGGAGACTGTTAGCCGCTTTGAGACTCCTTCGGGTAGTGATAAAGCGGGATATCAAATCCAAACTCTTCTTCTTATTATTATTCTTCATCCTGTGGCCAGTAAGGAGGCAAGGCAGCACTGGTTCACTCCCTCCCCCAGTCTCATGCCAGGCAGGGCTGGTGATGTTCCCAGCCTGAAACATGAGATATACACTGCCAGTCAGAGTAAGTAGTTCTGAGCTAGATGGATGAGTGGTCTGACTCTGTATAAGGTAGCTTCCTATGCTCCTAAGGGGAGAAGGAGGCAATGTCTAGTGTTGGGACCTCTATGCCCTGCATTGCCATGTCAGCACAGCAGTGCATGAGAACAGGTCATTAGACTAATGAAGAGGGCGATCTGTGCAAGGGGAGTTTGGCTGCGGAGAGCAATCTTAGATAACGGAAGTCGTAACTTTTTAAACATTTTTATTAACATACCCTTTCCGCCTAGTTGGCAAAGATAAAAGAAGGGGACGCTGCCAGTCTTTCAATCATACTTGCGGCTGATATTCTCACGGAAAGATTTTCTTTTGTCTAGCTGCTAAATATCTGTGTACAGTGGCTTCACGGAGTGATGCCAGTGACAGTAATTTTCTATTTATAAATATTCATGCTCTGAAAGCCATAGCATTAATTATACTAATTTGCATATCCTATGTGAATCCAGGCGCGTGGCGGGGTATAGTAAGCGCCTTCATAAATAGGCTTAAAGTTATATTTCCATTAGAAGGGAGGAGAAGACAGGCTCAGGGTGACATATGCTTAGGACTCACCTCAGTGCACAGTTTTGCTAGGATTTCATGAGGATTGCAAGGAAATGAAGAAACACAGGCTGAGTTCACATGTAATGGTAAACTATGGTTTAGCAATATGAGGATGATTGGCAGTGAGCCATGGACTCCCTCCTAATCCTCCTTTAGTGTGATAGGGAGGAAGAACTTAGAGGCATTCAATTCCCTTTTCATCTAATTTTGGCTTGTTGTCACGTCTGAACCTGAATGATGGTTAATCTTTCCACCAACCATAGATTAACCACAGTTTAGTGTTGAGTTTAGTGTTTAGTAAGAGGGACATGGGTGGCGCTGTGGGTTAAACCACAGAGCCTAGGACTTGCTGATCAGAAGGTCAGCGGTTTGAATCCCCGTGACGGGGTGAGCACCCGTTGCTCGGTCCCAGCTCCTGCCAACCTAGCAGTTCAAAAGCACGTCAAAGTGCAAGTAGATAAATAGGTACCACTCTGGCGGGAAGGTAAATGGCGTTTCCGTGCGCTGCTCTGGTTCACCAGAAGCGGCTTAGTCATGCTGGCCACATGACCCAGAAGCTGTACGCCGGCTCCCTCGGCCAATAAAGTGAGATGAGCGCCACAACCCCAGAGTCGACCACGACTGGACCTAATGGTCAGGGGTCCCTTTACCTTTACTAGTGTTCAGGCAAAATGCTAAACAGTGGTTATTCTAAAACAGAAGCTTCTGGTCTAAAGACTGTTTCAGAGGCGGAGGGGAGCAAACTTGAGTTTTGCTACAACTCAAGCATGGTTTAGTAGCCGGTGAAGCATAAATGAAAAACAGTCCATGGAGTATAGGAAGAACTTCAGCTGGAAATGCTTCAGCAGGCCTGCAGCTTTTAATTTATCCGTATTTGGTTTAACCATAAAACCCAATAGTGCCTTGGTTCCCGCGTTCCATGACCACAGACTTTAAATCGCGTTGCATGCAAAAGGGCATTTGAGTGCTGTGCATTACCTAGCAGTATATCTTGTAAACGTGGAAACGAGAGAAAGTCATTGTTGCCCGTGTGCATCTTCACAAATTAGTTTTTCAGTTGCGCTGTCTCTGGGATGTGAGAGAGAGGGAAGTTCAATCCTTAGAAGTAAACCCCGGTTAATGTGTTTAAGAGAGCTGCCTGATAATTTTTATTCTTACTTAAAGCTCAGTGAACAGTTGCTTTCGGTTCTCATAACAGGGTTTTGGGTTTTTTTGCCCAATTTCATGTCTTATTCTCTGTTCCTCCCCCCCTCCCTCCCCCCCCCCACCCCGCTCCACCGACCCCCGTTCTTCACTCACAGCAATCTTACGGTGATCTGGGCAGACCTATCTGGCTCCAGGCAGCTGAGTCGGCTTACAGGTTCACTCTGGGCTCAATTGCTGGAGGTGAGTGACATGTCTCTGTGCTGTTTTCAAGCTGGGATTGCTGTAATATTATCTAGCCGGGCTGGTTGCAGATCAGCTAAGTTGGAGTTCATTGTCTCTCCCACCCCCAGGTAGGAATGGTGGAGCTCTGAAGAGAGCTCTTTATTGTTACTTATAAAAAAAAAACCCCAGAAAAAACCCCGAGCCTATGATCAGAAGTCCTGACAGAACATGACCTTGGCACTACAGGCTCCAGACAGTCTTTGGAGCAAAACCTGCAGAACGACAGACTTCTCAAATATAGCCTCGGACTCCCCTCTTAATTATAGTTGATGGGACTGATACCAAACTCAGAAAGGGAAACGAAGGCCGGGGACAAATACAGTGTCTTTTATAAAGAGGCTGAAGACATCACATTGTTCCTGCTCCCTTGTTTCACTTTTGGTATATAATTTGGTTGAGACTTACCGTATTTTTTCGTGTATAAGACTAGGGTGTGTTTTTTTAACCAAAAAATTAGGTTTAAAATGGGGGCTCGTCTTATACACAGGTAGTGCTGGGGGGGGTTCTTAATTTGGAGTCCCCCCAAATAGGGGGCGTCTTATACATGGGAGCGACTTATACACGGAAAAATACGGTACATATAGACATTTGTCATCTTTGAACTACTGATTTATGATAATATTACAAAACAATATTATGAAACGGGGCATAGCAAGAGGCCATGAAACACACCTATGTGTGCTCCAGGTGCTCCAGCTGATAGTCTGTATTCAGTTTACTGTAGATTTTCATACCCACCTGAGCAGTTGCCATTTTAAGCTGAATTGTACTCCTTCCGCTGCAGAGAACAGCAACTGTTAGGGACTAGGGTGAAAGGGGAATGCAGGATGCTGCGATGAAGCGTATCTCCAGCTTAATGAGCCTCTGTAACGAGATGATTTTTGTTGTTGTTTGGAAGGCCTGCATCCATCAGTCTCCTAATCGTTTGAGACACCCTGACAGCTAGGCCACATTTTTCAGTATTGGCTTCTCTTCAGCAAGGAAAAGCAGGGCTTCCCTCTGCCCAGAGAACTTTCCTGCAAAATGCAAACATTTCCAAAGAATTATCTCCCCATCCCCTGCGCTGTTCAGCAGTGAGGTTGGAAGGAATGCTTTGCGATCTGAGCTTCATTTTTAGGCAAAGGCTTGAGTGGTTAAGCCGGTTTTTCCGCACCAGAATTCAGCCTTGGAAAATGTGAAATATGAATGGAGAACATATGCAGATTACCAGGCAATCCTAATTATCCCACGCTCCCACCCAGGACTGTGGGTAAGAGTTCCATGGGCATAAGCAGAGTGTCCTTCACAGGGGTGCCAACTTGAATAAAATATGGAGGGGGGCAGATAAGCCCTGTCCCTCATAATCACATGACACGGGGCACGTACACCATTTGAATGGCAATGCCCATCAATTTGGGGCAGGTGCCCCCTCAAATATTTTATTTGGGGGGGGGCAAAGACCCTTTTGCCCTTAGGAGTTGGCTTCTATGGTCCTTCATATTTTTCCTGTCCTAAGTGCTACATTTCACTCTGTTCTCCTTTATGTCTCTGGGCTCTTGTAACACCGTTCATATATCTCATAATTATTTATTAATTTATTTAGAAGATTTATAAACCGCTTGCTTAAAAAAAAAACAACACCTCTCCAAGCAGTGTACAAATAAAATTAGAGAGTGAACACAGCTAAAATCCACACTCCAGATAAAAGCAATCAAAACAAACCTCAAAACAAGAGCAGAAGCACTTATTCCATGCTAGCATGTTTTGTTTGGGCACAGTGAGAAACTGGAATATAAAACTTTTGTTGTCTTTTGGTTTGCAGCCGTAGGAGCTACCGCCGTCTACCCTATTGATCTGGTGAAGACGCGCATGCAGAACCAGCGCACAACTGGCTCCGTGGTGGGAGAGCTGATGTACAAAAACAGCTTTGATTGTTTCAAGAAAGTTCTGCGTTACGAAGGCGCTTTTGGCCTTTACAGAGGTGAGCAGATGAAACGCACCAGTCCAATACACCTGCGGTTGACTTTTTAATGGCTTTTGTGCAAGCGCCTAAACAGCGCAAGGAAACTCTCGAGGGATAGGGAGCTGTGCTTGTGTGTGTTGGGTACTTCTTGGCTTATAAAACTGCAAAACTCTCAAACTGTGTACCTTGAAGGTGCTGTATAGATTAATATCTGTTAGGTGCTTTTCTGTGCTTTCATGTGCACACACATCTTAAGTTAGTTACTTACTTTATTTATTACATACATTTATATGCCACCTTCTCCTGCAAGAAGCTCAACATGGTGTGTGTGTTGTTCCCCTCCTCTCCATTCTCTCCTCACAATAACCCTGTGAGGTCAGTTAAGATAAGAGGCAATGACTGGCCCAAGGTTGCCCGACAAATCTTATTTCCTAGGATTTCGACATCCTGGAACCAAACTCCAGAACCAAGTCTTACCTACAGTCTAAGCCTCCACGATGGTTCATTGCAGAATCTATTACTCCGTTCATACTTTAAAGCTCAGGCAGAAAGATTACACGGGTTTGACATTCAGCAAAGTGACTCTGTGCCTTTGCAGTCAGGACAGAAGCCGGTCCTGATTCCTTTTCCTCTGCACAGATGATAGCGCCGCATGTGTATTTCGCCATGCAGTTTTTGTACATGTAAAAGGTGAATCTGCTCTAAGACTGCATGGAGTACAGTGTGTGTGTCTGTCTGTGTGTGCCTGTGTAAGTCAAGAGGATGAGAATGCGTAAGAAGTGCCCTATTCTGGATCGGACCACATGTCCATCTCGTCCTGGGTTTTCCAAACTTGGGTCTCCTGCTGTTTTTGGACTATAACGCCCACCATCCCTGATCACTGGCCCTGCTAGCTAGGGACGATGGGAGTTGTAGTTCAAAAACAGCTGGGAGACCCACGTTTGGGAAGGTAAAAGGGAGGGAAGCCCTGATCCATTCCCCTGTCCTTGTTTTCTGCAGTTGCACCAACCAATTGCTGATGGGAAGTCCCATCAGCAAGACATGAGAGCGTTCTCTCTCTCTCGCTGATCTTCCCCAGCAACTGGTATTCCGAGGCATGCTGCTGCCTCTGATCCTGAAGATTGTATGTAGGCATCATGACTCGTAGCCGTTGATCCTGTATATGTGTGTTTGTGCGCGCGCACATGCGCTGTATTTAGCTGTGTATTAATGGCGGTGGGAGGAGTGCCTCCAGGTGTTACTGTCTATTAGTTCCTTTAGCGGTAGGCACTACTGTGCTAAATATCCTTTTAATAGGGGATCAGAGACTCAGGCTGGGAGACCGGCATTTCTTTTTCTTGTTGTCAACCGCCCTTTGTGTGTTTAATAACTACCTTTCCCCCAGCATAATAAGTCTGTTAAGCCTCAGACAAAAAGGACTGCGTTGAAAGAAACTAAGCCACGGCATACATTAGCTGCTGATCTGCGCCCGTGCGTGTGTAGGTACCACACGCACATTTGATTTGGGCTTCTTAGGAGAAGGGAGTTGCATGTGGAAGGTAAACCCCACATGGCTTTTAAGCAGCGAGAGCTACTGCAGAGAATGGCATTCTGTTGCCGCTGCTGACGCAAGGGTGTGAACAACCCGCCGTTCTTCCTGCTAGCAGGGAAACGGCCTCATTGCACAGAATCGGCCTGCTCTTCCGGCAGTCGGCTCGCAGACCGCTCGGCAGATTAACTTCATTTCCCTTGAAACGGCAGTGGGGTGAATCAGCACTTTATTACAGTTCTGTCAGCTTTTGCGAAAGTTGGGCCAGGGCGACAGTAGGGAGACAGGTAACACATGCGCCTGCTGTCTAGGTTGGAAAGGGACTGGATTAAAAGTGGCAAGATGCTTCGTCTAAAGCCAAGCGAGCGAAGGCTGCCCTCTGCTGATCTGTTTTCTTAAACAGGTCTGCTGCTGGAAAAGTACCCACCAGTTATTGCGGGGCAGGAATGGAGCTCATAGATCGTCAAACCTGTTCCCATCACTCACCTTTTCTGGGCAGAGAGTCCGGTGTCACAGGAACGGGGGGAAAAATAAACATTCAAGCACATGACACTTAAAATGTCCCATCCTCATTTTATTTTATTAAAACAAATCCATTAAATAAAATACACTAGATGGCACTTAATTCATGTTTTTGCTGTTTCACATTGACTTCCAGTGTACCCTATGGCCTGGCCACCCCAAAATTCCTGGTTCTCAACCTGCGACTATGTTATACCCAAAGAAACTTCGCTTGACAAACAATCTATCTTTAAACAGGTGCAAGTATGTATGTGTTTTGGTGCTGATAGCCTCACATTGCACTTACCGTAACTGGGGGAAAAAATCCAGCGACTTCATCTTCTTTTGTAACTTAACACTAACTTTTCCTCCTAGTGCTTAAAACCTCTGTCTCTCCATTTTAACGATGTAAGTAACAAAGTAGACAGTTGCATTGGTCTTAGAAGTTATTTTCTTTTAGGTAGTGAAAAGAGAGCGTTGTGTGTAGATGTAGGTAGTGTTGGCCTGGATACTGAGAACTGCACACAGGAGAAAACTCATGGGAGGGGATTTTTCTGCTTTCTCCTAGCCCCTTCACCTCCCATAAACGTTCCCCAGAGCGCCAGAATGGTATGGGACTGGAGGAAAGTGTGTTGCATTAGAAAAGAGGAAGTTACCCAAAATGAAGTGGAAGCATCTTACGTGCCTGGAGCTCAGTCCAACTTTGGGTGATTTCCAATAATAATAATAATAATAATAATAATAATAATAATAATAATTTTTATTTATACCCCGCCCTCCCCAGCCAAAACAGGGCTCAAGGTGGCTAACAAGCAATAATAAAACAAGTTGAATTTTATTATATATTTGTTATCAATACAACTTAAAAACAAGATTAGAATACAACAGTAAAATATTGAAACAGTAAAACATTAAAATGTTAAAATGCAGCCTCATCACAGGAGGAGAAAGAAAAGGAAAGAGGGGGAGGGGATCAGGCTGATTCCAAGCCAAAGGCCAGGCGGAACAACTCTGTCTTACAGGCCCTGTGGAAAGAAATCAGATCCTGCAGGGCCCTGGTCTCATGAGACAGAGTGTTCCACCAGGCCAGAGCCAGTGTTGAAAAGCCCCTGGCTCTGGTTGAAGCCAATCTAACTTCCTTAGGGCCCGGGACCACTAGGGTGTTGCTGTTTATGGACCTTAAGGTCCTCTGTGGGGTATACCGGGAGAGGCGGTCCCGTAGGTACAAGGGTCCTAGGCCATGAAGGGCTTTAAAGGTCAAAACCAGCACCTTAAATCTGACCCTGTACTCCACCGGGAGCCAGTGCAGTTGGAAAAGCACTGGGTGAATATGCTCCCATGGCAGAGACCCTGTGAGGAGCCTCACTGCAGCATTCTGCACCCGCTGGAGTTTTTGGGACAGCTTCAAGGGCAGCCCCGCGTAGAGCGAATTACAGTAGTCAAGCCTGGAGGTGACCGTCGCATGGATCTCCATCCCACGCCATTCAGGGCATTCAGAGTGAAGAATGGGGAAAGGGGTGGGTGGGAATAGAACTTTCTTCAAGTTCCCTTTCACTTTCACTTCTCTGGATCCAAGCCACTGTCTTTCTCTTATGAATTAGGTTAACTATAGGAAATGGTATTGCCTGACTGTGTATATAATGACGCTTGACTGGAGTGTCTACGGAGCTCGCTAGACGTCCTGGCATTTCAATTTTGTTTCCAAGCAGCAGTTTAAATAAGAAGTAAAAAGCGGCAGGACTTGATTGGGAATGAATGAAACCACCTAGTGACTGATTGCCGATTGATCAAATCGACAAGGAGCAGCATCTTGCGGTTAAAAGAAAGGCACACTGCGTGCTCTGAGCATCCCGCAAGAGGCGTTTGGGAATAACTCAGCAGCAATAAAGCTGATTTCAGTTCATAGCAGGCAGCTGATATCGGGCAATAGACTTAGGAAAATGCAGCGCCAGCAAGCCATTGCACCAAGCAAGCTCGACTTCACCGTCTGCGGTAGAAGTCTTGAAATGCTCAGTTGCAAAACAGCGCAATGGGCACATAGCGGAACGGCCAGCTCCATGTGTAGAAACATCATTGATGTCAAAGGAAAACCTCTGTGGGGAAATGGGCGTGTTAGGCTATTACAGGGCAAAGCACCCTAGACGTCGTGCCAGCAAACTTGAGCATGTCTAATTGTGATACATTTGCTCCATTTGTCTAGGGTTGCTTCCACAGCTCATTGGTGTCGCTCCAGAAAAAGCCATTAAGCTTACAGTGAGTATATTTATTTTTAAATAATTTTCTTTAGAGGGTTTTCGATCCAGTTTTGGGAGGAGACGCTCCTCAAAAGCAGCTCCCAACGTACATACAAATCCAAATCCAAATGCAGTATGAAAAATGTGAACATAAAGATATTTTAAAGTGAGGATAACTCGACACTTTTGCACTGCTTTCTTCTTTTTTGGGGGAGAAGTATTTACTTTTGTAGAACACCCAAAACATTTCTCAAGAGATCTCTCTGCTCCCGGAACTGCCACACTCTGGCCTCTTGTTTTTAGATCTCCTTTAAAAAAAATAAATCTTTACTGAAAGTTCAAAAAGTACATAATTATATGTGCACTAAACATAGTGAGACGTAAATAAAAGAGAGAAAAAGAAAAAGAGAAACAGAACCTGTGAGGAAGAGAAAATAACGGGAGGAGGTTGGGAGAACCCCAAACCCATGTACTTTACCAGGTTGTTACTGTACTTCCCCAGATCTTAACCTATTACAGAATTTGTAAGAATGGATTCCAGATATCAAATCCAAATATCCAAATATTATTTTTAGATCTCCTGAATAAACTGTAGACGAGGAAGGTGGAATTGGGGGCTGATGGTATTAATTATGTCTTTCTGTTAGGTCAATGACTTCGTCAGAGACAAATTCACGCAGAGAGACGGTTCCATTCCACTGTATGCAGAGATCCTTGCGGGAGGCTGCGTAAGTATCCCTGCCATGGGAAGAAGCACACCTTTCCCACTTTGTGCCCATATTAAAATGACTGCCGACACATAACAATTTTATCGCCGTGTCATGGGAAGAGCTGCCACAATTTTGGTGCTGTTTGTCCCTTTCTATTGACACCTTTTCCACTGCCGGCTGCTACGTGGAGCAGGTTACAGCAAAGCAGGGCATCTCTTTACATTACTACCATCAGCACAAAGCTGTTGTTAGAAATGTCAGGTTGTTTTCCCCCACAAAACAGCTCTGATTGTCAACACCGGCTGGAGAAAATGACCGTGAGAAAGCCACGGCTGTATATATATATAGAGAGAGAGAGAGATGTAGAGCTCTCTCGGTTTTTTGGCAGAAGAGTTCCTTTTGTCTGAAAGGTGGAGAGGAGCTTTATTTATCTCCTGCAGAGCAAATCCATTGTCTGCTTGCAACAGGATTTATCTGGCTCCAGTTGTTGTTTTTTTAATCAAGAGGACATTTATGTAAGTAACAATGTACCGTATTTTTCGCTCTATAAGACGCACTTTTCCCCTTCTAAAAAGTAAGGGGAAATGTGTGTGCATCTTATGGAGCGAATGCAGGCGGGAGGCTCTGCTCAGCGCTCCCTTTAAAGAGCCGCGTGGAGTGTGTGTGCGGCTCTTGGGGTCTTTTCCCTCAGGGAAAAGCCCCCAAGAGCTGCACACAGGCTCCACATGCTCTTTAACGGGAGCGCGGCTCTTGGGAGAGCCTTCATCCTGCTGCCCGGGAGAGGCTGTGCGCGGCTATCCCATAAGCCAGGACAGCAAGAGGGATCGCTGCGCAGCGATCCCGCTTGCTGTCCTGGCTTCTGGCTTAGCGCGTAGCTCTTGCGGGAGGTGGGGGAAGGGACAGAGCGTGCGGCTCTGTCTTTTCCTCCACCTCCTGCAAAAGCCCCCAAGAGCCGCGCAGAGCGTGTGTGCGGTGCTTGGGGGCTTTTCCCCGAGGAGGGAGAAGGGCAGCCCGTCAGCCCCTCCTCGGGGAAAAGCCCGCAAGTGCCACACACATGCTCCACGCAGCTCGTGAAAGGGAGCGCTGAGCAGAGCCTGGGATGCATACAGGCTCTGCTCACTGCTCCCTTTAAAGAATCCCTCCCCCTTGCATTCCCCCTCTAAAAAACTAGGTGCATCTTATGGAGCGAAAAACACAGTAAATGCAGGGCCAAATGTGAAACACTTTTGAGCTCCATTGATTTCCATGGGGGAGAGTTAAGCAGGTGCCTAATTCTGTCCCAGTGAAATCAGTGGGAGTTTTAAGTGTTCCATTGTACATTGTATATAGGAAGCTGCCTTTATGCCAGGTCAGTCCATCAAGTTCATTGTTGTCTACACTGACTGGCAACAGCTGTCCAAGGCTTCAGGCACAGGTCTCTCCCAGCCCTACCTGCCAAAGCAAGGGGTTGAGCCTGAGACCTTTTGGGTGCAAAGTGAACGCCCCACCACCGACCGAGCTGCCCTCCTTCTCAGAACAATATATCACTGACATTTTCCAGGACGCATTGATTCCAGTGCAGCTTGAATCTTATTGAAATGCAAGGAGTTCCACTCTAACGCATTCCTTACTGAAGGGCAGCTGCTCTTTCTGCCACCTCAGTTCTACTGTACCCTTCAGGAACCAGAAATGTAGCCCACCCCCCAAGAGTGGAGAGTAACTGATGCAAAGGATGGAGGCAGGTAATCTGTTTCTCAGAGAACCGACAGCCGTTTGAATGAATGCTGGCTGCTTTTGGTGAGCACACTTAGCCCAATTTCACCATGGGTTAATTGTTCAAATATACGCTCAGCCTTGGTTTGCTGTTCTTAAAGCGTTAGGGGAAGGTCCCTGCTGAATTGTCAAGCCCGGACCCTGCAAAGGCATTGCATTTTTGTTGTTTACTATTTATTTGTATATCGCCCTTCGTACGTAAAAGTCAGGATGGTTCGCCACATAAAGTGGCATCATAGTTCTTTTAGTATCTTTTTAAAGAGTTGAGTTGAAAAGCATCTGTCTTCCTATGTAGCTTCTGTCCTCACTTTGGTGAAGCAATAGACTCGGTTGTGCTTAAGGTTATTATCCATTCTAAGCCGACAAAGGTCTGTATAGTTAAAGCTATGGTTTTCCCAGTAGTGATGTATGGAAGTGAGAGCTGGACCATAAAGAAGGCTGATCGCCAAAGAATTGATGCTTTTGAATTATGGTGCTGGAGGAGACTCTTGAGAGTCTCATGGACTGCAAGAAGATCAAACCTCTCCATTCTTAAGGAAATCAGCCCTGAGTGCTCACTGGAAGGACAGATCCTGAAGCTGAGGCTCCAATACTTTGGCCACCTCATGAGAAGAGAAGACTCCCTGGAAAAGACCCTGATGTTGGGAAAGATGGAGGGCACAAGGAGAAGGGGACAACAGAGGACGAGATGGTTGGACAGTGTTCTCGAAGCTACCAGCATGAGTTTGACCAAGCTGCGGGAGGCAGTGGAAGACAGGAGTGCCTGGCGTGCTCTGGTCCATGGGGTCACGAAGAGTCGGACATGACTAAACAACAACAACATCTAAAAGGCCACACCTGAACCATATATGTAGAGCACTATTATGTCACTTTAAGCAACCCTGCTTCTCCCCAGTGAATCCTGGGCACCATGGTTTGAGAAGGGTGCTGAGAGTTACAGGCGTACCTTGGTTTTCGAACAGCTTAGTTTTGGCTCCTGAACGCCACAAACCCAGAAGTGACTGTTCCAGTTTGCGAACTATTTTTGGAAGCCAAACGTCCGACGGGGCTTCTGATTGGCTGCAGGAGCTTCCTGCAGCCAATCAGAAGCCACGCTTTGGTTTCCAAACGTTTTAGAAGTTGAACGGACTTCTGGAACGGATCCAAGGTATGACCGTATTCCCATCACAGAGCTGAGTGATTTGAACACCAGTCCCTCTTCCCAGGGAACTCTGGGAACTGTACCTCTGTGAGAGGAATAGGGCTCTCCTAACAACTACGTGGTGGCGTAGCGGGTGGCGCTGTGGGTTAAACCACAGAGCATAGGACTTGCTGATCAGAAGGTCGGCAGTTTGAATCCCCGCGACGGGGTGACCTCCCGTTGCTCGGTCCCTGCTCCTGCCAACCTAGCAGTTCGAAAGCACGTCAAAGTGCAAGTAGATAAATAGGTACCACTCCGGCAGGAAGGTAAACGGCGTTTCCGTGCACTGCTCTGGTTTGCCAGAAGCGGCTTAGTCATGCTGGCCACATGACCTGGAAGCTGTACGCCAGCTCCCTCAGCCAATAAAGCGAGATGAGCGCCGCAACCCCAGAGTAGGTCATGACTGGACCTAATGGTCAGGGGCCCCTTTACCTTTACCTTTAACAACTTTCAACACCCTTAACAAACTGCAGCGCCCAGGATTCTGCCAAAGTGCTGTAATAATGCTTTAGATGTATGGTGCAGCTGTGGCCAAAGAGGCCAGAGCCCTCCCCGGGTTTGGATCTGGGAACTCTTAATAACTTCCAGTTGAACAGGCTGGATGGAAATCTTCAGCTTGTCACCAAAACCATGGGCAATGAGGCTGTTGACCTCTGCAAACTCCGAATTCAAAGAGGCAGCCCTGGAGTGATGCTGTTCTTACTTCTCCCTGATTAGAAATGGCAGCCCTGTAGATACCCCAGCCTTCGCTTGTCAGTGCACAAACCCACGTTTGGGAAAGGCAACAACTGAGCGAGTTATAGCCGTACCCCAGAGAGAACCTAATCTCGCTTTTGAAGGCCCATTAGAAGCAGCTACAGTTATATGGAAGAGACCCCTCAACCCCGCAAATAAATGTAATTCAAAGGCCTGACACATCTGCTGACTTCTCTCCCCCCCCCCCAACTTCCCGCCGCCAGCCCCCCCATCCGAAGTCAGCTATAAACTGCTGGGGGCTGCTGTGGTTTCATGAGGAAGCCCACACAGCCTAACGGCAGTATAATTTTTATGAAAATGTATGCACATTTTAAATTAGACTTGAGTTCCTTTAAAAAAAAAAATTGCTTGAGGATGTTTTCAGGTATGCATTCATTAGGCTATTTCCCCCCCTGCTGCGACATGTGTTCAGTAAGGAATCTTAGCGATTTCTGTTTCGGTAATGAACTTTGATTATTAGGGTTACTAACTTAATATTGTTTTGTACCAAAACATGTTTCTAGCATGGGCAAGTCTTCATTAAGCGCTACCTCTGTCCCTTTTTGCTCAAGGCATTTTAATTTGAAGTGTAGTCCGTCATTCACACCAAGAACATTTGAACATCAAAAGCTGAGCTCATCATTGCCTACTCTTGACTGGCAGAGCATCTCAGAAAGATGTATTTCCCAGCCATATGTGGAGATGTTGGGGTTTGAACCCAGGAATTTTGCTCTCCCACTAAGCTCCCCTTGGGTAGCAGACAAGGAATCCTAAGGGGTTTCTGGCTCTGAATTGCACATCCTCTGCCCCAAGTACTAAAAGAAGAGCGCTACCTGCACAAATGTCTCTGAGCCAATCCGTTGCAGAAAGGCAAATGTTTGAGCGCTTCCCCAGTAAAGCTGACTTTTAAAAAATAAAATATCTATTTAAAAGAAAGTCTTCTCCTCTTGGTCCCAGGGCATTTTAGGGCTTCTTATAGGCAATAACTAGCACCCTAAAGCAGAGACATCACCTTGCCAGCAAAGGTCCATATAGTTAAAGCTATGGTTTTCCCAATAGTGATGTATGGAAGTGAGAGCTGGACCATAAAGAAGGCTGGTCGCCAAAGAATTGATGCTTTTGAATTCTGGTGCTGGAGGAGACTCTTGAGAATCCCATGGACTGCAAGAAGATCAAACCTCTCCATTCTGAAGGAAATCAGCCCTGAGTGCTCACTGGAAGGACAGATCGTGAAGCTGAGGCTCCAATACTTTGGCCACCTCATGAGAAGAGAAGACTCCCTGGAAAAGACCCTGATGTTGGGAAAGATGGAGGGCACAAGGAGAAGGGGACGACAGAGGACGAGATGGTTGGACAGTGTTCTCGAAGCTACCAACATGAGTCTGACCAAACTGCGGGAGGCAGTGGAAGACAGGAGTGCCTGGCGTGCTCTGGTCCATGGGGTCACGAAGAGTCGGACACGACTAAACGACTAAACAACAGCAAAGCACCCTAAATTGCACTCTGAAACAGCTGGCGCAATAAAAGGGGCCACATGATCCCAGCACCTTGCCCCAGTCGAGATTTTAGCGCCTGCATTCCTCGTGTATTGGAGCTCTTAAGTGCTTTTCAAAGGCAGCCTCACGTCATGTGTGATTCTAGTGCAGCCAAACGGTAAGCGATGCATGTAGGACCGTGGCCAGGTTTGACCCTACCAGGAGTGGGCAGCCCCCTCGGAACTGGGGGGGAATCGCAATAGAGGTGCTGTAGGGATAGAAAGAGAGGGATTCCTTTTATTGGAACAGGGCTGTTGGTTTCTGTGGACGGCGTCTTCGAAGTGGCCGTATTTCCAGAAGGAGCAGGACGATGTAGCTGACCAACGTCGGCTGTACGGAAGCGGAATCACCTAGCTATCTCCTCTGCGTGCTGTTGTTTTTAAGAAACAGGAAAAAAGGGAGGCAGGGACTTTATTACTTTCACATCATCGTTCCATATATTAGCCAGGTTTAACTTCTATATAGTGGTACCTCGGGTTAAGAACTTAATTGGTTCCGGAGGTCCGTTCTTAACCTGAAACTGTTCTTAACCTGAGGTACCACTTTAGCTAATGGGGCCTCCTGCTGCCGCCACATGATTTCTGTTCTCATCCTGGAGCAAAGTTCTTAACCTGAGGTACTATTTCTGGGTTAGTGGAGTCTGTAACCTGAAGCGTCTGTAACCTGAAGCGTCTGTAACCCGAGGTACCACTGTACTTGTCAGGCTGCAAGGAGCAGCCCAGGGCAAACAGTTGACCATGCATCCTTTTTTGTAAGAAGCCCCATTGAGAGGATGGAGTGATGTGCTGGGGGAAAAAATTCCCCAAGATCCCTAAAAGCAGAGGGCGCTTAATGTGCACTTGCCTGAGAAAGTTAGCACAAATTTCTGGAGCTTAGCTGGGAGAAGGGAGTGTGAGCACCTAGAAGTCGTCTCCTAAGAGCAATCTGCGTCAAAGGACAATGTTTTCAGTGTGGGGAAAAGTTTTGGTCCGGGACGCTGACTGTTTTCAGCAAGAGGAAGCGGGTGTTGGGGGCAGGGCTGAAGCGCCCCCCCTTCCCCCTTTGTGTCTTGTGCCTCACGGGTGGAATTGGAAAGGGCAAGAGGTCTCCTCTTCCAGGGTCACTTGTGCATTTCCTTCCGCCTCTGGCATGTCAGAAGGTGTTTGCTGTGGGATCTCAGACTGCATCTCTTCTCTCATAACCTTTGCTGTCAGCTTGAGTTTTTTTGCATTTGTTCCTCGTGGAGACTTTATTTTACATGACGTTAAGGTTAAGCAAGGGAGCTTGAATTGTTCGTACTCCTGATCTGTATGAATAACCTCCATTCAGGATTGAATTTGTCATGTTGCTGCCCCAAAAGGTGTCTGTCATAATTTAGGAACCGTTTTCTGCGTGTGAGAATAGCTGGGCTTGTATCGGGCTTATTATTTGGACACTGTATTTGAATGGAGCCGTTGTTTATAGCACAGCCTGCCAATGCGCTCTCAGAATGTCTGCATAGATTCCTTTTTCCAGGGTGTTCCACCCCCTCCCCGCTGAGGGTTTGGAACCAAGTTTCCTTGGTCTCCCCTCCTTAATAAATTTCAGTTTCTAAAGCAGTGATAACACCCATGCTGCTACCATAGCCATTACTACAGTGGGGCATCTGTTGGGTGCCAGTATTATGCTACATGCTGCACAGAGCCTGAGTCAAGTTATGTTTCTCCAGAGGGACAGGGATGCGGGTGGTGCTGTGGTCTAAACCACTGAACCTCTTGGGCTTGCCGGTCAGAAGGTCGGCGGTTCAAATCCCTGCGATGGGGTAAGCTCCTGTTGCTCTGTCCCAGCTCCTGCCAACCTAGCAGTTCGAAAGCACGCCAGCGCAAGTAGATAAATAGGTACCGCTGTGGCGGGAAGGTAAACGGCGTTTCCATGCACTCTGGCTTCCGTCACAGTGTCCCGTTGCGCCAGAAGCGGTTTAGTCATGCTGGCCATGTGACCCGGAAAGTTGTCTCTGGACAAACGCCAGCTTCCTTGGTCTGAAAGCGAGATGAGTGCCGCAACCCCATAGTCGCCTTTGACTGGACTTAACCGTCCGGGGTCCTTTACTTTTACCTTGTCCAGAGGGGTTCCGGTTCCACCTTAACAAAATACCTTCACTGATCATATTAAGGATCATTCCTTAATCTAAGGAATGGAACTCTGGAACAAATTATTCCACAGTTCAGCCACTGATCCAGGATGGAAAGTTTTGGGCTTCCGGATTAATCCAGTCAAGTCATTGCACAATGAGAACGGCTTACTCTCATGCAATGGAACTTCCCCTCCCTCTCCGTCCCCCCCCCCCCGCACTTACCTAAATCTACTCCTGAGTGTAGGGAGACCCCCCCAAGAGCAGATTAAGGGGCAGTGCAGGCGGTGGGCAGAACGAAAAAATCCATTTACACGGGAAGAAGTGTTTCTGCTAATGCAATGGCTTTATTTGTTTCTTTAGAAAATCCATAAACATGTCGCTGAAAAATAAATTCCCCCGAGCTTCCGTATGCAACATGACTAAAACATGTGAGCCAGTTAAAAACAAGTATGCATAAAGCCATCTTTTTTTAAAGTTCAAAAAGTACATAATGTGCACTAAACATGGTGAGACATAAATAAAAGAGAAAAGGAGAAAGAGAACCTGTGTTTAACCTATTACAGTATTTGTAAGAATGGATTCCAAATATCGTTGAATTTGTCCATGGCACGTCTTCGTTTATATGCAAGATGTTCATATGTTGCGAGTTTGTATAAATCTTCAATCATAGAAGGGAGCCACATTTTTATTTTTCCAACTCACCAGTATCAAATATGCATAAAACCATCTTTAAAAACCAAGGTAAAATCAGTGAAGCTTTTAAAATAAGTGTAACTAACTTGTGTGTCTGGATAAGCTTGCTGAAATTAAAACCTTTTCATCAAGCATGTAAAAATAAATAAATAGAGAAGCCACACCTTCCTAATGTCAAGTGGCAGGGAGTTCCAGAGCACAGATGCTGCCACACCGAAGGAACGACTCGTCGCAGATGCGGAACGGCCATTGTGTGGCATTTGTAAAAGTGCGAGTTCCACAGACCAAAGTGAACAAGTGGACACATTTAAGGCAATCCTTGAAGTAAACTGGTCTATAGCAGCAAAGCAGATAAGCCTATGTCAACTTTGAACTTGGCCTGGTAACATGACATTGGTCAGTGCAGCCCTCTGTGTGCTGCAGTTCTTGCAGCCGGATCCTTCCTCCCAAGTACTTGGAGATGTGTGCATCTTCAGTCCACGGGACTTAAGTTTTGTCACCTCTTGGAATAGGTAGGAGAATGAGCCCCAAGTCCTTGTAGTCCCTCAAGCAGCTGACGGTTGCTGTCGGAGCAGGCAGTCTTGCCAACTTTTGAGGTATGTATTTTGGGACACACAGAATAGTTTTGTGTGCAGGACTCATGGCCGCATACTTATGTGCACAGGCAGGAAAGACGTGCACACATTTTCGGAGGTGCTTTGAAAGTTCACTGTGAGGGACTCTGCGGTGGGGCAATTGGCTGAAGTCAGAATTTGCAAGATTTCCCATGCGTTTCCCCTCTGACCTCACACATGACAGCCTAGGACTGCGGCCTCATCACAGAGCCTTAGACAAGATTGTGCATTTTAATTAAAAGAAATAAGCTACATTGTGCCATCAACACGGTTCTGAAGTCCAAAAAACCTGAATCTACTGATACAGGTTCCATCAGTCAAAGCTGCATTTTTCTGAAATCCTGTCCCTTTAAAGAGCTTGCTGCTGTTTGTGCACATGCAAAACACCATTTCAACCGCTTTCCACGAAAGGAACTGGGGAAGTTAATTGGGCCGTGATTGGCTTCTCCCTCCCTCTCCTTCGAAAATAAAAATGTTTATGAATTGATCTATTTGACTTTTTTTACAGGGTTATTTTGCCAGCCCTGCAGGAACTCTAATTTCTAAAAGATGAAAAATAAAAACAAAACAATGCCTTGCAAAACAGAATTTCCTGTATATACAGGCACCACAGTAAACTCCGGTGAACCAATCTCAAATGACTAGTCTGGCCAAATTCAATTTCTATTCCTTTTTTGAAGTGTGTGTGTGTGTGTGTGTGTGTGTGTGTGTGTGTGTGATTTCTACAAGAAATATCTTTAATGACTCAATGAACAAATCTACACCTTTCAAGTCAGTTTTGCCTTGTTTTTTCTAATGGGAGGGGAAGAGAAAATATTTTGCAAAATGCTTAGGCTATCAATGTGTGTCATCAGTTACACAGCTCAAACAAACTGCTGGCTACAATGCCCACAACTACGGCTGGGCGAGATATTGTCCAAAACCAAAATTATGATACTGGTTTCGTAATGTTTGACCTAGCGATATATTGCAAATCGTGATGGGTGGGTGGGTGCTTGGTCTGAAAGTGAGATGAGCGTCGCACCCCATAGTCACCTTTGGCTGGACTTAACCATCCAGGGACGTGGGTGGCGCTAGGGACCTGGGTGGTGCTGTGGGTTAAACCACAGAGCCTAGGACTTGCCGATCAGAAGGCCGGCGGTTCGAATCCCCGCGACAGGGTGAGCTCCCGTTGCTTGGTCCCTGCTCCTGCCAACCTAGCAGTTCGAAAGCACATCAAAGTGGAAGTAGATAAATAGGTACCGCTGCAGCGGGAAAGTAAACGGCATTTCCGTGCGCTGCTCTGGTTCGCCAGAAGTGGCTTAGTCATGCTGGCCACATGACCCGGAAACTGTACGCCGGCTCCCTCGGCCAATAAAGCAAGATGAGCGCCGCAACCCCAGAGTTGGCTACGACTGGACCTAATGGTCAGGGGTCCCTTTACCTTTACTTTAACCATCCAGGCGTCCTTTAGCTTTTACGTTTTTAGGCACTGAAACTACCTTGGTTGCCCTTAGGATGACCTATGCCAAGGGAGAGATGGCAGGGGTATATGACACTGCCGATAGCCACACGGGGGCATTTTGCGGAGAGATCATGGTTGTGGAGGAAAGGGTTTTAAATTTCTTCTTTTGTGGTGCTGTGCTGGTGAAAATCTCTCCCCCCCCCCCAATTTCCCAGAGCCTATTATTATAATTTTAAAGCGAAGTGTCGCAGCCAGTATTACATCCAGGTTTAATTTTGGTAAAGGCAGACAAGCCGTTTCCAAGTAGGCGGATCGGTCCAGCCGTCTGTCCCATGATGACCCCTGCACTTTTTCCAGAAGTGAAGGGTGGTTAGACCTATAGCGGGCCAAGGGAAAGTCTAAACATGTCACTTCCCAGTACGTTTACATGCTTCTGGAGCGAAACTGTCACGTTGAATCGCCCTGTGAAATTTTGAAATGCCGCTTGGTGAATGTCTGAGGTTAAAACGCACAACTTGGGAGAGAGCAGTTCATGCAGCAAACCTCCTGTGAGGGACGGGGCTTGCGCTCTTGCTAATGAAATATAAAACAACTTGACAGCTGTTAAATTTGTGTCACACCCAGGCTGGGGAAACTGGTAATATCAATCTGTTTCTGTCTGTATCTTCCCCCGCACCTTTTCTTTTCTTCTTTTTTTAATATATAATTTTTACTATAACAGATGTGGTAATGGAGGTGTGCCCATTATTCACTCTGAAACAATGAATTTCCATTTTAAATGGTAAAAAGCTCCCCTAGTCAAGCCTAAGAGCCCTGCCAATTATTTACAGTAGCAAAAGCCAATTTTCATTCAGCTCACCTTTTGCCATCACTCAAAATCATTAAACACTGACAAGCACAACAGCAATTAATGCTCCCTTCCAACAGTGATGGTGCCTATTTATATTTCTTAGTCACTTTGCTCGCAGAAATGACTCAAAGCGACTTACAATGCAGTAGAAACGCTGAAACAGCCAACTCTTCCATTAAAAACCTAAAACACGCATTTATACGAATCAAAGCCTGCTGTTCTGTTGCTACCCTGCAGACCTCTTGCGGAGCACAGAAGGGCCTCAGGTGATGATTGCAGAGTTTGGACGGCTGGTTCTTGTTGGGAGAGGCTGGCGGCGAAGTATCGGGAGCAAAACCTGCCCTTTGAACGGAGCCTGGAAACTATTCAGTAGCCAGTGCGATCGTGCCAGAATTGGAGCTATACGTTTCGGCTGCCCTGCACGGTTGACAGTCCAACTGCTGGACTCTGCAGCAGCTGCACTTTCCGAACTCGCTTCAAGGCCAGCCCCACATATTGCAGTGATCCAGCCTAGAGGTTGCCAGAACATAGGCAACAGAAGTTAGGCTTTCCCTGTCCAGAGAAGGTCCCAGTGGGGCCACCGGTCAAAGCTGACGGAAGGCGCAGTGATACCGGGCCTTTTCACTCTTGTCTTTTATTCCGCCGTAGTCTTTTGTTCCACGTTAGTGGAGGAAGTCTATCGATGAGCAAGAGTCCAGTGGCTGAGTGGAGGGTCGCCCTTGATGGCATTGATAGTCTGCCCCTCCTTCCTGAAGAATGGAATAAATTTAATGATTATTTAGTTAAATTTGTTAAGTTAAACTAACTGGAAATAGCTTGCAGATACTTAATAGGCTTAGGATTTTATTTATGTTAAGTGATGAATTAATATGTTTAATTCTATAAGGTGCAGATTTAAGGATGTTAATGTTAAAGTTAAATTTCATAAACATTGGGATTTGGAAAACCGTTAAAAGGACATGCAATGAAATTCAACCAAGGGGAAGCGAGGAAGTCACTTAACAAAGTTAATAACTGTAATTTTTAATAAGGCTATGATTTATGTTTGTTTGTCTTGTTTGTTTGTTTGTTTGTTTGTTTGTTTGTAATATTGTGAAAACCAATAATTTTTTTGGCAATGATAATCTGCCCCTCCATTCAGCAGCCGTGTACTTGCACAGTGCTGGTTGCCATAGCCTCACCACCTCCTGGTGAAATGCTCTTCCTTCCTTTATCTGTCATTTTGCCATGGCTGTTGGTGGTTTTGGCTAGTGAACTGCACTTCTGCTGCTGCCGTGACATCAGCAGCAGCTAGCCAGTCACGTGCCTCTGGTTGTCTGCGCTTTCAGAATGCGCTTTCCTGTGTTAGGCTGCGTGCAAAATTGCAAACCCCACTAAGACTGGGTGAGCTTCTCTCCGGCTTTCCACCTGCTTATTTGTTCCGTACCAAGAAGAAGGAAAGCACGGCATAATAGACATTTGTTTATTATTGCAATTTCAACTAAAGCATGGTGGGCTGCCCTAAAACATTGGCTCAGGATTTCAGCGTTTCATCTAGGGAAGGGTTTGTACCAACACCTGACCAATGAGGAGTTTGTCAGCAAATGGCAGAAAACCATGGCTAGAAAAGCCACTTCTATTGGTCTGTCACCCCCCCCCCCAACTGTATTACCTGGCTTATGAAGGCGCCCAAAAGGTTTTAAAGCAAAGATAATGGGACAATGCACACAGTGACTTGCGATCTCGATCACACGCAGTCTGTAGTCCGCTGGCAGTAGGAGTACAATATGGGCATGTCTTTAAGTTAACATCTTACCTGACAGTACCAAATTATAGAAGGCTTTTCACCAAAGCCAGACTAAACGTCTTTCCTTCTGCCGTGTTGGATGGCAGGTTGAGAGGAGTTCCCTACCAGGACAGACCTTGCTTGTGTGCTCAAGACACCGATTCCATAAAACATATTTTGCAGCACTGTGCAAAGTATGAGCAAGCCAGGGCTGAACTGATATCACCCTTGCTGGTACCTTTCCCGGGAAAATCAGAGGCTCACCATGTCAGGTTCCTATTGGAAGACTGGACAAATGCTAGAACATTAGAAGAGGCAAAGTTTTTATTGGTGGTTGCAAGAACCAATGATCCCTATATTCTGAACAAACTGCTTGTTTAACCTGGAGGTAGGCTGTATGAATCGTGCATTGCTTTGTAACGATTTGTTGGGTGTCTGGACTGTAATAAAGATTGATTTGATTTGATATTATTGTTGTTGTCACTGTTAATTTTTACTCGTTGCTTCCCTCGCACGCAGGGGCGGAGGAAGGGTGTGTGTGGTGGGGGCAGGCTGCCCTGGGTGTCACCACAGGGGGGGTGGGGTGACTAAATGCTGGGCGGCACTCACCGTGGGGCCTGCAGCGCGCCCGAGCCACGTGTCTCTCCTGGGGGTGACGCGGTGGCTTGGGTCCCCACAGGCTCCACACAGCCCCAAACGGTCCGCCCGCTGCCTCCCCCTCAGTTGTAGGGCGGCTGAGCGGGAGGAGACAGGCAGACTCCTCTGAGGCCCCACGGAGCGTCCTGTCCCGGCTCGCCCCGCCCCACAGGTGGCTGGCCCCGCCCCCGGTCGCAGGGCATGTGCGCCACCCAAGGCGCCCGATCAGCTTGCTCCGCCGCTGCTTGCATGTGACACAATGTACAAACACCATAGAAACGCATTTATACAAATTAAAAAGGCAGGTCAACTGTCTGTACATTCTGTGATGGTTGACAAAGATTTTATACTGCTTTTCAGCTTATTCAAGTTACAGGATTGGCTTAGGGGCTGGGGAATATTTGTCTTCTGAACTAAAACACACCATACAGAACCCGCTAGGCAGAGGACCATCGGAATAAAAGCAGGCGGCTGAGAGTGGATGTCGGTGGTCCCCCCCCCCCTTGTGATGCCCCACTTTTGAATGCCTTCTCAATATTCATCAACTGCAAAAACTGTAGCAGCTCTGATCCCTAGAATATCAGCTAGCGAAGCGAACCTTAAGTTGCCTAAAGCCGTTGCCCGATACTCAATGTGGATGCAGTGGCGTAGTGTGGGGGGTGCAGGGGGGCCGGCCGCACCGGGCGCAACATCTGGGGGGGCGCGCTCGCACTCGCAGCTCTCTGCCCCTACCTGGCTCACTCACTCTCTCTCACTGCATTGCTGGCTGTGCAAATCCGATCCGAGCCGCTGGGTCGCCGCCCACTGTGGAGGGGGTGGGTGCCAGGCGTGCGGTGCGGAGAGAGAGCGAGGGGCTATCTGGGGGAGGGACAGTGCAGCGGCCGCCCAGCGCAGCGCTGAGCGCGGGAGAGAACCACACCAGACCAGACCAGGCAGCAGCAAGAAGAAGCTGGCAGTGGCGGCAGGTTAGGGGTTAGGGGGCGCAAATTACTTGCCTTGCCCCGGGTTAGGGGGCGCAAATTACTTGCCTTGCCCCGGGCGCTGACAACCCACGCTACGCCGCTGTGTGGATGCGAGTTCTTAAGTGTTGGAAAGATCACATGTGGATTTTGGGGTTCTTTGGTGGTGGGGAAATCTCTTAACATTGTGTTGTGTTCTGCTCTCGCAGGCAGGAGGGTCTCAGGTCATCTTCACGAATCCCCTGGAGATTGTCAAGATTCGGCTACAAGTGGCAGGAGAAATCACCACAGGGCCGAAAGTTAGAGCCCTCACCGTTCTAAAGGACTTGGGGCTTTTCGGTCTTTACAAGGTGTATATTTTCTCTCTTTCTGCATTCCACTCGCTCAGATTTTTGTGTGTGTGTGTGTGTGTAAATCTTTTCAAATTTGAAAACAATCTCTGCCTGCAGGGTAGCCCCATGGTTGAAAATGGAGAGAAACCCACATTTATATTAGTGGCAGTGGGATGTACAAAAACACTCCCTCGCTTTCTTCCACGGGCTTTTATCCCGAGCCGTAGGGAGTCATGGCTCTGGGGACCCGCTGGCTTCTGGCACAGATCGTTTCAGTGGGAAGAGGTGGTGGGGTGTGTTGTAGAGGGAGAAAAAGTTTCCTCGCCTTTCCCTTTTGTGTTTATTATGGCAGCCCACATAGCCTTAGCATTTATTTCGTGTCTCCGCTATCTCTATTGTTACATTCACAGCGGGCTGCTCTCTTTGTCTTAATCACACGGCGGCGGCGCAACAGTAGTGTAGTTTAGCAGAATTCAGATCTTTAAGAAGTTAAGTGATGGGATTTGTCAATAATGAATTCGTTTTGTGAAGGGAGGGGGGAGGAATAAAACCCACAACCAACCCAGCGAGGCCCATACCGTACTGTACTTTTAGCAGAATGCCAGTAAACAGATCCTTTCCCTGCAGCTCTACTTACTTCCATCATTACAGATCAGAGGTAATGGAGCGGAAGCTATTAGTTTTCTTAAACTCGGAAGACTATTTCTTCCAACACCCTTCATGACGGCAAGAGACTAATACGTAAATTCGGCAGATGCAGGCAGCTGGGCTCCCGAGAAACAGTGTTAACGCGTTTCTTTGTGCACAGAATTTGGTTCTGGAGTCGCAGCTTCCATCCAGAAGTTAGGACATCAGGAACTGCATAGCTATAGCACTTTCCTAAAGGTGTTTTAATACACAGAACAAGATTTCACTGCAGTTGGGTGGCTGGTATTTTTCCTTGTCACCCTTTCCTTGTCACACGTGTCTTAAAAGAGGGTGTGAGCGGGTTGCTAAAAATGAATCCCAGATTAATTTGAATTGAGCGAATGGATTTAGGAGGCAGATTATAAATCATTTGGGGATTTAAAGGAGGGGGGGCACAAAGACAATGTGCATGGCTTTGATTCCACCGCTACAAGCTGTGCTAATGGACTTGACCATTAGAATCATAGAATTGTACTGTTGGAAGGGACCACGAGGGTCATCTAGTCCAACCCCCCTGCAATGCAGGAATCTTTTGCCCCATGTGAGACTCAAACCCATGACCCTGAAATTAAGAGTCTCATGATCTACCGATTTTCCTGTCGGCGCTGAGCCTGTTCCGGGGTGGCAGTAGAGAGGTTGCTACATACTGATGATAGGAGGTATCAATTGGATCATCACAAGTAGACTCTCCTGCCCATAGAATTCAGAAGGACAGTGGCCATAAACAAAGCTCAGAGATGCCTTCTTCCACTGCACACACTGCCAGAAAACAAAGCATTCTGACTTTCAACCAAAGTGGTGGTTCTCCTTTTTCAGTCTGACGGCTGTGGGTGATTGGTACTTAAAGTCTTTGAGCATCTCCAATAGATCTTGCAGCCAAGGAGTCATATGGTCTGAGCGTTGGGTCTTTTCTTGCTGTTGACGCTGAAGGTTCTCTTCCACGTTCAGCTGTCTCTGTTTGCCCCATTGTAAAGAGCCCTGCACCCTCAGTTGTAATATTTGTTCACGGAGCCACAATAGCATTTTCTCTGCCAGGACGTTCCTGTTCAGACATGGCAGGGGGAGTGGGAGGGAATGCAAACATGTATTTTATTCACTGCATTTTCCCTGCCCTCACTTTCATGAACCCAAGAAAATAAATATATTGAGAGATCCAAAAATGCAGCCAGTACTTAAAATGTTGCAATCTTTTGGTTTAATAATAATGATAATGATGATGATGATGATGATGGTAATAATAAATTTATTATTTATACCCCGCCCACCTGGCTGGGTTTCCCCAGCCACTCTGGGTGGCTTCCAACCAAATATTAAAAGCAATACAGCGTCAGACATTAAAAACCTCCCTAAACAGGGCCACCTTCTGTTGTCATTTAAAAGTAAAGTAGTTGTTTATTGCCTTGACATCTGCTGGGAGGGCATTCCATAGGGCAGTCGCCACTCCCGAGAAGGCCCTCTGCCTGGTTCCCTGTAACCTCACTTCTCGCAGGGAGGGAACTGCCAGGAGGCCCTTGGAGCTGGACCTCAGCATCCAGGTTGGACGATGGGGTTGGAGACGCTCCTTCAGGTATACTGGGCTGAGGCCATTTAGGGCTTTATAGGTCCGCCTCAACACTTCGAATTGTGCTCAGAAACGTACTGGGACATCATTGGCGAAGCGCCCATGATTTGGCATCAAATACACCCCCAGCAATACTGCAGCGAAAGCACTCGACTCAAGAGCAATCGCCAGTAAAAGCCTAGCAAAATAAACACGTTTTTAAATTCCCATTGGAACATAGGCAATTGAGCGCCAATTGAATCTCAGGAGGGAAGGAATTCCCCAGCCAGGGTGTCACCACCAAAAAGGCCGGATCCCAGGGCATAGCATAATGTACCTATACTATAGACAGAACCACAAGGCAGCTTCAAACCGGTGTTGCCCACATCTCAGGGCTGAGGCTAGGGAGTCGTCCAGATCCCCTCTTTGCGCCTGGATAGTTCCCGAGCCTTGTGTGTAGAGGCAGTTTGAATTTATCCTGTGTGTCTATAACTTGTTTGCACTTTCCCCCCTTATTCACGTGACAGGGTGCCAAAGCATGTTTCCTCCGAGATATTCCCTTTTCTGCAATCTATTTTCCTGTGTACGCTCATTGTAAACTGATGCTTGCAGATGAAAATGGCCACGTGGGAGGATTTAATCTGCTTGCAGCTGGTGCTATCGCAGGTAACATTTTACAGTGTGATTTGCAGGCAGCTCTCCTTCTCTCACGTACCTCTCCCCCCCCCCACTTGCCAAACCTGTCCCCTTTCCTAGCAATCGTTAATATTCATCAGAGCCAGGGATAGGAAGCTAATACACTATTGTATCTAGCTTAATCTAAATTTGATCACTTTTATCCTTGGTGGGAGGTAGTGTAATTTTGACGAGAGCTAATTACATTTGCATAATGTGGATAAACAGCTTAATGCAGCTCAGCAACTTGTAGTCAAATTTGTACTGTTGGCCTCAATAGGGGAGTTGCGATTGTTTCAAAGCTCTCATTGTGGGAGGCTTGCCGTTTAAAATCTCAAGGAAACATACAGAGGCAAGTTTTTAAAAATTATCTTGTCTGGTTTTCCTTCATTTGGCAAGGAGTTGACATCATATATAGAACAAGAGTGTGTTTTAGAGGTTGAAATTCAAAATTATTCTTTTGGGAGAGCCAAAATTCACTTCATCTGCAACTTGTTTGAAGGAGAAGCCATTAAAATAGTTCACATAAGCATTTATTTGAAGCAGAAAGCAATTTTATGGCGCAGTCCTTCTTTCCTGTGCCCCTGGGTGGGAAGGCGTTTGTTCAGAGATTTCTGCTAAAGCCTCTGCTCCCCTTCCCATTGCTGGATCTGTCAGGCCTGTTGCCATTCAGACAGGCACAATACATGGTGTCCGATCATTTCTGATTATGTGACTTTGTGTATGGGTTATTTACCAGCTTCACGCTTTATGCCAGAGTACATTTCGCCACATGGGTATTTGAAGCCCTAAACAGCTCCACCCCCATCGTTGAGCCTGGACACTGAGGTCCAGCTCCGAGGGCCTTTTGGCGGTTCCCGCCCTGAAAGAAGTGAGGTTACAGGGAACCAGGCAGAGGGCCTTCTCGGTAGTGGCACCCACCCTGTGGAACGCCCTCCCATCAAATGCCAAGGAAAGAAACAACTATCTGACTTTGAGGAAGATGTGAAGGCAACCATGTATCGGGAAGTTTTTAATGTTTGATGTTTTACTGCGTTTCATTTTTTTTCACTTGTTGAAAGATGCCCAGAGCGCCTGGGGCAACCCAGTCAGATGGGCAGCATGTAAATAATAAACTATTATTATAATTATATTGAATGTACTCTGGCATAAAGCGTTAAGCTGCACAAGAGGAAAGAAGCTGCTGCCGTTGGCTTTTGGTTTTGTTACAAATGTGACTTCAGCCGTTTTTCGTATTCATATTCTTTGGCGTTAGAAAGGTTTCTGCCCGTCTCTGTGTTAAACTAAACACTCATTTCTCCTGAAAAGGTGTGCCTGCTGCTTCCTTGGTGACCCCTGCTGATGTCATCAAGACGAGACTGCAAGTGGCGGCTCGCGCTGGTCAGACGACGTACAATGGAGTTGTTGACTGCTTTGGAAAGATACTTCGAGAAGAAGGCCCCGCAGCTTTCTGGAAAGGAGCCGCAGGTAAGGAAAAGAGGTGGGGTGTGTGGGTACGTTTGTAACTTCTGTTTTAATTTAAAGAAGACTAGAGAGTCCCAAGGCTCGCAACCATTTAAATACCTGCTCAATAAAGCTTGTGCTTCTTCTGTTCAACAGCACGAGTGTTCAGATCTTCACCTCAGTTTGGCGTCACTCTAGTGACCTATGAACTTTTGCAGCGCTGGCTCTATGTTGATTTTGGAGGCATGTAAGTACAGTTTACCATCCTCTAAACCAGGCTTCCTCAACCTCAGCCCTCCAGATGTTTTTGGCCTACAACTCCCATGATCCCTAGCTAGCAGGACCAGTGGGCAGGGATGCTGGGAATTGTAGTCTCAAACATCTGGAGGGCTGAGGTTGAGGAAGCCTGCTCTAAACCAAGCGCAGGGAACCTGTGGCCCTTGATACAATGTTCAACTTGCACCTTTCATCAGCCTCAGCCAGCATGGGCAAGGATGATGGAAGATGGGGTCCAACAACATCTGGAGAACTACAGGTTCCCACATCCCTTCTTGGCTGGTGAAAAATGGCCTGGTACATTTAGATTAAATTGTGTTTCTAAATATAAACAGGAGACTTCAGCAACCTACAATATAATCTTTACTCTTCAACACTCCAGTGGTCTTAGCGTAAGGTTGAGACACTGTGACACAGAACAGGCAGGTGATGCGCTACAAGAAATATAGGGAATCTGTGGCCATCCATATGTTGTTATTGTTGGACTCCAACTCAGCCCCAGCCAGCATAGTCAATGATCAGGGTTGGTGGAGAAGTGTCTGCACCATCCAGCAGTTCCTCAGCTTTTCTCCCTTCAAGCTTAGAATTTCTGCATTTTTAAACTAAGAGTCCACTGGGACGCGGGTGGCGCTGTGGGTTAAGCCACAGAGCCTAGGACTTGCCAATCAGAAGGTCGGCGGTTCGAATCCCCATGACGGGGTGAGCTCCTGTTGCTCAGTCCCTGCTCCTGCCAACCTAGCAGTTCAAAAGCACGTCAGAGTGCAAGTAGATAAATAGGTACCGCTCCGGCGGGAAGGTAAATGGCGTTTCCGTGCGCTGCTCTGGTTCACCAGAAGCGGCTTAGTCATGCTGGCCACATGACCTGGAAGCTGTATGCCGGCTCCCTCGGCCAGTAAAGCGAGATGAGTGCTGCAACCCCAGAGTCGGCCACGACTGGACCTAATGGTCAGGGGTCCCTTTACCTTTAAACTAAGAGTCAGAATCCAAGTCAAAGCTTATGGCCAATTTACTGCCTTTGGCTGGTGGCATTCAAGGTATATACGATGAATCCTAGAAGAACCCTGTGGTGTCGACTGTTAAAAAGATTCAGGCCTTGGTTGATGTAAGCCATCATGCAAAAGGGTGTTTCATGGGGAGAGAAAAAGCCCAGTGAACAACACCTGACCCAGTCCTAGCTATTTCAGATCTGCATATGGATTCCCTAATTGAGTGATCTGTTGGATCAGCTCTGAGTACCTGGTCTAGATTCATGCCCAGCAACGCTCAACACTGTTAAAACTGACAAAGAGATGCATGGATGGGCTGAGATCATGAGTGTAATGCTTCAAGTATGGGCAGGGAACCTGTATGGGCTGGTGGTCCAAATCTTTATTTGCCCGTGGGCTTACTTTGACAGGTGGGTGGAGCCATCTGTCATGGATGCTTTGGCTGAGATTCCTGCATTGCAGGGGGTTGGACTAGATGACCCTTGGGGTCCCCTTCCAGCTCTACAATTCTGTGTCAAGTGACTGGGGTGCAGGTGGTTTCACCTGTCGAATTTGATTTGCAATAGTGTGGTTGCTTCAGCAGCATGTTCCCCACAGGGAACATGCTAGCAAAGCAGTACCCAGAGCAGAACTGAAACACCCCCTCCACAGTGGTTATGGGGAAATTGCCTTACAGGCCATATTGGACTAACAGGTAGGTCAAGATTTGCCCCGCAGGTTTCCCACCCCTGCCTTAAAGAAATAGCGTTATGCTGATGTAACCTGAACTCTGCTAATTTTCTCTTTGCCTCCTTACCAGCAAACCCTCCGGCTCAGAACCTACACCCAAGTCTCGAATCTCCGGCCTTCCTCCTGCCAATCCCGACCACATAGGTGGATATCGACTTGCAACAGCTACTTTTGCTGGGATAGAGAACAAATTTGGCCTCTCTCTTCCAAAGTTTAAATCAGGTGCCGTTTCAGCGCAGCCCAAAGCAGCCGCTCCCTCCTGAGCTGTCCTCTCGAGCCAGATTAAAAGTAGTGCCATGGACAGAGAGCTACAACCGTGGCTCTGCTCCTCCAGTCAGCTGCATGATGCTCTAGCTGAATGGAGCACTGACATCGAATCACTCCTTTCTATCCAAAACACAGCTAATCATTTGCACACGGGAGACCGATTCAAGCTTTAAGTTCTATGCGTAGAATAAGTAACTAGGGCTTGGCTTAGCACAGCTTGCACTCCATGTTACTGTACATATTGTACAACTTTGTACAGAGACATTATCATGGCATTGAAATGCAACTGCATTTGTAGAAACAGGTGTTGCGGTTCTAAATAGTTTGAAATGTACAGAATGTTTTGGAAAGTGTTTTATTAAAAATCATGTGACAATAAAATTTATTAAAACCAAGAATGACAGGGTTCTTTTTGTGTTCTAAGCTAAATTACTCTGTAGGAAGCAAACGGATTAAGTTATCCTTTGGGACAACCTTGCTATAGTCTGCAAGGCAGCAAGAGGTGAAGAAATGCAAAAAGATGAAAATGTTTGCTGGTAAGAAATGGTGCAAACTCCCTCCCCCAGCAACTGGTATTCAGGACACAGGCTTTGGTGGAGGAGGCAGAGCATAGCCATCATGGCTAGGAGCTAGGATAGTCCTCTCCTCCATCAATTTGCCTAATCCTCTTTTAAAACCATTTCATTTGGTGGCCATCACTGCCTCATGTGGGTGTGAGTTCCACAGTTTTAACTACTGTCATTTCTCCATGAAGTTGCAACTGCTACACCCTTTCTGCATAGGGGAATCATTCCATCCCCTCAAACATGTTGGTTGCCCCTTTCTGAACCTTTTCCCAAATGTACGATATCCTTTTTGAGGTGAGGCGACCAGAGCTATACACATTACTCTAATGCATTTGCACCAGAATGCCTTATAACAGTGTTATGATATGAGCAGTTTTTCTACACAGTCTCTTTCCTAGCATGAGTCGATGGCTTCATCCCGCTATCGGCTATAATACTGCGCCTATTACATAGTCCTAGAGAAAAAATGGACAAGTTGCTTTTGAAAGTATGAATTGCCTCATGTGCACATTCTTTTTGCTTTAGTTTAAAGAACTGCTACATGAGCAATATCAAGTAAACTGAAGAATTACAAAATAAATCCCAAATCCATTTTTATTATAGGCACAAGATACTTTTTTTATAGAAATGGAGTTTGTAAGTTAATTATTTTCCTGCAGTCCCTCACCCCTGCCCCTGCATATACCTCTGAAAATGCCAACTCTTGAAAAACAAGTCTTTAAACAGATGCTTGTGAGAAAAGAGGCCATGTAATGTTTATTTATAAAGAATTCTTACTCTACTGCAGAAATGTAACAAACAAAAAAATCCAAAGTACTTAGCAGGTATTTTAGAAAGTTTCCATTACAAAAAAGGGTTTACAGATTTTTTAGTCATATACATGACCTATCACTGTAGCCTGGAGCCTATTATATAATAATTAGGATAAAGGTTACTGTGAACAGATGCATGCACAAATCTAAGCCATTAAGAGTACTATAGCCATAACACTTTCCCACTGCCCCAGAGATTGATGTCCACAGCATAGCCTGTCAGTTTGACTGGGGAAAGCTCTTGTTCAGAAACTTACAGAACTTAAATTGCTCTGAAATAGTTATATGCCATTGAAAGTTGAACTTTAAATATTCAACGTGGTTAGTGTTTCAGTAGAACATACACCTTGCCAAGTCAGGGTAAATAATAAATTATATCTATCAGATTAAGGGTGGTGATTCAGGGATTAAAAAGCAACTTTGCAAGATCAATTTCACTGATCTTTATACACTTGTCGACTCCACAGTTTACTCCACATTTTAAATTTCAAGTTCAGCCGCATACTTAACACATGCTACTATTCTGAAGCCCTCTATAACCAATCCCAAAATTCACAGCGAGACCCCCCACTTCAACAACCTAGGAAGGAATTCGGGTCGCTGCTTCCTCTTCTGCATCAGCTCTGTTGGCATTAATTTCTGCTAAAGTTCGACCAAAACGTGTCCATTCATCATTCCGGGGAACCGCAATTTGCTGTGGAGACATAGTTATATGGGAACATCAGTGGACGTATGAAAATTAAACTCATCAGCTTGAATCCAAAAGATTGTGAGCAGAAGATGCCCTTGTTCAAGCACTAGACTTTTCATAGTGCAGCACCTGAATGCAACGGGTTCTATTAAAGTGTGAGCAACATGGTGAAAAAGGAAAATATAGGGCTGTAGCTTATTAACTGCAGCGGGCTGTAAGAAATTGTACAAATGAAGGAATTTCTCTGGAGTTGGGGTCACACTTCTAATGCAACACTCTTCTGCTAGGTCAGAAATAACCTGTGTAGCAGCACTAAGAACTATCTGCTAGTATCAGGGTTGGAGAACTGGATCCGACCACTGGGCCAAATCTTTACACCCCCCACTTCTTGCAGGCCAATTTGACAAGGCCACCCACCAATCACCTGTTACAGTGGCATCAAGTGGCCTTTTGCCTTCATGTTTGAAATCAAACCATGCGGGCAAATGCACAACTGCAAAAACCCAAACATCAGCTGACGGCAGATCTTGTGAGAAGCTTTAAAAGGGCTTCGCAAAACCCATCAATCATCCGATAATTGGGTCTTTTAATGCCCTTTGCAAAGGGCAGCGCTTGCAAATGCCTTCTGGCTGAGAAGGGTCTTTGCCTGCCCTACACTTGATGTCAGATGTAGAGGGGGGGCACGGCATGGCCAAAATAGCCTTGGGGCTCCAATGGGAAAGCCTGCAGGGCAAATCCAAGAGGTTGTCCACACCTGTGCAAGTGGAAGGGCATCCTTGGATTCAAGCCATTGTGCTACCCTGATTCACAAGAGCACCAGCTTGTCCAATCCTTTGGCCTACTGATTATTGCCATTTGGCCCTCCACCAAACAACTGCCTAACCCCAAAGGGAAGTATGGATGAGCAGCCCTCCCTGGCAATAGGGACTGGCAAAAGACCGTTGGGGTGAGGAGCTGAAGTCCCCCCACCCCATAACAAAACTAGACACACCCGGAATTCTTACTACTACAGAAAACTACATCCATTTAAATAAAAAATATTTGAATTGCTGAAATCTTAACGCTGTATCTTTGTATGCATAAACTTAAATACACACTGACATCTGCAGTGATAGAACTATGGACACCCAACCCAAATAAGTGCCTTTTATTATTGGACTGAAGTAAAATAATGTAAGACATCATTTTTACTTTGGAAGCACTTGAAAGTTACCTACCTCTCCCACATCGTAAATTATTATTTGTCCTTCTGAATCTCCGACAGCAATCTCCCGTCCTGAATTTGTCCATCGCACACGGTTTAGGGCAGGATTACCTTCCACAGTAATGCTTGCTGTTGGCACCTATACCAGTTTTAAAAACATACCATGTTTCAACTGGACTTATAGTATCTTCCCAACTTTCTTAACCTTCAACGCAAATATTAAGATGGCAATACAGACACTGAAGTGTGCCGGCTGTTCCTTATGCCGCAGGAACAAAATACTGTATGAAGGAACACATTATACCTTTCAAAAGTTTAAAATTTACGTGATGCAGATGTGAACATTCAGAAGAGGAATGTTGGTAATGATAGGAATTAGAGCTCCAAGCCTTTAAAGATGACAGCTCCAACTTACTGTGCCCCTCCTCCTTTGGATAAAACCTTGTCTATGTGTGTTGAATGTGAAGTACATGGGCAAAAATTACTTTAGTACAGCCAATCATCACCTATACATCAGTTAAGTGTGGTGGGTTCCCTACACAAAAGTAATATTAAAGCAGTACTTAAAGCACTCAGTGACAGCATCATGTTTGGGTTTTGTACTGTGCCCAACACAGTGCTGGTGCTACATTATTATGCTGTTGTAAGAGCACTAACAAATCAGTGGGTAGATTCATGAAGCTGTAGTGAGAGGTTTTTCAACCGTCTTATGGTGTCATGATGAGCGATGCACAAAGAACCTGTCTTCACTCAGGAGATAAGATACCTGGGAGTACAATAAATGCAAGAAGCTGATCTTAGCCAACGTCCCAGTAAGTACAAATAAGAGATGGCACATCAATTTAAGTGCATTCCTTTTCTTGTTATTTACGGTGATCTCTGACCTCACAGAATATGGACCCACTGTACTCCAAGTGCGGTGGCCAAGGGAAAGGAATCTGCATACACTGGGCAGGATTCTCCTAACCAGTCTTGTAAATAGGATGGGAAGGCAAAATAACTTTAAAATGTATGTACAAAAAGATGGGCTGCAGTTACTAAAAGATCACAAGTTTGTTTTAAGGCTGGTAAACTTATTTTCAGCTTTGGAATACCCAATATAATCTGATCCTACCTCAGTATCGTTGTTGAGATTCCATAGGTCAAGCCTTCCCATTCCATCCACACATGCAAAGAGGGCAGGGTGGGTGGGTGACCACATCACATCGTAAACATAGTCCGAGTTGTCTTCAAATGAGTACAGAGGCTTGTTGTTCTGAAGGAAAAGAAAAACACACAAATTGATGAACTTCATGATTCAGAAAACAAAAGCTGGCAAGGTAATCTAGACAAAGTATATAAAAATCTCTCATCCACATTGTCGGCAATTAATGTAGCAGTGTGATTAATTTTGAACAAAGCAAGGAAAGGGTTCGCCAGAGAACCTTTCCCCACAAAAATAAATAAATCTTGTGGCCAAGTAAAATGAAAACAACCTCAGTTTTACCTGTGCAAATATTGCCATCAGGTAGAAAGAACGTAGTCTAACATAGGGCTTTAATCCCTTCAGTTTTATTTTATTTGGCGATACCATTAGACATAAAGCAGACTGAATCCATTTCTAAGCAACCTCAGATTTCTGTGAAGCTAGCATCTATCAGTGTTACAAAGATTGTAATTCTCAAATGTTAAGGCCTAACTGCAACTTACTGCTGATTATGTGAACTGTGTGCTTCTGAAACCGCAGTGTAATATAATTTAGTATTTCCTTGCTTTGCACATTTTCATCTATGGCAATATACATATATTTAATTAAGCACAGTATTTGATGATGAAAAATACAACATGCCAAAGTTCAGCAGAGCCATGGAGAACCTCAGCAAGAGGTTGCAGGAGATGGTGGGAAGATCCATGTTCATATGAATTACCTCAGCCCAATATGAACAAGATATATTTTTTTTAAAGGATGAATGAATTTATGTCGAAATGTATTACAGGAGAGATACTGAAAACAGATATTCCTATCACCATTGTCAACAGAACTAATGCAGTCCCACATTACTGTTTACAAGACGGTTGCCTATATAGGCCAACAGATGGGACTGTGGCTTACATTGTTTCCTCAATAAATTGAGACAATTAGACGTCTCAAGTTCAGATACCTTAGTAGTCCAAAGCTTTACAGTCCAGTCAAAAGAAGAAGTGACAAAAAGATGGGAAAAGTCTACAGGTCCAACCGCTGCATGGCAATTGATCCCTGTGATAGGTCCTTGGTGACCTTCAAACATCTCGCTGATTCCAGCTTTGCTGTTGCAAGAGACACACACACACAGGAATGAATTTTCTTATGAACAAGAACAACAAAATCGTAAATAATTTGAGATACATTTTTAAAATAATAGGGTAGGAACTTAATAAACGTATGCTTACCCAATAGATGTTTGCCCCTTCAAAATCAATACAGTGGAACCTCTATTTTTGAGCGTCTCGGAAGACGAATGTTTCCGCTTTTGAACGCCGAAAACCCGGAAGTAACTGCTTTGCTTTTCGAACGATTTTCAGAAGCCGAATGTGCCACGCGGCTTCTGTTTTGAGTTTCCCTACTGTATTGAGGCTTCCGCTTCAAGTTTTCGAACATTTCAGAAGTTGAACGGTCTTCCGGAACGGATTACGTTCGAAAACCTAGGTTCCACTGAACACTACTAATAGTCATAAGACCACAGGAAGAGCACAAGAGCATTCTCCCTTCCTGTGGCTTCCAGCAACTGGCCTTCAGAAGGATACTGCCTTCAATTGTGAAGGCAGCGCACAGCCATCATGCTCAGTAGTCACTGACAGCCTTCTCCATGAATATGTCTAATTCTCTTTTAAAGCCATTCTAGTTGGTGGCCATCAACTGCCCTCTGCGGGAGAGAGTTCTATAGTTTAACTATGCACTGTGTGAAGAAGCACTTTCTTTTATCTGCCCCAAATCTTCCAACATTCAGCTTCACTGAATGCCCACATGGTCTAATGTTATGACAGAGGCAGAAAAACCGTTGTCTATCTACTTTCTTTGTGCCCTGCAGAATTTCAAAAACTTCTTTCATGTCACCTCTGACTTGCCTTTTCTCGAAATAAAAAAACCCCCAAAGGCTGCAATTTTTCCTCGTAGTTGCAGAAGTGCCCTTGAATATAGCTACGCACCTCAGAATTTTAAAATCACGTATTAAATAAACCTTGGCGAAATATGCCACCTCAAGATACAAAACAGTGCTTAAGAAGTGCTATGCCATCTGATTAATTCTCTCACAGAAAGTAAATATTTGGGCCACAAAAATGAAGACATTGTCGTGCACAAAACTTTCAGAAATATGCACATGTTCCTGGGTCAATTTTCAGTCTGAAACCAGGGCATTCCCAATAGTATCAATATTGATTAAATGGAAGAACCACCAATTTTGGTTAGCTTTAACCCAAAGTGCTATAAAGGAAGGGCTGGTGTGTGTCTGAGCTGAGACTGGGGCCTCAATTTCATTTAAGAAAGCAATTGATAAGATACAGCCAGACAATTTCAAAACAGATTGAACAGCAGGAGACATGCTACCCAATTTAAGATTGGTGCGTGATACTACTGTACAATTATCTACAGAAGTGAGGGTCTGGGATGTTGTGCCATGATTCAAATGACCAGAATGATGGCTAAACTTCATCTCCCATTACATAATTCTAAAGCCATTTTATCCAGAATAAGGAAAATATTTCTGCCAATAAGAGGCTTTCTGGAACGTGAAAGAATACTCTGCATTGTTTATACACAGTTGCCCATGTAACTGCTTGAGGAACTACCTCAAACCTGCTTTATCTTACAGAACATAATAAGAAGGGCCGTCGTCCTTTAAAAACAGGGGTCCCAGTTTCTATTCACCTGCCATGGCGACAAGCTGTGTACACAGAGCCTTCCTCACTTCCAACGACAAAGTTGTTGACATCACCAACAGGGAAAGACATACAAGTGACAGCTACAGCCTTGGATTGCTTGTGAACTAGCTCCATGCTATCCTGGGGAGAAAAATATCACATACAAATCTTTCCGGTTTGCTGAGAACTTTCGGCCAAGAATCAAGGAAGATTTCTGATACTAGTTTCCAAAGAAACATTTTTTGAATCTTGCTGCATTCTTATTCTCACGTTTAAAGCATTTGATACAATAAAAATGCACGAACTGCATAAAAACAGGGCATGTTTTCTCAGAACGTCCTGGAGGACCTAAGATCTACACTTAGAATCATAGAGTTGGAAGGGATCCTGAGGGTCATCTAGTCCAACCCCCTGCAATGCAGGAATCCTGCCCACAGCCATCCTTGGCTTAACATGTGAATTACATAAATTGTGCCCTTTCCACATGGCTACCTATGCTATAAATTTATACCCCAATTTCCCAAGGTGTCCAGTGCGGCATGCATGGATCTGATCCTCATAACTGACCTGAAAGATACCATGAAATTATCATTTGCAATTGAGTAGTCAAGCATTTGATTCTGCAAAACAGGCCGGAGGTGTGTCAGGAGGCACGCAAGGAAAAGCAAACCAAATTAAAAAACAAAGTGCAAACTACAAAATATATAGACAGAGCCAACCAAAATGTTTTGTTCACCAAGCAAGACTAAGGTAATTGCTAACAGGAGAAAAAGTCCCTTGACTGTCATGGTACAGTAAAAACAGAGCTGAACATGCACTTTGCGAATGGGAGAAGCCAATCTCATCAAAATGCTAATGTTCTAAAATTATTTTCTGCACATGCACAGAACTCTGGTGTGCGACTGCACACGGATCACATAGAAGCAGCGTTTGATTGTTTTACCTGTGGCTGTGAAAGCATATCCAGACTCCACGAGCAGATTTTTCCATCAGTCGAGATGCTGATAAGGTTATGGGCATTCTGAGTCCCCACCACATTCACACAATACACAGGATGCTAAAGCAGAAGTGTGCGACGTAGATTAGCGATGTTTCATCAGGGTAATTTACAGACAACTTAGCGCAAGTGCAAAATTTAGCTTTCAAAATGACATTTAAGTTGAGAAGATAGGCAAGATTATCTGGGTACCTAGCTCACTGTTTTCCACAGATGCTCCCCAACAGGGGCTTGAGTTTTGTGTGCAAGGTGCCTAGCCCTTCTGTAGCATTACAAATTTAGCTGAAAACACAAACAGTGCTGTCAAGAGTTTATTTCTGAACTATGCCATTTATTGGGGCAGTGGGGTGGAGGGAAGAGTGGCAAACAAAAGCTGTGATGAAGAAGGGACTGAGCATTGGTTAAAATGCAACTAAAGGAGATGGGGGGGCTTTGAAAGGAGTTGCTACAAGTCCTTAAAAAGTATTATATACTTTATCAATGGTCACAAAGCACAGAGCATAGCTAAGTGAGCTGCTTGGTCAGACAGGCTGTGTTGAAAGCATAATTAGTAACTTCTATAGCTCAATGTTTTCCTAGTAGAACTAATATGCCTCTGAATATGGATGTGGGTACAAATGGACAGTTACAGATACAACGTCATGTCTAATACTGATAAATGTAGAGAGCATTTGGAAGCTGGAGAAAGGACACGTGGATAAGTGGGAATACTTTCGGGCTGAGCAATATTAAGTGGTGGGTTGCCTCTGGGGGAGAAAGGGTAGCTGAACTTGTATCTGATTATCTGAAGAATTTAATAAAAACAAGCACGTGAAGACCTAACTTAAAAAAAAGGTTTCTAATATAAGAGCCTTACGTAGAATATTTTTTAACATAGAATGCTGCAAAAAATGAATGCCTATTGTTTGCAGCCTTCAAAACATAGTAACAGATTATCACTCCTCATCCTACATTAATGGGTTAATTTGAGAATAAGGAAGTAATTTGGGGGGGGGTGATATTCCACTCCCTACCGTGTGAGCAGCAGCTGAAAGGGGAGTTCTCTGAACTGGTGTTCGCTTATTGCTGCGATTATCCCATAGGACAATTTGTCCTGAATATGTGCCACCAACCACCAAATTTGGATGAAATTTTGCAAAGGTAGCCGACATCACAGCTGACTGTAAGGGCAAAAGAAAAAAGAAAAGTAAATGCTTTTTCTATATTTAAATTGTTACTGAAACCTTTAGAATGATGTTACAATATCACATTACATTTCAGCAATGGTTTGTGAAGTTTCAGAATTGTGAGATTTTGAAAAACACAATAGCAAACTAGACTAGTACATTTTTAACTTTCCACCAACCCATTTTATAAGTGGATCTCAGTTTTTCCACCTGAAAACATGTGTTTTAACTTAGCTTGCTTTAAATCCTCAGGCTACGAACATTTTTATTCAGAGGTCTCAGGTCTCGTCGCACATTTTAAGACCACAGTTCTTAAAACATCTCCTTGCATTTGACACACAAAAGAAGCTTCCTTTTATGCAATCAGAATAAGAAATACAGAACTGCAACACACTTAAATAATCCAAATGGTGTTAGAAAGGCTGCTTGCTATAGACGAACCTTTAAAAAGGCTTAATGGATTCCTCAGATGTTGACATGTATTTGCAAACACAAGCGGTTTAAAGTTCTTGCCTGCCCAATGAAATCATTATGCTGACAAGTAGAAGAAGGCTCATGTCCACATTCATTAACATAAAATTCTTAGTCTGGCAAGGCAGGAACTCACATCATACCTGGCAATGAAAGACATACTCTGGAGTTGTTTTTTTGTATTTCATGTTCCACACAAGGGCCACCCCATCAGGTTCATGAGGAGCATCTTCATTGTTGTTGTAAGAGGCTACCAGCAACTCTGGATACTGGATTCAAAAAGTAATTGAGAACAAAAGGGAAGACTGTTGCTTACAGAGGTAAGATCAGCCAACTTAAATTATCATATGATTTAAAATTAAGGTCAACCTTGTTAATTAGACAGCTACAGCTAGAATAGCAATTTCAAAATTAAATCAACAATTCAGAACCAGTAGACACAGAAGAGTTGTCTTCTATTTTGATATATGCAGACTGCTCAGTTTTGCAACTCACACACTTCTGTTATGCCTTAGCGATGCCTTCTGCACATTATTCTTTCTTTTCTTTCTTTTTGTGCAATGAATTAAGCAACTGTGCATTAAATAAATACGGTGACACTGCAACTGCAGGTAAATGAGAATAACGTCTGCTAAAGGGTTTCTAGAAGAATGGTTTTTAATGAAGTGTTATTGTTACCTGAGATGACCAGTCCAAACAACTAACAACACGATGCTTTGACCAACGCTCATCAAAAAACTGTCTGTTTAGGGACAGTTTAGCACCTGCCTGAATTTCTCTGCAAGAACAATTGAAGAGGGCACAATTAGGATCACTTTCAGTAAGATTAAAACAAACCTAGCAACACATTTGTAAGATTCCCATATTACCCTTCTTTCTCTTCCAGATCTCGCCCACTGTAGTCAAAGAAAATGTTAATTTGCTCAGAAAGAGCTCTTTCCACAATTCTTGTTGATTGGTCGAAGAAGCTCAAAAATTCTTCAGAATGCAAAATTTGTTGCTTTTCCTCTTCTGTCAGTTCATGAGGGGCAACTGGGGGAAACAGATTTGGAGCTTTATTTTTAGATGGCAGACTACAAATAAAATCATTCTAATCTTTAAAATAAGAGTGTATGTTGAGATTTTAAAAACAATTATTTAAGTTCTGTACATTAAAAAAAATCTTCACACATTGTATTCATATTATTATATAAACCTTCTTTATAATTCAGCACCTATTAAAGGGAGACACTAAGTTGAGCAATAGTTTAAATGTGTTATGATACATTTGTACCTTCCTCCTCCTCCTCTTTTTTCAATGTTTTTTCTTCTTCAGGCTCAACTGGTGGTTTTTGTACCACTGCATCATCTTCATCTTCTTCATCTAAAAAGAGCAAGGTTGTCAACATTCTGACCACTGTGCAATGCTATGTCAGGCAAAACAGTTTTGTGTATATATTATATATTCTGCCTAAAGCAGCTTTTTTGCTAGAATGCAATAGTTTAATTCGGGAATTGCACTTATTAAAGGAGATGACAGTAAGCTGGACATACCACAATTTTCACAACAAATTCACAAAACGTAAGCCTGTGCAATCTACAGTAAAACCTCCAAGAAACTATTCAGAGATTTCAATTTTGAATTCCTAACCTCTACCCAGCATTTGTCATTCAAGACAGCATATGCAACCACAGTTTTATGTAACGTGCTGACATATTAATGCTGCTGAATAAAGAAATCAAGTGTCTTAAATAGCCCACAGAGTCGCTGCTTCCTTGTGATATGGAACCATCAGTGTCTAATGGTTTTTTCATACAGGAAAGATGGCTTACATTAGTTTTCAGGATGCTAGTCGGAGAAGCAAATTTTCCTAAAGATAATAGCACAGACAGATTACATTTTATTTTCTGTCATTCCAAATGCAAGCCTCATTATCCTTACCATGTTTGCCAATGAGAATTTAAAAAGCAAAATGTGTTGTTCCTTAATTGCAACAAATAACGTGCTGCTGATGTTCTGGAATACTGAGAAGGCTGCTTTTTACTTTCTTTCTTTTTTGCATTACTCGGTTTTCACCTTTGAAATAGAACACCCTAAAACACAACTTTCAAAATTGCAAGTGTTACAGCATATACACTGCAACTGCCTTTTCCTTCTCTGTTTCCAGGGGTAAGTTTCTCAAAAGACTTTTTTTCTTTTCTTTTTGGGTTAAACAACTATGTCATCTGTCTGCAAGAGAAAGGCAGCAGGAGCCTGCAGCACGCCTCGTCACAAGTAATGAGGCAGGATTCAACAGGGACGTGTTTGTTGCAGCCATCCCTGTGACCCATGTTCAAAGTCACCTAGGGGGGATAAAAAAAAACTAAGACTGGTCAAGAGATGGGAACCAGCTGCCAAGCTCTGGTCCCAGCAGCCAGGCCAGCTGACTAGACAGCAGCAACCAGATGGTACTGCTGGGATTGTCTCTCCCTGCTCTGAGGTGGCAATGGGATGGCACAGCATTTTTCTGCCTGACTGCTTCCAATCATGTTTTTTCTCCAATGGCAAGCCTGCGCAATTACTAGCTCTCCAGGAGGTCTACAGACAAGCCTTTACCCTGCAAACAAAAATACAGCTTGTAGGGCCTACCAGCTGCCAAACCACACACATAGTGATAGGCTGAAGCAAGATCTAGGAGAGAGAAAAAACCTTCCCAACTCCCTAGTTTAGGCAATAAAAATATATCCATACCTGAAGGAACAAATGCTTTAAATGACACTATATAACACACAATAATACAAACTCCAACTTAATCAAAATGATAATGACGTATGCCAATCCCACATTATATGAAATTGAGCGATTTTTACGTTCTGACAAGTTTACAGAACTAGGATAAATGGCATGAATGATTTCAATATATGCTCATACTTCTGAACCAAATGGTGAAGGTTAAAATCTTTCCTTTCAAGGGCCTCAATCAGCCACAAAGGAAAACAGTAATCACTGTCTTTTCAGCCAGCCCAACCGCATTTGTCAGCCCTTTCTCCGTCAATGCAGCCAGAGCAATCAACCTGCCAAACATTCAGAATGGAAAAACAATCTGAAAATACAGGGTATAATGCACCTGCCAGTGAAAATGGCCATTTCAAGAAAAGCTAGTGATCTCAGTGACCCTGCTGAGGAGGCGGTGGTGCAAAGGGGAAAGAACGCGTAAAAGAATTCTTAATGATCTCCACTCTCTTGCACATTGACATTTCCTTACAAAGCATGCCAATTACAGCTTTTGTGCTACTTAAAAAAAATGAAAGCTTTTCTGGGCAAAATAATCACACAGAGAAACAGAAAGACACTGCTCCTTTTAAGATGAATTTGTACATACAATGGACTATTAATCAGAAAACTGGATAACTGAGCGATTCTATGCCGTGTGCCTCAAACAAGATTTCTCCCCAAGCATTGGTGTAGGGAAAATTGATAAATGCTTAATTTTCATTTAATAGATGAAGCACTGCAAATAGCAAATTACAAGACAATGATTGGATTAAATAATTTGGTTGAATTAAGCATGGATTTTTTCCTTTGCATGCAGACTTGCTGCGGCAAACAATGCCACTGAGACTACAAAGCATGCATTCCCCTCACCCTTTCTAAGTTGTTTCAAGCTTTAATGCCATAAAACTAAAATTAAACTCCAGCCTCCCAGCTTTGTCATAGCACTCTGATTCTAAGTACCATTTTCAGTGACAGAAGTCAAATCCTTGTTAAATGCAAATGGTCAGCCCTTTAGTGCCTAAGTGACCTCACCCTTTACAAATATTACAGAGAAGAGATCTTGTCGCTAGTTGCCCCTCCCTTTTCACATTTTCAGCGTAGATGGCACATATTATGCAAACAAGATCCAAACTCATTCTCACGTAATACTCCACATTTGCTGTCAGTCTCTAGGAATTACTATTGCTGCATTCCAGCGCTAGATATGTTATAACAGCAATTACTTAAATATACATTAGATGCACTGGAGCAGTTTCTCATCTCCAGTTAAGACACCGTATTTTTAGATGTACGTATGTGCCACCATATAGATGACAGGGAACTTTCACCCTATTATGGTCACATTAGATTACTTAATAGCATACTGGCAGTGGAATCAAACCAACCACAGTGTAGCCAGAAGACAGTTTTCCCTTAACCTAGTTTTTATTAACACTCATATCAAACAAAATAGAAACAGAAATATTACTTCACTTCAATCTGCTATCTACATACAACTCATTCCGTAATTCCACCATTGCAGTGTAAAAAGATTGATTTCAATTATTCCTTCTGCTGGTCTACAAGCTTTAGCTGACTTTAGCATCTAGTAACAAATTTCTGGCTGCCATGAATGCCCTCCCCAACTTGGGGATAAAACTCTCCCTGTCGTATTAAGCCTCAGGCACTTGGAAGCAGTACCCGCTGTTTTCCAAGTGCCTCTGAAGCTCAACATGATGTCAGAGATGACCCCTCCGTCCATTTTTCACCACGGTGAAAGATATCCTTGTGAGTGGTACAATGGGGATCACATTTTAAACTCCCCACTGCCTCTCCTTTGCTCCCTATAATCAGTTAAATTGCCAAATTGAGTTGTCTTCTCCTGTACAGCACTGCAAAAATGCAGACCAGGGATGGTCCTCCAGATGTGCTGGACTACAACTCCCATCACCCCTGCCATTAGCCAAATCATAGAATTTAGAGTCTAACAACAGGTCCCTCATACTTGATACACCTGAGCATAGTTCAGTTGGTGGAGCAGGAACTTCTTAATCTCAGGGGTGGGAGCCCCACGTTGGGCAAAATATTGCTCCACTGAAGGCATTGGACTAGATGACCCTCGTGGTCCCTTCCAGCTCTACAGTTCTATGATTCTATGAATTCATCAAAATTCTTTCTCCTTTGATGAAAAGTCTAGTTCACACCCCAGGTTTCTCTTGCCTTGACTACTGCAGCCTTGTCCTCTCTGGCTTTCCATTATTCCGCTTCAGCCGTCTCAACTCTATCCAGGAGTCTACTGCCAAAGTAATTCACCTCTTCCATTACCTTCTCAAATTCCCACATCAGCTTCCTGCCATCTTCCGCATCCAACACAAATTACTTACTTTCAAAGCAAACAGGCCCGCCAACAAAATAGTAAAGGGCAAAATGCAAGCAATGATAAAACAGCCACACATATCCTGTAATTCTCTGACTCCTGTGAGTTGGGTCACTATTATTTTCCATTTGGGCTGATGGCAAAATGAGTCTGACAGCATACTTCAAGGATCACCTGCTCTTGCATGAACCTGCTCCATATCCCTCTGATATCTGAAGTTAGGTAGGTAGCAATGGGAGAGGAGGCCTTTTCAACAGGGGAACCTTTCCAAGGCAGGCTCGGGTGCTGTCTTTACAACCCTTTCTGCACCTGCTGAAAAGTTATTTGCCAAAGAATTTTATGTTGTCTGACCTTCTTTTCCACTGGACTTTTAACTCCTACCAACTTGTGATTGTTATTTTCTTATATTTACTGCATTTTATGTCCAATGCTGTATTCCACTTTGCAAGCTAAGACTGAAGAGTGGCTAATAAATGTTTTAGAAAGTAGTAATAAACAATGTTTTTAAACAAAAAAACAGGCAATCCATAGTCTTCTGTTGATCTGCCCGCATCTTACAAAACACCCCTGCCTACTGCCTTTGCTTCTCCATCTCTGCCATGCATGGTCATCCAAATGTCACTGGTCCTTTAAACAAGCTTGCCTTCTCTCTTGGTACTCTTTCTGTCTATAACATCTGTGTAACAGCACACATCCCCCTTCCTTCAACCTTTGCCTCAAAATACAACTCTTTGGTGAAGGTTTCTGATCAACCTTTAGCTTTAAATTCCTGCTAAAACTAAGCTTAAATACGTGTACATGAGCACATGTCCTCCCACCCTCATTCTTACTTACATCTCCTCCCCTCTTGTTGAATTTTAGATTGTAGGCACCTCAGGTATAAGAACTGCTTTTCTGTTTGTTACTCCATAAAGCAGTGAACACACTGATGGCAAAAATAAAACCACCATATTGTGAACAGGTTATGCAAACAGAACCAAAGCTGTACAGCCAAACTATTTCTTCTCACTAACATACATTCCCCCAAAAGCGTATTATCTGGGAAGGCAATCTCGTAATGACCAAGGCTTGCCACCCCTCTTTAACATCCAATGTATTAGCTGCTGCAAATATAGTAGTACAGTATGATAGCCCAGTTTGCCTGACACATTAAGCAAGGGGTAGCTAAAGTTGTGCCCTCCAGAAGTTGTGGACTATAACTCCCATTAGCCCTTGCCAGCATGACAAATAGTCAGGCACCTTGGGAATTGCAGTCCAAAATACCTGGATGTTACCATGTTGGCTATTCCACATTCTTTTCTGGTTGGCATCCGTCTATCTCAAGAGACAATGGAGTGCGCTTCTGGGGGTGAAGTCAAACTGCTGGAGAATCACAGTGCCTGCTGTGGCTGCAGAGACCAGTAACTTGTAACTGCTGCATCCTGCGTTATTTTTGCTGTGTTAGCAGCACCGTAGTCACCTCTCTGGGGTGTAAGCCTGGACACCGTAAATTGAAGTCCTGGGCTGCCCAGAGAACAAGACCTCTCAGCATCACTGATGTGGTCCAAAGGAAAGCAGAGCAGTATGTTGGCACCAGCTTGGCTGCAGGAGTTGCCGGAAGGTGGCATACAAGATGCCAGCGGTAAACAATCATTTAAAAGGGGTGGCTATCCTGTGTGCTGCCCCACATGCTGCTGGGCTACAACTCCACCATACCTGACCATTAGTCAAGCTATCTGGAGCTGATAAGGAGTTTTAGTCCACAACATCTGAAGGGCCACAGGTTAGCTAGTGCAGGCTGCTCAGAAGCTCTTAATGCCCCAGAGTCTAGAATGTCATGTTATCTGAACCTGGGCTCATTCTTCTTCCAAGCAAACCACGAACAGTAGGGTTAGCTTGAGGAGAAAAAACAGAACCCAATTTTGGAAGACATGGATGCCAGACTTTGACTTGCTTCATTTAGAGAGACAAGAGGTGGGGTGGGGAACTTCTGAGGAGGGCGCACTAGGATGTTGCTCATTTATATGAATTATCGGTCATTTTAAACTATGGCTTAATGTGACATGCAAACTAGGTCAGTGTATGAATTAAAGTATGACTGCACTAAATAGAGTAGACCATTCTTCATCTACTAGATGACAAGGGCAGCTGTACTTGTTCTGGATTTTGTTCAAGTCGAATTCTTGAGGAGTTCCTATTTCCAGCCTCACTTCTTTTGTTATTTTAGCCTATTTATTATTCCCTATCTAGGATTATTTCACATTCTCTTAAACCTTTCACTAAAAACTTTTAATAGCCACATAAGAACATAACAATGAGAAGTGGAGCTGTATGTCAAATCATTTTATTGATGAATATTCATTACACTATGCTAAGTGGTTAATTCTGTGTTTTTCCCTTGACAGAGGATCTAAGGTTATAAGGCAAGCATTAAATATGTGTAAAAGTAGTAGTTACTTCTTAAAATGCCAAATCCCTTGTCAATGAATGGTAAATTCAAGTTTAATGAACCAGTGAATTCTTACTTTGCGTTAACATCAAAATTGTGATGTATTTTGGCGAGATGGAAAGAAAAGCAGGGCTGTAAATTAGACAGCACCCAGCAATAACACTCAAGAGTGAAGTTCCAGTTGCCTGTGTAATCTGTTGCTGCAGAGTAGGTTAATCAAAGTTAAATCATCTGTGAAATGGGTGGCTTTTGTTAAGCTGAAGGTGTCTTCAGATCACATTTGCCATCTGTATTTCATTTTATATTTTAGGCAGGTACGAAGTCAAAAATATCTCTTAAAAACAGTTCCACTTGGGAAGTGTTGTGCTGTTCAGACATTATTTTTATTACACAAGCATCTGGGAACCCACATATTGAATTCTTATAGCTAAGACATACAAAGTTTGACAGTATCAAAACATGATTTTATTTTTTAAATCAGAAATAGCAATGGGGAACCTGCAGCCTTCCAGACAGTGATACAGAGACAGAGAGCACATTATGGAATCCTGCAATGAAACAAACTCTATCCATTTCTGGCTCTTGTCCCTGCTACCAGATTAAGCAGCCCTTAACAGAAAAACATTCTCTGCCTCAGTGTCTCAGTGATGGTGAGAAAAGTTGTTGAATCTGAACTGTATGGCTTAATATGGATGTAAAGAGCAGCACAATTGGTCTTATTTTCTTTCTTCTCTCATTATTTTAGAAGTTCTGAACATCAAAGTACTGACAGTGACACCCATCAGTAACACTGTAAGGAAACAACTACAGGTTTTCATTCAACAGTATCTGACTCTTACTGATATAAGTGAATAACTGGCAGGCCATCTGAAGTCACTCTGTATTCCCCAAAGATAAACATCAACACCCAAATCTCTAGTGACTATCATAACCTGGACATGTATCCCTTATGTACTTTTCAGTTCAAAGCAAACAGCAGAAAGATGGATTGGGAGGAGATCAACGTTATACTATACTGTATTTTGAGCTCACTTGACTATTCTACAACAGAACTTGGCACTGGCAATTAAGAGAAACAAGTATCTGCGCCACCTTTTATTCTCTCATTGCTTTGGAACTGTTTGCTCATATTCTGGGATTATTGAATCCTATTTCAAAAGCACATAGCTGGAAGAAGATACGCAAGTTTCGGTTAACTCACAGTATTCTATCCAGAAATGTTATTTTACTGTGGGAGCACTCTAAGAAGAATTAGATGGACAGGCTGTGGTTAAGAACATAAGTATTGTCATACTGGGCTAGACCAATAGCCCATCTGCCCAACATTCTGTCTCCAACGGTGTCTAGAAATGGATGCTTGAGGATGTGTATAGAATAGAGCAATTATGGAGTGATTTCTCTCCAGTTGTTCATTTCTGGCATCCAACAGTCACAGACATACGAACACTGAGCATGAGATGATCACTAATGAACCTATCCTCCATGACTTTTCTAATCATTTTCAGATTCCAGAAAGAGATGGATCTTTACTTCTGTACCCAATTCTACAAGTTCCCCACGCACTGGGCACGATGCGCATCTTAATGCACCGATGCTGCTTCCTAGGTTTTCTATGGAAGATACAGAGAGATAGTACCATGTCCCATCTGTAACCTCTAAGGGTGGACATTTGCACAATTTGTTTGTTTTTGCATGAAATTACAGCATGGCCAAGGTTCAATTTCATTTGTAATTCTGACTGAAAACTAGTTCAGCCAAACTCAACTTCATGAAAAAGAAAACGAACCATCACTCTTGGTATTCATATACTCAAATCAGATCTGCTCACATGAGACAAGCAGAAGAAAAGTATCATCATGGAATTAAACTGCACCCAATTAAGCAGATGTCTCAATGATGGAGAAAGCACATGACCTTATACCTCTAAATGAAAACTCTAGCTACAGAACCAAATGAAGTCAAAACTATAGAAGTATCTTCATTAATCAACATTTTCTACAGATGCAGTTTGAGCTAGCCTGTCTTCTTTTAAAGCTGAAATCCTAAGTATGTTTCCTTTCATTAAAACTCACTTTGTAAATTCTTTGAACTAAAAGACAGGGCATCAAAGACTGTAGATATACAGAAGAAACTTTTATTCCTTGAATTATATAGCCAAACATACTAGCAAATACACTTTTCTGTTCCTCCGTTCCTCATGTTGTCACAGCCATACAAGGCTTGAGCCAAAGTCATGTGCATGCACAGGCAAGGACCATATGAACTTAAAGAGTTTTTATACTTTCTAGTTTTTGCTGCAGCATTTCCCATTGCCAAAGAAAGGCACTGTTCAATTTAGCATATGGCTTGCCCATTAGGCTCCCAGAGGCACTGTAACAGCATTAGAAACTGAGATATGAAAGCTAGGAGCTAAATGGCACCTTAAACTAGGTTATGGGCGTAACAACAGAATGTTTAGGTGTGCTTTTTTATAATAAGAATGCAAAGCTGAAAAGGAATGAACTGCAGCTAAAATATTATGTTTATTTTTCACATGGTCTAGTCCTTCCCATGCCCACCCCCCAATATTATTAAAAGGGTCTCTTCTCCAGAGAGTAGCTGGAAGTAGTGAGGCAGAAAAAAGTCCTCCCTTTAATCTGAAATCTTAGACACAGTACTGTGCCCACAGCTCGGAAACTGCTTGCGCTAATGAAATTCCCTGTCACAAAATGCGCCTAGAACAATGGGAGTTTCGAACACTGCACTGTAACAAGAGCTTCAGAAAAGTCACAGTGCCTGGCTCTCACTGTTACGTGTAAATGCCTTCTTTGCATTCGTTATCATAATTAGTTCCACTGTTTACACCTTATGTAAAAGAAACAGAAAGTATTATTCATCTTTGAAGGATATATTTTAATTGATAAAAGAGAACGTCGTTAAAATAAGTAGGTTTGGATCCAGATGTGCCATCCACAATTGAAAGGGCTCATTCTGCTCATAGGAAACCAGGATCCAGTGGAGACTCCTTGCTGGAGGAAGATGGTGGATCAGTGATTTTCACCAAGTGCTCTTTCCTATTGCAGCCCCTCACAATGTTCTTGAAAGATTCTCCTCCTTCAACTCTTTGGATCAGGTTTTCACAGCCCTAACTTCAGAACTTCAAATGGCTCGATCACCCAACAACATTGTGGCACCAGGTGATTGACAAGTGAGCAGCCCTGCACACCTGTCAATTCTGGCCCATGAAAATAAATTTTGATTAGGATTCAGTCCATGGAGCCTAAAAAAGTCCCAAATCTGGATGCAACTTGTAGAGTTAAGGAACAGACCATCTAACGAATAAGCCAATATTCTATCAAACCCCAAAGTCACATACAAAAATAGTAATTTCTTGTCCTGCAAACATTTCTATTCCTGTATTTTCACAAAATAAGTTTTGGAATTTTCCCCTGTGGCATGACCCATCTCACCCTCTTCATGCGGGGTTTTTTAAAACAAAGGAATAGGAAGAGTAAGTCATATTCACCTTCTTTTGGCTGAGTCATAACTGGTGTTTGGGTCTCCTTTGTGTATGTGACCATTTCTCGAGGAGGAAAGTCAACTTGTGTAATTTTGGACATTGCAAGTTTAATAGGTCCACGTCTAAAAAAAAATGATGGAGAAAGTTATAATGCATCTACAATTCATGCAACTTACATAGAACAAATTTGTGGAAAGTCAGACAATCCATCATCTCTATATAACAAGTATTAAATTTAACTATTGCTGAATTATACATCTTTTTATTTTAAAATAAAAAGCCAGCACAGAAGGGGAAACAAAGGAAAGTAAATAAAATGTCAAGAAACGGATTTGTTTGTTATGCTGCTTTTTCAGATGGCAGAAACGCTAGCCCATATAACTGGTATGCACTGAGTTTTAAACAAATTTCCTCCATAAACAACAGTAGGAACCTCCTCAGATTCCCGTGCTGCAGTCCACTCCATTCAGTAGTGTACTCCAGCCCCCATGAGAAGTTTTTTAGGGATGGGAAAGCCACATTCTGCCCACTTCATTTGAACAGCATGCCTCTGGACCAAGCCAATGTAAAATGTGTGAATTCTGTGCCAATGCAACACAACTGCAATTTAACTTGCAGAAAACTGTGTTACCATCTTGAAATAATACAATGCAGTTAAGAAAACAATATGTTGCAATACCTCAGCAATCACTAATTGGCAAAATTCCCAGGGAACTATTTGACCGAGATCAGGAGTGGCTAACATTTTTTGGCTAAGGGTCATATTCACCCTTGACCAACCTTCCAGGGGCTGCATGCCAGTGGTGTGTATGGCCAAGAGAGTACAACCACCCCACACTTGCAAGCACCTCTCACATGCAAACCAGCACACAGTCCCTTCTTCTCGTCTGACCTGTGCAGACTAGCTGAGGAAGGTTACTGCTCCTTCCCAGGTCATCAAATGACCAATCTGATCGTGTGGAGGGAACAATTTGCATCCCTCCTCAAGGAGCTCTCTATCCAAGGCCCAGCTCTGAGTCTACTTTAAAACTTACTTTCACTGCCAAAAAATTTGGAGCACTTGATCCAGCCTATGGGCTAGCCACCCCTGATCTAGATATATGTACATTAACACCTATGTTTTCACTCAGTGAGTAAGGCAAACCCCCAAAATTACTGGCCCTCTTCCCTTATTATAAAAATACAACATATGTTCCCCCCAAAGTGCCCAAAGCAAGCCACATACATTATCTCAATAATCCTGTAAGACCAGTATTATTGCTTTATCAAAGGTATGTAGACTTAGACAAGGCATTCATGACTAACGACTTGACATGGATGTCATAAAGTCATTAAAAAAAAATAATTACAAGAATATTTAGTATATTAGTAAATTAAAAGTCTTTAGAAAATTAGTTGCATTAAGATGCTGAATATAAATTCAGAGGTTGAAATCCAGAAATGTACATGCGCCAGATCAAATTTGTTCAGTCATATAACGAACAGCTCTCCCCAAACACAAAACCTTTTTCTGGTTTAACATACTGTTTGTGGAAGCTGATGATCAATAAACTGCACATCATACATCACTTTCACTTAATGATCTGGATGCAACCTTAAACGCATAGCTAAAATTGTTTTACATATTATATTTTAAGACGTGAAATAATTTGGCTTATATAAAAGACAATCATTACAACAAAGATGGAAGATAAAAAAAAATCTCTGCTATACCCCAGATCGGAATCAGAGTGAAGCTGTAGAACTGATGGATCAGTATCCCAATGCAGCGTCCTGACAACACAGGTTGAAGAACAACCATGCAGCATTAGCAAAAAAGGCCAGAGATTAGTGAAGCAAATACATTCTATTAAATGTTAAAAGCTATTGGAAGCTACAATAATATCATGGCTTCAGATATTTTAAAAGTGCCAGAAATCTCAGTTAGTGGAAATTGAGTGGACATTCAGCGCTACTACAACAATACATGCATCATACCAATTAAAATAGAAACATACAGTTCAGAACAATTAGTAGAGCGACAGCATTCTGTTGATCAATCAGTAAGACTAATTAAAACCTTTTTACTCGGCTAAAACTGAGGTTTTAAAAAGTGTAATTGTTTTTAATTTAAATATAAGATTTTAATTCAACACCTGTGGAAGGTAGGTATTTCCTTAGAAGACACGCCCCCCCTTATTTCCCACACGGAAGAAATGGCTTTTCTTAGATAGATGTGCATGTGTTGCATCAGGTCCTAACAAAGAGCAGGGTTCTTTACCCTCAGATCTTTTATACACATGCAAATGTATGCAAATTTAAAAGTTATACAATGAATCACATAACACTTCTTTAAATAGGTGACATCCCCTGTATTTAGAGATGCATTCAGTCAAGGATAAGCTTTGACTTAACTTAAGAGTTTATTAACACTATACAGCTACATAGATTTAGTGGTGTCACCCGAGATCCAGTTTGTTAACATACTGTGATCTTGCCCGAAGCATTAAATATGTTCAGGAAATTGTCATATTGGTAAAGGAAATGAGTCAACACATAAACCTTTGGGTGCAGGAAAAAGCGCTTTTCCACTGGGATATACTGCTGCTAGTGTTTCCAAGATGTGACATTGCTGTAATTATGGGTTAAGCACTGCCTTGGGCTTATGTCATTTAATTTAAAGCCAACTCAAGACAGTCAATGTTGCAGCATTCAGCAAGTTAAGCAGTGCAGTACTATGTTTACTCAGAAGTAAGTCTGCTGAATTTGAGATTTACTTTCTTGTAAGTAGGTTTAAGACAACAACCATTTAGGAAATATTTCAAGTTGCAACTATATAGTATATAGAGCAACATACCAAGCATTAGCTTTAACCTACATAAATATAATTGTATACATTTTAGTCTTGTGGCCTACTAGAATGCTAGAAAATGCTAGAATGCTAGAAAAGCAAAGCAAATATAAATAAACACACATATCAGACGTTCTAATGACTAACCACATTCAAAATTCTGAATAAAAAAGTTTGTCTTTTGATAAGTAATAAAGTTGCTTTCATGAAACTTGAAAATCATTTCAGATAGATTTTGCATTAAAACAACTGGTCTACTGTTCACTATAAATTTATTACTCCAATTATTTATTAAATTTCATTCATACCCCTCTTTTCTACAACAGGATGCACCAAAACAGCACACAAAAATAAAATCACCAGCAATACAACAAAATATTAATAATGTAGAAGTGAAACAAAAGAATAACAAGTTTACAAAATAGCAGAGCACTAGCATTAAAAAGTCACCAGAATAGATCTTCAAAACTTGCCTAGAGCAGACAAAAGGGAACCAAATGGTTTTCCTAGGGAAGAAATTCTAGTTTTGGTACCATAGCCAAAAAGGCCCTGTACTGCTGCTGGAAGGATGGAGAACAGGGCATCTGAAGGCAATCTTAGGACTCAGGCAGCTTTGTATGGAAGAACACACATCTGGAGATAACTCTTAACCCCCTAGGACCAGGCTGTGGTCCAACCAACACATACATACATATAGGTATAGGTACAAGATTTCTTCCACTTGCACTACCACTGGATATAACTCACAGAACAGAACATCCCCTTCCTCTCCTGGCCCCTGCACCCCCCTGCATCTGCTCTGAAGGGTCCCTCAACTCTCCAGATCAGTGCAGGGGGCTCCAGGGGTGAGGAGAGAAAGCGTAATTCACACTGTGTGAATGAAACTGTGTTCCACTCATCCATAGACACAGCTGGCTAGAACCCTTATTCAACACCATTTATTGGGTGAATCCCATGATGGAAGATTTGGTATTCATATAATTCTCATGGCAGGGAAGTCACAGAAGCACAGCTGCTCTTTTATGCCCCACCAAATGTAATACGAGAATCCCCAAACTACGCAGGAGAAGCCACCAGATGGGCTTCTCCTGTATGATCCAGAAATTCTCATGCAATCCTTCTGGCACATGAAGGACTGGCGCTACTGTGGGTCCCTCACTGCCAGATGATTGTGGAATTTACAAAGTATACGTTCTGTCCCCTAGGTGCTTAACCTAAAGATACACTTCCTTATTTTCCAATAGAAAGTGGAACTCTACCCTATTTTGAGGGCTCAGGTCAGATATACTATCATTTTCCTTTTTTTCAAAACAAAGAAAGTTTCTTAAATGGCAGAAATGAAGCCCACAGTCACAACTGAACTACTACACTACAAGTGATTTCCATCTGCACATGACTGCATCCAACCACATGTTGATGGTAAACTAAGGCTATCTATGACTATATGAATTAATACAGAATGACACAATTTCTCTTACTGGTGACCCACCATCTAGTAGTGAAATGATACTTCCATTTCAACTTAAGACTGTATGTTCCATGTACATGGATGCAGCCAAGAAAGCCAATCTTATGCCTCAATCCTAAATTCTCACAATACCGATTTTTAGGAAGAGACTGGGCTCTTCAGGGAGATAATTTACACCCTAATGTAGGCCAGTTTAACCTGACTCATGGCACTGATGATCTTGACACCTGCTCAAAATACCAATGCTCAGCGCATAAGCATGTCTGTAGATGTGCGCACCCCCCACCAGTGATGATATAGCAATCCCAGGGTAAAATGAATAACTATCAGAACATTCCTGAGAGATATATTTGAGCATACAGAGTAATAAGTTGAATTTAAAAACAAGAAGCAAGAAACAATGAACTGGGGTGCAGCATTGGATAAACACTGGCTAAGTGAACTATGTGACTTATTAAAGTAATTTAGAATAAAAATATGGTACAATCCCTCCCTCCTTAGTATATGAAAATTGTTCATTACTTAGAACCAGATGCTGGCACACTGCCCACTTCCTCGTCTAACCCTTCCTCTGTAACCAAAGATTTCATCCAAGAGTTTTGGTAAACTTTAAAGTATGTTCTTGGGTAGAGACCTGAACTAGAAAGAGAAGGCTAGATGGGGAAATAGGAAATCACACCAGCCTCTCATTCTGGTTAATGACCAAGGCATGTTGAGGAGAGGGTTCTGCTGGGTCCTATGACATGTTTGGAGAGATTGTGCCATACTTTTAAAGCAGAAAATTATTTTTTCAGCAACGTTAACACTTGTCAATTTTAATACTGTACTGCACTTTTGAGACCCCAACATATTTAATGCGGAAATCTTTAAGAAAACATACCTAGAACCAACAGCACCATCACCAGAATCTTGGCTTCCAGCCTCACTTGGTGTGCTCACAGATTTCGAAGATGGAGACATAGGAGGAGGGACTAAATAGTGAAACAGACAGGTATCCGCTGTTACTAGTCGTAGAGGTTGCACAGCTTAGGATGTTTCCAAATTAATTTAACATGGAAGCATTAAAAAAGTGATGGTAAACAAAAAATAAAATAAAATGGATGAAAATGAATAATAGAAAAAAAGGGGAAAAGACAATGTTAACATATCATGCTGGAGACTCATGCAGTTTTTAGCATTTAATGCATTTTGGGGTTATGTAGCAAGTATACTTTATACAAAATGCTGGGAAAATAAGGATTCTACAGTTTAATACTTTGCTAAGAAACTGTTATTCAGAAACTTAAATATGTTATTAAAATCTACACAATGAATTTGGGATTGCTATATCTTATAATACCAATTATTATTGGAGTGGGCGTGAGGAGTCATAAAACAAGCTCTTCTCCAAAACACAGTGTTTTAAACTTGTAATTATTTACTGAAAACAGTTTGTTCTATTCAGCTAAACCTCAATTTAGAAGTTCTTAACATTATATTTTTTTAAAGCCTCACCTCAAAGGGAAGTTTGTTTACAACATTTTGTGATACAAATTTAGTGCAACTGGAATGGTAAATGAGAAGCAGCAGCATGCAACCTAAAACATGTGCCTATCAATTAATTATGCTTGTGCAACATCCAATAAAGATGTACAAGTTTTAATGTCTCTACATTGGTTTTTATCCAGATCTGCATTTTTCAGAGCCAAATATCCCCACAATAAGTAATTTTGTTTTCACTGAGGATAAATGGGAGTATGTACTGAGCTGGATTCAGAGTTTCTATGAGAAGAATTCAGCCTACAGGATGCTTCTGCTGGAGGAAGGAGAGGCAATTTTCAGATTCATTCTTTGTTCTGTTGACCCCAGAAAAGCTACTCTGGAGGATTTGGGGACCCTCCAAAATAGAAAGGGAAGGTGGCATTGACAAATAAAGTTTTCCCCCCATCTCCCATAACCCACAGGGTAAATCTCAGGCAGTTCTGACTGGGAAAGGGAAACTCAAAAGCCAGTCAATCAATAAACATTATGCTGATGCAGCTGAACTGATATACAGATTTCTTATTTGAATTATACAAAGGAATTAAAAGTGTTCCAATTGCAGATATAATTGCTGATTATAAGAAATATTTTCAGAAAGGGGAAGGACAGAATGTCTTATCCTACAGCACTATATTAAAAATCATATGCCTTGCTATTTGCCACCGCTCAGTGTCTTCAAAATATGAAAATATAAGCTTTGGAAATGGAAAAGTATTTTTAATAAAACACATTAATCCTTCTATAGGACTAGTAAAATCAAAACATTGTTTTTTAATGAACTGCTATTTTCATGTTATTTTAAAAGAATATGCACTAACACTTAGTCCTGGAGACAGACACAACCAATTATTTGAATATTCTAAGAGGGACATGCTGAATCAAGTTCTTTGTTATGTTTTTAACTAGTTGCTACTGCCATCTATTGGTTGTTAAACAGTATGATGGTTTAGAACAGAGCTTTCCAAACTGTATGTTGCGACAGTATGTGTAGGTGTGTCGCGCAAAAGCTCCCCACACTCCTTCCAGGGCAGCTGGAAAGTGGTTAGTTTAACCTCCTGTTTGCTAGTAAAACTGAATTACTGTGTCATGAAATGATGCATGTCTAAAAAGTGTGTCATCAACATGAAAGGTTTCGAAAGCTCTGGTTTAGAACCTTCAAATATTGTAGGTGCCTTTTTCTATTAGAGGAAACTATAGTATTTCCTCCAATAAAGTAGTTTACATGTAATATTGATTAGGAAGCAAATAGCTTCCAATTCAGTGAGACCTGAGCCAGAGTAGAGAGTGGTAGAATAGATTTTAAACCACTGCAGACAACAGATCGGAAACATGGAGTTGTGCCCCAAAATGTTATCACATTCACACAACGACTTCCACTTGTACAACAAAAATTCTCTTCCAACTCCTCTCCCCACATGCACCTCACGCTCCCAAGTCTGCTCCAGAAAGTTGGACCCCTAAAGCCGATTATTTTGTGGAGGGAGTCTTCTATTGCACAAGTGAAATTCCTTGCCTGAACAGAACAACTTGGGCACAACCCATGAATTTTAAATGCTCCCCTATGCAAGAATTTCCCTGCTGTTCAGACCACTCCACAGTGTGGGTGCTTTCTATCTGCATGTCTTTCCCTTTAATGATCGGGAAGTATTTTTAAAATGTGATCACTCACCTATAGTCTGAAGTGGTTTAATCTGTCCTACCTCCTCAGAAGCCTATTACTATTTAGTAACTGGTCTGTTAATGAAGCAAAACTGAACATACTCTACTTAAGCTGAATTAGTAGCTGATTAATAAATAATAATAAAATTAGCTCATCGTTTTTTGAACAACAAGAGGATAGTTTGCCAATTCAAACATTAAATCAAAATGATCAAAGCATAACAAAACTGGTGACTAAGCCCAACTGAACAAAATAGGACTTACTCCTGTTAATAAAATGGTATGGTCAGTTACGATCCAGTGCCAAATATTATAATCTTCACAGGAGCACCAAAGATTAAGGTCCTTCCTGCACCACCAGCCCTGAAATTTTGGAAGCAGTTTCCAACAAAAGCGCCAATGAAGTTATATTTGATAAAAGTATGGCTACCAAGTTCTACTAGTGTCTTTTCCTTTTCAAAATATTCCCATCAGCAGTGTTAAAGGCTATTTGGTATTTGGAAATACAGTGGTACCTCGGGTTAAATACTTAATTCGTTCTGGAGGTCCGTTCTTAACCTGAAACTGTTCTTAACCTGAAGCACCGCTTTAGCTAATGGGGCCTCCTCCTGCAGCTGCGCCGCCGGAGCCCGATTTCTGTTCTTATCCTGAAGCAAAGTTCTTAACCTGAAGCACTATTTCAGGGTTAGTGGAGCGTGTAACCTGAAGCGTATGTAACCCGAGGTACCAGTGTACATTAGCTTGAAAAGTAGACATAAACAAAAGGAGGTTGCCTCAGTTATACTACTGCACTAAAAATGTTTATGTCGCAGCCAGATTGCCCTCACATCCAAGGAGTCAAGGAATCACATCCAAGGAATCACGTTGTCAAGGAGGACAGCACCGAGGTCCTCAATAAATTTGCTGCAGACTTTGCTATGGAAGCCACTTCTAAAGCCGATGTTCACGTGCAACCCCACAAGAAGTAGCTCCACGTCACACTGGCCTATCACTTCCAAGCCAGCCCCTTGCAGATGCTTGAGAAGTTAGCTCACAGCATAGATGTCAAGCTGGGCTGTGACTGGGTGGCTGCAATATTCTCCTGGGATCTTAGATTTGCCAATCATGAGACCCTCCAGGTGATCTACCCATACACCCCGCAGAACGATGATGAGCTGGAGCTTGTCCCAAGGGACTTCATGTCTCCTGTGGAGCAGGTCACCACCAGCACAGGCTGGATTTATGGCACTTTGCTTGGGACAGGGTGCCATGGACTGCTGCCCAAGAATTACATCACCAAAGCAGATGAGTGCGGCACGTGGGTGTTCTATGGGTCATATGCCATTCTAAATGCTAATTCATCCCTCTCCCTCCTGATGTTCACTGACAGAGTGGTGGATCGAAGACTGCAGGAGGATCAAGAACCAGGGGATACTGGGCCCCTCACAATCTTCTGCCAGAGTATGCAGCCCTTAAGGATCACCAACCCACCTGGGCCACAGAAGAGGCGCCTTTTCGTTTGCCGACACGGCAAAAGGATGGATGTTGTGTTTGGGAAATACTGGCTCTCAGTGTTTGATGCCGAAGGAAGGTACATGCGGACAAAATATTTATTTTGTACTGGTTAGGAAGCTGCCCTATTCCAAGAGAAGAACTGAAAAAGTATCATATCTATGCAGGGTAGGCTTTTTATCTAATCTTTTGCAATGTTGCAATGCCCCCTTGTGGCAGAGTTATCGTCTCCTTTTTATATGCCTACAGATAGCTTAAAAGAAACCATTAAAAGTTTTAGCAACTTAAAAGGAAAATTACTAGAAGTACTTTGAAAATACTCTCCTTTAAGCATTATGGCATCTGTAATATTAACTACAAATATATGTTCAGTTTAGGAAGATATTCCTGTTTCTACTTGCTAAATCCGCAGATAGTTTAAGACATCCTGCTTGAACACTTTTTTAAAGGGTACTTTAAGAAATAACAGAAACGTTGGCTTGAATCTTGAATTCCCACAAGCAGAACTCCACTCATGGGATACTCCCTTAAGAGGAAGGAAAGAGGCAATTTCCTTCAATTTCACCCAGCAGAACTGTTCTGCCAGGCCAGGAGACCCTCCGGAACATCATGGGAAGTGTCATGGGAGGGTACTGGGCAAAGGGAGAAATGGACAAAAAAAAGCCACCGCCACCATTCTTCCAGAGGAAGCCTCTCTGGGGAACCCTGCACCCAATCCATACATTACATTTTTTATATTTTAGAAATATAGTGTGAATAAATTAAACAAATCCAGCTTTGGATGCCTTCATATTACTTTCATATCTCAGATACTTTAGCATTTAGTTTTATAGGACAATTTTAAAGCTCTGGGATTATGCTCCAAATATTGTAACAATAAATGATCAAATTATACTTATCTTTGTATGGCCATATTTAAAATCAGATATAAGCAATAAGTTATGAGAAGCATCACAAGAAAAGCTGTGGCAATAATGAACATACAACAGATACATGCATATGTGAGTAACAACTTTCATGCTAATACAAGTACCACTAAGGTGGTGGTGAGAGATATTCATGATAAATTTTCTTTATAACTCTTACCCATAGGAGCATCTGGCGTTAAACCCATGCTCTGAAGCAAGGCTTCAGCTTCCCGTCTCTTCTTTTCAAGGTCAGACTCATCTTGTACAGGAAGAGCTTCTTTCTTCTGATCAGTCTATATTTTTTTAAAAAAATAACAAGTTATGTGACAGTGCATACTTTCACATACCACTTGTTTTATGTGCAAGGAAAAGGTTTTAAAAGAAAAATTACTTCATTTCATAGAAATGGGATACAGGTAATATTAATTGCATCTATATTTCACTGATAAAGTCAGTGAGGAAGAATTGTGCCAGCTCTAGCCATTTCTTGGTCACAACACAGAGCAAGGCAAATGTGGATAGGGGTAGGAACTTAAGCTTATTACTGTAGCAAGTTCCCGAAGACCAACAAATGGCCTAAGAGCCAGTGAGAGCCAGTGTGGTGTAGTGGTTAAGAGTGGTAGTCTCGTAATCTGGAGAACCGGGTTCGCGTCTCCGCTCCTCCACCTGCAGCTGCTGGGTGACCTTGGGCCAGTCACACTTCTTTGAAGTCTCTCAGCCCCACTCACCTCACAGAGTGTTTGTTGTGGGGGAGGAAGGGAAAGGAGAATGTTAGCCGCTTTGAGACTCCTTAAAGGGAGTGAAAGGCGGGATATCAAATCCAAACTCCTCTTCTTCTTCTAAGGGTCTACCCTAAATTCAGTCAATGGCAGGAGGATATAGCTCAATGAAAATATCAACCAAGTCTGTGGCAGGTGTGAAAAAATATGATTTCCATGTTAATGAGTAAATATAAAACTGCCAATATTTTTTAAAAATCCACCCCCACTCTGTGATTTCTGGACGTTGTTTGTTTCTTTTTTAATGCCAAATCTACAAGAAAAAGCTCATCTAAATGGTCTCAATCCTAATCGCCAGCTATGGCATTTAACATTAGTGAATACTTTAAAGATATTGATGTTAGCCTTTGCATTCCAGAGATTTATGCAAATTCAAAGATCCGTGATATTATATATTTATCAAAAAGCGAGTTGTATCAAACTGAACCATTAGAAAACAGCCAGCTACTTTTCTATAACCATAGTCTTGCATTGTACTGAGAAAAAATTTAGCTTCTAATTGACATATCTGGATTGTTCAATCACATAGTGCTCTGAGATATCTGACAACTGTACAGTTCAGCTACACAGAAGTTACATTCAAGATTGTTGGTTCATCAAAGCTTAACTTCAGCAGGTCTTAAATGCTTCGCTGAAATAGAGCCAAGCTTCATACCAGCTGCTTGTCAAAAACCTACACATCATCTCTGCCAATTGTGCACTTAAGGCAGTGTTTGTACCAACTTCCAATTTCCCAGTATATGAAGACTGCAAAGTAACTGGGTAAAGATCAAGAAAGTACTAAAATGGCACTGCATTCTTCTTTTTATTTATTACATATATAAGGCATCTTTTCTCCAAGGGCCTCAAAGTGGCATATGTCACTCTCCTTCCTTTCTAAAGAACCCTGTGCGGCAAATTTGACTGAGAGATACTGTCCTCATCTTAGGGTCTTAACAAAATAATTCCAGTTTGAACTGTTTTCTGTGCTTGTACACCAACATTCCAAAAATAGTACAACACTAATTAGAATGGTTTAAATATGCCTTTTTTTAATTTTTCCAGTATTGCTAAATCATTACCATAGGGTCCAATTACTCCACACACACCCAATATTGGCATGCCAGAGGAATACCAAAAATAAGAGTATCATAGAATTGTAGAGTTGGCAGGGACTGCAAGGATCATCTAGTCTAATGCAAGAATCTTTTACCCAACATGGGCCTCAAACCCACAACCCTGATATTAAGTGTCTCAGGCTCTACTGACTGAGCCATCCCAGAGCAGAATGCTGGACAGTTTTTTGTTTCTTTTTACAATCTTAATACTTCAGAATGCATATGCCCTTGCACAAGCATACCACAGCATTAAAAAGCCTCGAAGAATAAATGAACTGCCTTTGGTAATGCTGCTAGAGAAAAACCTTCCCTTACAGGAAGATGAGCCATGCCAGGAAATCACTTTCTAGCTGAGCCGATGGAAGCGTAGTGTTCTCATACTACTAAACTAAGCTGCTACTGGAGCAGTCTATGAGCAGGACAGAAGTAAGACTATGCGTGGAGTACAAAGCCAAGCTTCATGATGACAGTACAGATGCAGATAGCTTCTACCTCACCCAACGTGCCACACAGCTGTCATCTTTCATCCACCACAGATATAGTCATCAGATAACGTACATTTTAATGAATATCCAGTTAAAAGAATGAAGCTATTTCCAATGATTTTTTAAGCATGTAACACACATGCTTGGATCACACAAATGCTAAACCACAATTTAGCATTATATGTATGTGCTTCTGTGAGCTTAAACAAAACCTTGGCCGCCTCACATGTAGGGAGGAGTGAAGCAGGTGCATAAAGCTCCTTTGTTTATTTATCTCAATACATTAAGCTGGGATACAATCATCTCACAGATGTAATTTGAAAAGTTCTTACTTCCTTTTTCTTTCGCTCTTCCTCTTTTCTCTTCTTCTCTTCTCTGATTTGGGCCAAGCGTTGTTTCTTACGCTCCAGCTCAGCCTTCAGCTCACTTTTATCAGACATGATTAGAATCCTGTCAACAAAATAAAGATTACATGAAGAATTATATATACATAAATGAAAGGCCCTTATGTAAATCTATCATAAATAAATTCCCTAGAATAAATGTATGCTCATATGAAAAACCTTAGCCTCTCTTGGAAGACATATATTATGTACCAAAATTAGACTCAATTTTTGCATTATTGCATTCCAAAGACTAGAACAGGGGATGGGAAACCTATGGCCCTCAATACATTTCTGGACTCAAATTTCAGAAATCCTCAGCTAGCATCGCCAATGGTCAGAGATGGTGGGAAGGTTAGCCACCCCTGGTCTAAGCTTTCTGCTAATAGCGAAATAAAGGTGGTTATAATGCAGTACATCCTTTTCAAACAGGCTGTATTTGTTTGTTTGCAACTGAGAAATGCAAACCAAACTCTGCCGATACTCCTATATCCAAAACAATCAAAGGCAATTGTGACATGCCTTTGGAACTTGTGATTTTTAAAAAATATAAATTAAAATAAAATAAAGTTTTTAAGAGCTTCTTAGAGGATAACAGAGTACAGTATTAGCTGGAAATGAACGAATGGATGCAAAAGTCACTCTTGTACTCCTGAAAAGTTCTATTATGAATGTTAATACTTTAAACAATTTTGAGGTTAAACTAATCCAGTTATGTAACCTTTCTTTCTTTTTTCAGTGGCAGAGACAAACAATAATGCCACTAGGACTGCCTCTGGTGTGTTTCCATCATTTCATAAAAAGCACAGCAACCTGCCAGACATGGACTATTTCAGTGCATGCTTACTCAGAAGCAAATTCTGCTTACTTTCAAGAAAGGGACCACTCCTACCATAACTCTGCACAGGACCTTGCAAACTAATCCTATGCTGAATTAAGACATGCCCAAACAATGACACTCAGGCAAGCAATGCTTAAATCACGTTAAAGCAAGGGTGGGAAGCCTGTGCCCCCCTGAAACATACAACTGTAGAGCTGGAAGGGACCCCAAGAGTCATCTAGTCCAACCCCTTGCAACGCAGGAACTTCAACACCCATCAGCCCCAGTCTGCCTGGTCAGTAGTTAAGAGATTATAGGAGCTGCAGTCTAACAACATCTGGACGGCCGCAGGTTCCCCAGACACAGGTGCTTCCACGGAGCATTAGAATCAGGGCTGGCCCACCCATTAGGCAAGGTGAGGCAACCACTCACCCGGGCAGCACATCCTATTGCCAATCTTTCTTCCTGTTTTAAATCATCCTTGACGCCTTCTTCTCTGGCAGGGAAGGAGGCATCATTCCAGGGTCCTCCTCAGATGCCAAAATGTCTTGCCCCAGGCCTAATTATAGCCCATTTCCATTGCAAAGCTGTAACTGGCTGAAGTGGGCTCTGACCAAGCTTGTGCCCCTACCTATAATGTGTTGTCAGCTTTTCAGAGGGGCAGCCCTGTTAAGTGGGCAAAAACCTATGAAGAGTAATGGGGGGGCACCGTAAGAGCATTTTATGGCAGAAGCTGAGGCAGGTTCTGGCCTACAGAAGACTTATGCAGTACAAAACTGCACCGTCACCCCAAAGTCAGTGACAATGTTGAGACTGCTGTAAACATTTAATGGGCAGTGGGCAGCAATAGCAACAAAGTACCTCTTGGATCCTACCGGTTCTATTTCTGCAAAAGTGAACAACTCTAGTCTAGTTGGAGTTGGGTATCTGCCCTAATCGATGGAAAGAACATCCATGCTGGTGGGCATAAACTTGGCCTTGGCCTAGAACTGGAGGCTTAAAAGGTGTGGAAAAAGCTGCCGCAGGAAATGGAGGCATCAAAATATTATTATTATTATTAATATTTATATACCGCCCTATACCCGCAAGTCTTGTGGTGGTTCACAGGATAAAATCACAATACAAAAACACAAAATACATAATGAAAAATAAATACAACTACCACCCAAGAACGCCCTAAACGTATTTTAAAAGGGCACTGAATGTCAATCAATCCAAGGTCTGGTGAAAAAGGAATGTTTTTGCCTAGCGCCTAAAGGTTTATAATGAAAGTGCCAGGTGAACCTATTTGGGGAGAGCAATTCCACAGATGGAGAGCCACTATGGAAAAGACCCGTTCTCATGTTGCAACCCTTAGGACCTCTTGTGGATGAGGCACACAAATAAGGCCCTCAGAAGATGATCTCAGGGTCCAGGTGGGTTCATATGGGAAGAGGAGGTCCTTGAGGTATTGCAGTCCTGAGCCGTTGAAGGCTCTATAGGTCAAAACCAGCACTTTGAACTGGGCCCGGAAACTAATTGGTAGCCAGTGCAGTTGGTAAGACATAAGACATAGCTGTCAACGTTTTCCTTTTTTTAAAGGGAGATTCCCTTATTCCGAATAGGATTCCTCGCAAGAAAAGGGAAAAGTTGACAGCTATGGACTAAGACCAGTGTGATATGCTCAAACCGCTTTGCCCCGGTGAGTAACCGGGCCTTAAAAAGTAATTCCAGTATAACAATAATAATTTATTATTTATACCCCGCCCATCTGGCTGGGTTTCCCCAGCCACTCTGGGCGGCTTCCAACAAAACGCTAAAATACAATAACCTATTAAACATTAAAAGCTTCCCTAAACAGGGTTGCCTTCAGATGTCTTCTAAAAGTTTGGTAGTTATTTTTCTCTTTGACAACTGGTGGGAGGGCGTTCCGCAGGGCGGGTGCCACTACCGAGAAGGCCCTCTGCCTGGTTCCCTGTAACTTGGCTTCTCGCAGTGAGGGAACAGCCAGAAGGCCCTCGGCGCTGGACCTCAGTGTCTGGGCAGAATGATGGGGGTGGAGACACTACTTCAAGTGTACTGGACCGAGGCCGTTTAGGGCTTTCAAGGTCAGCACCAACACTTTGAATTGTGCTCGGAAACGTCCTGGGAGCCAGTGTAGGTCTTTTAAGACGGTGTGACATCCCTCCCTCCCCCCATCACGGTAAGACACTTTCGCTGCTGCCAACACGGGAAGCAAAAGCGCCCGGAGATACAAGGGAAGCAAACCGAAGGCAAAGTAAGCAAGCGCCGCTCTGAGAGGAAAGCGGCGGCGACAACGCGCGGGCGGGGCAGGGGGAGAGGCGCGGCTCCGGGGCGTCGCCCACCCCGCGGCTCCACCCCTCCTCCTCTCCGCGCGCGCCCCCCCTCCCCTCGCGCCCTCAACGGTCACAGGCTGACCGTTACTCCTGAGGCCACACGGCTCCGAAGCCGCCCAGGGTCTTTCTCCCCCCGCCGCCGCTTGGAGGAAGCGGGTGGGGCTCACCCCGCCGGCGGTCTTGAAGGCCGCGCTGACCTGTCACCGGGGCTTTTCCTCCGCTCAAATTGCCGCCGCCGGCTCTGCTCCGAGATGCTCCTTCACAAAGGGCGGCGGGGAAGGGGCGAGACGGCAGCGGCTTCCAATAAGGAGGCTGAGACCCAAAGCAAAGCCCCGCCGGAGACAGCTCAGCATCAACTGACGAGACGCGCATGCGCCGAAATGAGGCGAGGAGACTGGACAGAGCAGCCGCCGCCGTCCCTTGCGTAGCTTGGGCGTTGGGGAAGGGGGCGCATGCGCGCGGCGAGAAACGCGGGTGACGTACGTACGTAAACCTTCAAACGGGCGGAAGGGCGGTTTGTCTGGGGGCCCAAGACTAAGTTGCTCCACTGTTTTTCTGTGTGGGGTGTTTTTGTTTTTAATGGAGCGAAGGAATCAGTCAGCCACTTGCTGACATCTCTCAAATATAGCGTTGGTTAAGGGGAGGGTAAGGACTACAAATCCCAGCATGCCATGCGGCCAAGCCTCGTTACCGCCCGCTTGCCTGCTCTCAAAAGCTTTCAGCCTCTTGTAAAAGGAGGAAGAGCGGTGCATTCTGGGAACTGCCATGTGTTGTCCCGGGGCGAATTGGGAATTGCAGTCCGCTTTCCGCGCTTGGGTTGCATGAAGGAAGCCAAAAGTGAACCCGTTGCTTGCTCTCTATCTGGTCCGCCGGCTGAAAGTGCGCATCCTTACATTGTGCAGCGCTTGCCAAATGCAATTTACTCAGCGGATGTTGGTCCTGATAGGGGTTTCTGCTGTTTTTTTCATAGCACAGGTTGCCCGAAATCTGATCCGGACGACGTGACCCACCCACTCGGAAGTAAATCGCACTGAATTCAAGCTGTGTGACTCCCAAGTGACGGGCAACAAAAGAACACAGTAGTTCTGCTGGGCGTGGTCGGTTGCGCTTGCTTTTGGCCCCGAGATCTGATCATAGCTGTCAACTTTTCCCCTTTTCTTGCTAGGAATCCTATTCGGAATAAGGGAATTTCCCTTAAAAAAAGGAAAACGTTGACAGCTATGGATCTGATGCGTGTGCGTCAATTAATGTTGCAGTAGCATGTGCTTTCTCCTCACCCGACACCCATTCTAAGAAAACAAAACAACAAACAAAAACCACCAGCAGGGTGAGTCGCTGCTGTTCATTTCTGGGAGCCCCTTCTCCATAAGGACAGAAACAGCACTTTGACATTGTCTGCTGTCTCTGCCTTTGGCTGGACGTTTTACGGAAGGTACAAAGGCACTGCCATAACTGCCCATGCTGCAAACTCTTCAATCTTCGGACCCATTTCCTCCTCTGGACACAAGACGTTTGCACTGGTCTTTCTTCACTCTTGATATAGGGAACTTGTGGCCCCTCAGAAATTGTTCAGACGCCCAACATCTGCAGTCATCATGGCCAGTGGTCAGGGAATGATGGGAGTCCGTGTCTAGCAACACCTAGAGGGCCAAATATTGTCCAACCCCAATCCCCTTTTCCAATATGCTTAGTATAAATTATTAGGAACTTGAGCAGGCCAGTTGCCCTTTCCCCCGCAATTGCTCCAGTTTCCTTTCTTTTCGCTTCATTACATTGATTACAGCTTTGTCTTAGGAAAATAATCAAACTTGAATTTTTCTCTTATCTCTCATCAGATGAGAGTTTGAACAGTGCATCTGTGTAAACAATAGAGGCTGTTATGTAGTTAGTTATTTTGTACAATTTATAGAATATCTCAGACCTTAAAGAGGCTGCTCCTTCTCATATTGCCAGTATTTATCAGGGAAACATGAGTGAATGGCTAGCTATCATTTGTAATGTTCGGAGACAACTCACATTGCTTAAAAGCAGATTGACAGCAGGATATATGAAGACATTTTCAGGGCCATTTTCTATTTCTGCTGGTTGGAGTTGTGCAACCTGACACCATAATCTCCGTGTCGGTTGTATAGATATCCTCAACTACTGTCACTCTTTCTGACAGCTTTCATAGCTTTACTGACAATGCTCATCCAAGGAATACAATCAATGCCAGATCTACAAATTTTGCCAAAGGGGGCAAAAGTATGCACTGTCACCCTGTTTTGTGCTGACTGCCCTCCCTCAGGAAGAAAAACTCCGCATTTCTGTCTATTGCTCCATAAATCTGTAGATACAGATTTGTTTTAAGACCATTAAAAACAATCTGCAGCAGAACTGAAAGAGCAGCAAGACTCCTGGATTCATGTTTTTTTAAACTACCGTATTTGAGGGTTTTTTAAACAATCAAGCAGTGTATAATTTTTATGAAATAAACAAATAAATAATTAACATCCATATACTGAGGGACTAGAAACCTAGTAAATGAATATATCTTCTAGTTGGGGTAAACATGTGCATATACAGTATATTCCAACTAGAAGAACTAAGGTTAACAGCAGCAGCAGCCCAAACCCCTGGAATGGGGCATTCCAAGGAAGGTGTTGGGCAAGTCCCAGATCTGCTGAATCCTGAACTAGTCCCACTGCCAGGGGCAAAACTAGGCTTTATTTCATCTGGGTCAAAGACCTAATTTGTCACGCGCACACACACACCCAATGCACATTTGCGTACACACACAGGCTGGGAGTCTCAATGGCACCCTTCTGGAGCCTTCACCTGGGGCAAAAGACCATGTCTAGCTCCGCCCCCCCAGTAGCTACGACTCTACTCCCTGCCATCACATGACAGCATCAGGCCTGATCTGTTGTCAGGGACTGGGCAGAAAAGGAGTGGTGGAGACTACCTCACCAGCCTGACCCTTCCAGAGAAGAAGGAGACAGTTCAGAATTACAACAGGGGTTTGAGGGAGACCACAGCTCAGAGGCAGATGAGGAGAAAAGCTGGGAAATAATGGGAGAGGAGGAGGAAGAAAAAGAAGCACCAGGGGAGCGACAGCTGATGGACTTGGTGTCTTTAGAAAACAATCCAGACTTCCCCTTTCTCAGAACCTGGCGGGCATTGAAAGTAGGAGAGCAAAGAGCTCAAAGGCAGAGGGCAAGTAGCAGCACCCGTAGCGATGAACAGAAAAGGGCAGTGGGAGGTAGTGAGGAGAGTGACTGAGGGGAGAGACAAAAAAATTCAACAGCTGGATGCACTGCATCAAGCTCTGCCTGGTGTTGTGGATGGGAAGCAGCAGAATAAGCAATGAATATCCATGACTGAGGAAACGCAGCAATGTTTGGAAGCGAGTGTGTCAAATGTGCACATAGAAAAAAACAGATTTGAACAATCTATTTGCAATATAAGGCCCCTGTCTGGAAGAATTCTTCACACTTGCTCACACTTTTCTGAATAGTGCAGAACTGATGTTTTGCTCTCTTTGCAAAGCCAGTGAACAATCTACAGTAGGGACATTCTTCAGTTGTGTGTGTTTTCAAGCACTGGTACCTTCCGCATGTCTTCTGAGTGCACCACTGCGCATTGCTCCGGTTTCTGCTAGTCTGAGTACCAGTCATTGTATTTCAGGGATCCACCGACAAACATTAACTGATAGGCCAGTCTCCTCTTACAAGGTAAAAGTCTTACTTCCCTATTATTGTTATTATTGTTCTAGTCTCTCCTTTTCCTTTTATATTTGTTACACCGTTAATACGCTTCCCCTATTATTCCCTTTGCCTGATACACATTTCCTTCTTTAGTGTCAAAATAAGGTGACGGTGAATCGCGAGTCCCTCCTGAGATGAGTACTCCTGCAATCTAGCAACCTTTGCCACGAAAAACATACACTCGTGAATGGGCAAGCACTTAAGAGCGATTCACCGCCGAACATTATAGAAAATAGACCTACACGGGTTCAAAGAATACAAGACCAAGTTCCCCTTTCCTCGGTTTTGGTCCAGCAAGTACGGCGCTCTAATTTTATTCCTATTATGTGGTTAAGAGGCGAGAAAATGAAAGCTTCCTAAAAGGCCCCCAAACCTCTGCTGTTGCAGTGGTTTCTAAAAGCAAGAATGGAAACACCGAAAAGATCGGCAGAAAAGGAACCATTTAAAGAAACATTGTAGGCTACTGTATATTCTGCCCTTATTCTCTGCCCTTCCCATTAGTTTGCATTTGACAGGGAGAAAGGCAAGGGAACATGTCTGATCGTTCAAAATATAATACAGCCCTGTTTCTAAAGGAAGTGTTGTATTGCTGCTGCTTCATCCACAGTGCATGGGTTGCTGTTCATTTTCAACGAAGAAAATCAAGATCTTTGCAAGGGATGAGCTTGTTTAGTTCAGAATTTACAGTTTCTCCTTTCACGAACCGAAAATCAGTTTGAGACTTTGTTTCAAGCTCTTGTCTAATAGTTCTTAGAGTACTGGGAATCTGGACTGGAATGGAAAATTAAGGAGAGAGGTTCCCCCCCCCCAGTCTATTAAGGTGAATAGTTTTAAACCTAGAGATTTCAAGACATCATATTTCCCCATTGTCATATTGGTCTTTCCTTCCCAACCTCAAGGGGATAAAGTAAGCAACAGAAGGCGCAAAGCTGCTGTGTTTTCCAGCATGCAACATACATTTTGCTGGTACGTATGCTCAGAACAGTTAGCATTCTCTTCTTGCTGGCAAATTTTTATCCAGTAAATGCTCCTAACCATAGGTGCCATCTCCACAGGTCACAGTAACTCTTAGTGTTCAATTTCCTGTGGAGTCAATCGGTCCTGTCTGTCAGTCTGCCTTAATACGTGCAGCCTTTATGCTTAGAAGAAGAGCAGTTTGTATTGGTTTTCGCAGGAAAATAACTTCGGCTCAAGTGCTGGCATAAAAGCACAGGTGGCAACAGAGGCAAAGGTCCGTTTCGCACAAGGCTTTTGGTTACAGGAAACAGCACCTCTACATGCACAAAGGATGTGGTTCATCTAGGTTCATACAGCACAGGAAAAATTTCCTCCAATAATTGGTTGGCGCCTGTCTGTCTTGAGAGACAATGGAGTTCACCTTCAGGGGTGAAGTCAAACTGATGTGTTAGCAGCACCAAAGTGACTCCCTGGGGTGCAAGACTGGGCAGTGTGTATGGAGGTCCTGGACTGCCCATACAAAAAGACCCCACTCTCAGCCTCGCTGATGTGGTCCAAAGGAAAGGACAGCAATACGTTTGGCACCAGCTTGGCTGCAGGAGTTGCCGGAAGGAGGTGTGCAAGGTGCCATCCAACCATCTTAGGGACTCCACTCTGGGTTTGTCTAGCTTTTTCTTCTCCCAAATATATCCTTCCCAAGTTGACAAGCCCCATCTGCCCCTCACTTCCCTCTACAGCATGTGTAGAAACTGCCTTCTTGATCGTTGGACCCACCACTGGTTTTGTCTGCTCAATCTGCCAGAGCCTGTCACCTATATTGCTGTGACTCTCACTTTGCAGTCTGCCAATCTAAATTGCGTATACAAGAAATGCTGTGCGGTACAATCCTAAATATGTCTACTCAGAAGCAGGCTCTGTTGAGTTCAATGGGATTTGCTTCCATGATGCTGCCATGTGAATATCCATTATTTCTTCTAGCTTTCAAAGATTCAAACAAAGTAAACTGCCACAGGTACACACACGTTTGTTACTGAGCTGAGAATGGACTAGTCTAATGTCGTTTACATAGATCTGCCCCGCTATGGAATCCCACATGGGATGACTGGTCCTTCCTCTACATAAGAATTTCTTCCTATATACATAAAAATGTAGGGCTGTCACCACACAACCACCACTGGATAATTGGTAGTGCCATGTCGCAATTGTGATGGCCTGGGACTCGGGCTCAGACTCAGAACCAGAGGAGTCTCAGTCCGCACCGGATCCTTTGCCTCAGGCGGCATCTGAACCTAGTCTGGGGCCTGAATCTGAAGAGCCCCAGTCTGCACAGGTTCCCCTGCAGCAAGCACCAGCTGAGCCAAGTCAGGGGCCTGAGCCTGCCCTGGCTCCAGATGCAGGGATTACCTTGTTGCCTTCAGCTGGGCTATCACAGCTGCTCCACCACCAGTTGGGTCAGGAGAGGCTGAGGCGGCCTCTGGGTCTAGTAACCCACTGACATCTCCCGAGCTGCAGAGACTAAGGTCTGAGAGAAGGAGAGACCTGAGTACTCGCAGGAGGAGTGCTCTCCTTCAGGGAGACAGGGAGATGAGTCACCGGGGGATCAGGACCGGCCTTTACCCCGACAAAGATAAAAGGCTGTCGGACCCGCCCCAAGTTGTGGGAGCAACATTGCTGTTTGCCAGAACCTGCCTGAGACCCTGTGCCTGACCTTGCCTGGTGTCCTGCCTTGGCCCTGTTGGACTGACTCCTTGCAGAACCCTTGGATTCGGGACCGGATCCTGACCTCGTTGTTCGGGTTACCCCCGGGCCCGGCACAGCAATACTGGATTTGCATGAAGTTAGAATTATGTGATCCACCCATGGGATGCAACTGCTATTTGCTCCCCAGTCTCTAATATGGCAGGGCAGGGCCATACACAAGGCTGTGTAGTGGACAACCATTCATTTTCCTTCTGTCAAGACAATACAGCGTGATGAAAATCCTATCTTTTCCAGATACTAAGTATAATGGTATGGGGTTGCTCGTGCGTAAGTTGCCGCCTCTCCTGGCTATGTTGCCTTGTTAAACCTTTCTGTCTGGACAGCCCTTCACTTCGTGGCTGCCTCAGTCACTAGCAGAATCTGTCAGTGGGCGTTTCTTAAACCTTTTCTAACATAAAAGTTGTTTGACACCCAGTCTCCTCCTACTCTCCCTGCGTGGAAGTCTTCTGCGCAGGGAGGGCGTGGGTAGCGGAGGACCAGTGCTCTCCCCGCTGGTGTCTGGTGAAGAGTCTGGGAGCCCTCTCGCCGATTCCCCCATCTGCCCCTCCTTATTCCTGGTGTTGCACTGAATTGCTTCCCCATCTGCTGAGCTGCCTCTCTCCTTGCTGGGCCCTTCTCCAGCATCATTAGAGAGCCTTCCCTCCACCTCTAGCTCCGATGTCAGTTCCCTGACACTAAGTGATCGTAAATTATTTGATTGTGAAAATACAGGCTGTTCTTGTAGCACAGAATCTTTGGCCAGAAGGCATCTGTCAGCCTTTCAAGCGACCCTCTCTTTTTCGTCACTGCTAAGCGACATCGCAAAACAAAACCTCCTTTTATTAAAAATGCTCAAATTGTGCACGTTTCCCAAAATGGGCATTTATGAAACGTTCAAAGGGACCTTTCATTCAAACCCGTAAAATCTGTTAAAGCAAATTTCATACATTTCCATTAAGGAGACAAATGACTTCTCGTAGGCAAGGATCAAATGCATCAGAGAGTCGGTATGCTGTCTTAATAATGGGAGGTGGGCTGTGGAGGGTGGGAGAAATGATGGAACACTTCCAGTTCAAAGAATTCAGTGCTTTTCATTTATGCTGGAAATAATGTGAATGATGTAACCTTCACCTCCCAGTTGCAAAGTTATCAGGCAAGGCAGACATCACTAGATACATCACATTTCTGACGTGAAAATGACTAGAAGGCTATTTCCTTCTATTTCTTTCCTCCTGAAAATTGTTCAAGATCTTATTGTAATATATTGGGGCAGGGAGCCTGCATAATGTTGCAGGCGACAAAGAACTCGGCTAGAACCTCTCCGAGAGATTATTGCTATTCTGTCTTTGTGCTGATTGAAATCCAGGATGTTTATATTCAAGCCATTACGAGACACTGGCAAATACCTTTCTGCCCCACTGGAAATGTAATCTTTCTATTGAACATTTTACCCTGGTGAATTTCTTCTGCAATAGGAATGGGCAGTTTTGCATTTGAATCAAATAAGGTCACTGCTTTGCATAAATTGATGTGGAATATACTCTGCTTGCCTTTAGATGAAATTGATCCGTTGTTGGGTTGAACAGAATACATGGCAGTAAATATTTGGACATAATTAGGTTCCTTTTAAGTCTTGGTGAATGCAGAGTAACAGTGAGATGCCCAGCGTCTCTAGGTTGGTTTAGGTATAAAACCCAGATAGTTTCAGTATAATAATGCTTTCAAAAATGGTCCTGTTATCGCTTAATATTAAATCCACATTGTTGAATATACAGTTACAATGGTGTGATCCTTTGTATCTGAAATAAAATCAAGAGTTTTTGCCAGTGGGTACTTCCAAACAACAATGAAAAGCCATTTTTTTCTGCTAACACTATAATAGTGCTAACTCTATTTAGCAGTGATTGTGCATGTATTTAGTTTCCATTCAAAGGAAAAGGAAATTCTCTGGAAGAGATGAGAATCTTTCTCTAACCCCCACAGCACACACCTATCGCCTACCATGGTTTTTAAAAAACCCTGCTGTAATTCACGGTTTCTTCCTGCATGGCACCTCAGCAACTGTTTTATGGCTATAGTTGAAAGAGGGAGGGAAAGAAATCCCACTTTCTGCTGCCTATGCACTACTCAGGATGGTTTACAGCAATTTAAAAATTACGGTGTTGTAAAATACAATTAAACTACAGTGGTACCTCAGGTTAAGTACTTAATTCGTTCCGGAGGTCCGTGCTTAACCTGAAACTGTTCTTAACCTGAAGCACCACTTTAGCTAATGGGGCCTCCTGCTGCTGCCGCACCGCCGGAGCACGATTTCTGTTCTCATCCTGAAGCAAAGTTCTTAACCTGAAGCACAATTTCTGGGTTAGCGGAGTCTGTAACCTGAAGCATATGTAACCTGAGGTATGATATGGAAGGGGGGGGGCATGTCTTCTTCACCTTCTTCTTCGCTACAATATATCCATTTATTTCCAGTTGTCAATGTCAAAAGGGACTAAAATCTATAAAATTCATAGAAAATCAACGTGCCAATTTGCTCAATTTCTCTAGGACTCCATGACACCCCCCCCTGTCCTCCATAATCCCTCAAGCAAGGTGTCAAGACCCTAATCCTGTCAAATCGCTCTGCCAAGCCCTTCCTCCGGGCGATGCCAGGTGACAGACTATGCATACATGGACCATTGTCTTCTCAGGATGTGCTTATCTGCGCATATCTCCAGCTCTGCATATTCCCCCCTCCCTCCTCCATATGTTAATCCGGTGTAACCCAACCTCTTCCTAATGTATTCGTGATGTAATCTGTGTAACCCAACCTCTTCTTAATGTATTCATGATGTAACGGGGATGTATTTTGCACTGTATTCTGGGACATGGAGGGAAATTTCAAAAGTTCATGTCACCCCTTTCTCGCTGTTCAATCTTGCCTTGAACCTGTTGCGCAATAAACTCGGATCTCCAGCAACTTGCTCCTGTCTCCGGCTGAGCTCATTTTCTTCCGCAGGGACCCGTGGACTTAGTCCGACGAGCTGGGTGGCAGAGTAACCCCACACCCAGATTTTACCGTAACAGGTACCACTGTATATTTTAATACAGTGGGTGGAATTCAGCTAACTAGTCCCGCTAGTGGAAGACCACGCAAGGAATTCTGCTAGTGCAACAGGGCTTTCCCCCTCTCTCCCCCTCACCCATGTACCCCTATGCTCCCCCAATTGGCTCTGGTATGTGTGTCGGAATAATCTCCAGAACAACCCACAGGGAGAGGGGGGTTCCATTTGGCAAGCTGAAAAACTTGCACTGATGGAACAAATGCCATACTGCTTCACTGGATTCCTCCCAGTAAAACCACAATGCAAATATGTTAAAAATAAAACAAAGTCCAAGACATAATTTGAGCAGCAAATATGTCCTTGTTTTGCATATTGTAAGAGAGGATACTTCAATGAACCCAAACTTTCCTTTGGTCTTTCAACCCCCGTCTTCTTCCTGATAGAAGAGTGAGGTTTTATTTTAAGTATGTGCGGATAGGACTGCAATCTTCATATAGTAAATATATGTAGGGAAGTGATATTTTGACTATATAGCTGCGGTCAAATCAGCTAATGCACAAGAGCATTCAGCAAGATTAAATAAAAATCGCAAACAGCGTATGGAAAGGTATCCAAGTGAGTAAACATCAAACAAGAGATTATTCTTCTTTGTGAGGAATCCGTTCCAGCAAAAAATTGAACCAGGGCCCTTGGCATCTCAAATCAGTAGGGCTCCCTGTTGAGCTAAAAGAAAATTGGTGGCTCTGACAGTAGCAGGAATACTTGACACTTTGGCAAGCATGTTTATAATCTCTGATATAGTTCTTTCATCAAAGGCCTCGCTTCAATCCACTGTTCACTGGGTTTTTCAGCTCACATGCCAGATCCTGTGAGCTCCTGCTACTGAGTTTGTTTTTTATTAAGCTGGTGCCAAATTTTCATTCTCAAAACTTTCTGAGTGGAGAGTTTTGGTGGGTATGAAGCTTTTAACGAATAACCTCTAAAGAGGTCTTCCCCCACACCCCTGCAGTTTGAAGTAGTTCCTAACTATTGCTTCTCCATCTATTATTTCTTTTGAAATATACTCGGAGTCGAGAGTGGATTTCATGCTCTTTATTCAGCTCATAGTGTTGAGGAGGAATGGAAGTTCCCTCAGAATGTCTGCCTTATATACATTATTTACACAATGGGCCCCACATGATTGGCTAATTCCAGGGTTCTCCTGTAGGCCAATCAGGTTGCGGATTCCCTTCCACCTGGAGCTGGATTGGGTGGCTCCTGTGGACCAATCAAACTGCTGCATTCTGGATCCTTTTGTTCTAGGACCAATCAGACTGCAGCATTCTGAATCCTATTGTTCTAGGACCAATCAGAATGCTGCCTTTTGGATCCTATTCAACTCAGTACATAACACCTTTGCTGCCATTTTTCTCGCCTGGCCTTTCTGATTTGCGTATTCCTAGCAAATCCACCATTGCACGCGGAACGCAAGGATGTCACAATACTGCATAACCAATCACAATCGGTTATGCTGTCAAGGGAGGGAAATGAAACCACATTGCTTTTAGGGAAATGGAGGGGATACATTCCTGTTTCAAGGCAGTCACAGCAACACTCCTTGTTCTCTTGTACTGAAATGAAACTGCCTTGATGGGACCTGAGTGTTTGACCATCTCGCTGTCCAACTCAGGCTCACATGCCTCCTCGGTTGGTGGGGCAGACATGCTATCCTGAAGTGGGGCGATAGAGGCCTCATTTGATGTTCCCACCTTAGCTGGGACATCTGGAAGTAGCTGGGAAGAAGGGTTGCCATACATTCAGAATTTCCCAGACATAGCCAGAATACTGCAGTTGGAAGCAATGTCCAGGCGGAAATCGCTAAAAATGTCTGGGGAAATCCGGACGTATTCAGTGTCGCTTTTGGTGATTGTCCTTAAAAGTAGCTCCAAAATGTTAATTTTTAAGGAAGTCTTTTAATCACATTGGCCTGCGATTCTTTGGGGCTTTATATACTAATAGTTCCAAGTTGAATCCCAGAATGTTCAGATTACCACTGGGTTTTGGATGTTTGCATTGTTTCCACCCCAGCCAATTTCCCTCACAACACAGTACAGCTGCATGCTACCATCATTCTCTGCCATGAAAGCTCCTCCTGTTGTAATTTTGGCTGCTTTTATTGTGCGGCTGCTTTTAGAAATCTACTTGTGGAGCTTTCTTTATACAGGACAGCCTCTTAACTTGTGTCCGGCACCTTTTCCATCTTCCTCTCCTGGCATATCCTGCCAAGATTTCCCCAGGTCGTCGTCGTCGTCTTCTTCTTCTTCTTCTTCTTCTTCTTCTTTGTCTTCTTCTCTCATCTTTTTAAATTCAGTGGGGCTTATTTCATAGTAAGTACACCAGGCTTGGTTAAATGTAGCTTGCTGATAATTTAAATGTAAGCCATCACCAATATTTCATTTTCAATCCAAACTGATTTGCTTAAATAAGCAATCACGGCCCAAACATTTGCTTCTCATCAAGTGAGGCTGATCTGTTGTAATCTAATTACTGTGTCAGAAAACTGACAAGCAATTTAACCAACAATGAAAATACACTGTAAATAACACACATATGGAATGCATCCAGGATGTTTGATATCAGATCAGTAATTCATACTACATAAACCGCATCTTAGCAAATAATATTTGAAAATGAGTGGTTTCAACGTGGTAATAGTAACAGCCTGATGGCAAGGACCTGTTCCGCTAGCATGTATGTGCCAGGACAGATTGTGTTGGCCATTGCAAATTGAAAATGTAGTCACTATTTCACTAGTTTTACAAAAAATGGACTCTCCAAATAAAGCCAATATACAAATATTCCTGCACAATTATTTAGGTTTAGGGTTACATATTAGACCTTTCTATGCATTACTTGCATGTAGGGAGTAAATATGTAGGGTGAGGAGTGGGGCTGGTACTTTTGGTTCAGTCCCCAATGTATTTTTCTCTCACCATTTGCATATTGCACTTGGTTGCATGAGAAGAAAGGTACCTTCCAGCTTAATCAGATACCCCAGTCATACACACTTTATTGGGGTTGCCATATTTTGAAAAGTTGTGTTGAGGTGTTGTGTTGTTGTTGTTGTTGTTGTTGTTTTTAAAACGTTGTTGAGCTTTTTTTTAATGGCAAATTCGCCAAGAAAAAGAAAACGTTTTTGAGCTATTTTTCAGGAAAATCGGCAAAAACAATATGGCCGACATGGGTTGACATTTTTTTGGTGCGGATTTCCACCTGGACACTGATTCCGTGTATGTCCGGGAAATTCCAAATCTACGGCAACCCTAGTTTTCTTTTCTTTTCACGCAGCAGCGTACATCAAGTGGTTCGTGGAAGAAAAATATGCAGGGCAGAGTCTGAATACCAGCTGTAGGGAATCACAAAGGGGAGGGTGCTATTGCCCCAATATCCTGCATGTTCTTCTGTTTTTATGTTCTACAAGCATGACCCTTCTCAGTCTGCTCAAAAGCTCTGGAGCCAACTGAGGATTCCCAGGTAAGATCCTCCCTCTATTGTGTGGGTAGATAGTCCCTCCCCCTACCTGGCCTGGTCACCTTGGCAACGCTTCCCCAGGCGGGATTGGGCAAGTGACTGAGGTAGGCGGAGACCTTCAGGTATCCCACCTGGGGGAAGGTGAAGCCAAGCCTGTGCTAATGGGGCCGCATAGGGTCCAGGGGCTACACGCAACCACGCAAAGGGCGCCCCCCATTTAATGTGGGGAGCGGTCATTATGTTCTACAAGTATGACCCTACTCAGTCTGCTCAAAAAGGCCCGCTCTTGTACCTGTATATAATAGAGGGGAGGGGGAATAAGAACAGCAGGGCAGCTAGAGATGGACCTCTCCCACAGATCAGGCCTCCCCAAATAACCACTCAGAGAGTGGCAGATGATGATTGGAGCACAGCAGACAGGTCTCCGGACCTGGGCCAGCATGGAAGCGATGCCATGGGACAGTCTAGATCACAAACACATAGCTCCTAAAACTCTTTTTTATTATTTCTTTAGCCCTCAGACTTCTTTCTTAGCAGTTTACAGTACCTCAGGTTAAGTATTTAATTCGTTCCGGAGGTCTGTTCTTAACCTGAAACTGTTCTTAACCTGAAGCACCACTTTAGCTAATGGGGCCTCCTGCTGCTGCTGCTGCACTGCCGGAGCCCGATTTCTGTTCTTATCCTGAAGCAAAGTTCTTAACCTGAAGCACTATTTCAGGGTTAGCGGAGTGTGTAACCTGAAGCGTATGTAACCTGAAGCATATGTAACCCGAGGTACCACTGTACTGTAACTCCTGAAACGCATTCCATTCTGCACATGGATAACTCCGGCAGTTAGCTGTAGTTACTGGTTAGCTAGCTCCTCACTCACTTGTTGATTTTCTTTATGGCCGCATTACACCCATGGACCTGAGGCTTTCCCCCACCCTAGACCATATTCCCTGCCCCACACCAGCTCATTGCCCACCCTAACTGGCTTAATTCTGCTCCCTCCACTATTCTTCCAGCAGTCGTGGTTGGTTGTCATAACCCGAATTCACCATTCCTACTTCATCAATCTACTTTCCTTCTGTGGTGGCTATGGAAGAAGTGAAGATGCTTCTTCAACGGCCATAGCAAAAGTCAGTCAGGCTGGCAAAGTAGTGACAAAGCGTTTTGCTTCGGCAGCCTTCTTGCCTAACATGAGAGAGCCCCTTTCTCACTATGCAGGATGAAAATGAAGAGAGGTTTGTGTGTGTTTATGAGGTTTATGAGGAGAGTCTGCAAAGCATGCTATGGCATGACTCATTTGCATCATATTGTGCTGGTGGGTGAATTCTGTCACCCTGCAGTGTGGACAGGAATAGGTAAAGGTAAAGGGACCCCTGACCATTAGGCCCAGTCGTGACTGACCCTGGGGTTGCAGCGCTCGTCTTGCTTTATTGGCCGAGGGAGCCGGCGTACAGCTTCCGGGTCATGTGGTCAGCATGACTAAGCCACTTCAGAGCAGCTCACAGAAACGCCGTTTACCTTCCCACCTATTTATCTACTTGCACTTTGACGTGCTTTCGAACTGCTAGGTTGGCAAGAGCAGGGACCGAGCAACGGGAGCTCACTCCGTCGCGGGGATTCGAACCGCCGACCTTTTGATCGGCAAGCCCTAGGCTCTGTGGTTTAACCCACAGCACCACCCGCGTCCCTATGTGGACAGGAATAGCCAGAGCTTATTTCATTGTATGCCATCATGTGTATGAGACATTTCCCCTACAAGTCAAGGGACAACGGGCCTTGCGAGTGGATTATGCAAGGGGAACATCTTAAATTGGTCAGACAAATCTCTTTCTAAACTACATGAATAGATAGAATTTGCAGGTCCCTTATATGCGTGTGTTAAATGTAACTTATTTCATGCATTCCAGTTTAAGAGCACATTCTTTGATATGCTAATGTGGATTTGAAAGTGTCATAACTTCCCTTTTAATAATACGTTCCGTGATAGTGATGCAAACTGTAATTATATATCATGGGCTCAAGCCTAGCATCTACTTATATGTGTGTCAAGTGCATTTATTTCTAAATATATAATTGTGTCAAGTACTTAGAATAGTAGGCAAAAATAAGGGGGAAAGCAAGGGGAAATCTCCTAAGGCAGACTGCGATCTACTCCCACTATTAACAAACTGGCAGGGATCTACCCACTGGATTGACCAAAGTTGTTGATCAGTGGTTAGCCCCGCGATTGACCAGAGTAGATTGCTGTTATGTACTGAGTTGAATAGGATCCAAAATGCAGCAGTCTGATTGGTCCTAGAACAATAGGATCCAAAATGCAGCAATCTGATTGGTCCTAGAACAATAGGATCCAAAATGCAGCAGTCTGATTGGTCTGCAGGAGCCACCCAATCCAGCTCCAGATGGAAGTGAATCCACAACCTGTTTGGCCTACAGGAGAGTTCCGGAAATAGCCAATCACGTGCAGCCCATTGTGTAAATAATGTATATAAAGCAGATACTTTGGGGAAACTTTCATTCCTCCTCACCACTATGAGCTGAATAAAGAGCATGAAATCCACTCTCGACTCCAAGTATATTTCAGTTGCGATCGACCAGTTGGACATGCCTGCCCTAAGGCGTATGAGAATGCAAGGAAAACCCCAGGAAAGAACATATGGACTAGAGAATTTGATGATAAAATGGCATGCCATATAATAGCTTTTAAGGAGGGGGGCATTGCAATGACCTCAGTGGGGTGAATGAAGAGGTTGCAGAGAATTACAGCCATCAACTGCATTCAGACATCACAAATCATGGGCGTAGCCAAGATTTATTTTAGGGGGGCAGGCCCAAGTTATCTGTAATGCAATTGGTCAGTTAGTTAAGAATTCCCCCCCCATTTATTTATTTATTATTAATGTTGCAATACATACAGTGGTACCTCGGGTTACATACGCTTCAGGTTACATACGCTTCAGGTTACAGACTCCGCTAACCCAGAAATAGTGCTTCAGGTTAAGAACTTTGCTTCAGGATAAGAACAGAAATCGTGCTCCTGCGGCACGGCAGCAGCAGGAGGCCCCATTAGCTAAAGTGATGCTTCGGGTTAAGAACAGTTTCAGGTTAAGAACGGACCTCTGAAACGAATTAAGTACTTAACCCGAGGTACCACTGTATATGGAATCTTTACATACATTACTTTTCTGTGGCGATCACACAGGGTCCCTGGACGTTTCAGCGTCTGTTGATCCCTGTGCCACCACTTTATTTCTCGCTGCCGCCACCCAGGCCCTACCTGGTACAATACTGAGTCCAGTCAGGGTTAAATTGGAACATAAACTTCTGTTTATTTATTGCAGTTTAACAAGCGTGTGGTTTCATAAACAGTATCGGTCCATTACAATCATGGGGTGCCTATCCAGACCTATAACTTCTGCTAAATCACTCACTAAACCACCTCTCAGATTTTTACTTGTGTTCCTGACTCAGCTTATTTCGCTACACTAACTCAACCTACCTACAGAATACATTATATTCATAAATTCACATTTTCACATTTCATTATGTACCAACATTTATCCATTTCTTATTTCTTGCCCTGTGTCTTCCCTCCACCCATGCGTGACTTCCTTGTTATTATTTTGTTAAGAATTTTTATTATGTTACGGTAAAATCTGGGTGCGGGGCTACTCTGCCACCCAGCTCGTCGGACTAAGTCCACGGGTCCCTGCGGAAGAAAAATGAGCTCAGCCGGAGACAGGAGCAAACTGCAGAAGATCCAAGTTTATTGCGCAACAGGTTCAAGGCGAGATTGAACAGCGAGAAAGGGGTGACATGAACTTTTGAAATTTCCCTCCATGTCCCAGAATACAGTGCAAAATACATCCCAGTTACATCATGAATATATTAAGAAGAGGTTGGGTTACACAGATTACATCACGAATACATTAGGAAGAGGTTGGGTTACACCGGATTAACATATGGAGGAGGGAGGGGGGAATATGCAGAGCTGGAGATATGCGCAGATAAGCACATCCTGAGAAGACAATGGTCCATGTATGCATAGTCTGTCACCTGGCATCGCCCGGAGGAAAGGCTTGGCAGAGCGATTTGACAGGATTAGGGTCTTGACACCTTGCTTGAGGGATTATGGAGGACAGGGGAGGTGTCATGGAGTCCTAGAGAAATTGAGCAAATTGGCACGTTGATTTTCTATGAATTTTATAGATTTTAGTCCCTTTTGACATTGACAATTGGAAATAAATGGATATATTGTAGCGAAGAAGGAGGTGAAGCAGACATGCCCCCCCTTCCGTATCAATTAATTTACTTGATGGGGGGGCAGTTGACCGCCTGCATCCCCCTGGCTAAGCCCATGTTACAAGCCATAGTTTATCATGACAAAAATGAGCCTGGGGTTGTGTGCTCCCACCCTCTCCTCTGGCACAGCCATGATGAGGCGTTTGCATGTTTTTGCTTCTTCCACTTTTGATTAATCTCAGTTAGCATGGTATCTGAACCCTAGACCTGGACATTTTGCTTGCACTCTGGACACTGTCTGTTTCCCCTGAAGTCCTACAGAACTTGACTGCGGGGAAACATCTATTCAGCTAGATGGATCAAAAGGGTAAAGGAGTATTGGGAAATGATATCTAATGAATTGGGTAAAAATATTTTAAAAGTACTTTTCCAAAAAACCCCCAAAGTCTTTTTTGTTGGGGATAATTCAGAGGGAAATTCCCAGGTGTCAAAAGAGACTATTTATGTATGCTACTACGGCGGCCCGTGTTTTGTTAGCCCCAAAATCGAAAACGAGCGAGGTTCCAACCAAAGAAGAATGGCAACTTAAACAGATGGAATACGCGCAGCTTGAAGATTTAACATATAGAACAAGAGAACAAGAAGAAAGTACGTTTAAAGAAGACTGGAAAATGTTTACTGAATATATAGGTGAAAATAGTGTTCATTTAAAAATGCTGGTAGCATTAAGATAAATTCAACAGTGTAAATAAGTTTTGATGGATGTAATAATGGAACACTGAACAGTTTAGTTCATGTAAAATAGGCAGGGATGTATGGTATGCAAAATGAACCAAGGAAAAGAGAAGAAGGGAAGTCATTGATTTAAGGTTGTTTAAATGAGTATTTTGAAACGGAAATGATAAAATTTAATAAAAATTATGTATATATGGGATGCGGGTGGCACTGTGGGTTAAACCACAGAGCCTAGGACCTGCCGATCAGAAGGTCGGCGGTTCGAATCCCCGCGACGGAGTGAGCTCCCTTTGCTTGGTCCATGCCCCAAACCTAGCAGTTTGAAAGCACATCAGAGTGCAAGTAGATAAATAGGTACCACTCCAGTGGGAAGGTAAATGGCATTTACGTGTGCTGTTCTGGTTCACCAGAAGTGGCTTAGCCATGCTGGCCACATGACCCAGAAGCTGTACACCGGCTCCCTCGGCCAGTTCATCTTGCTTTCAGGCCGAGGGAGCCAGTGTTTGTCCATAGTCCATGTAGCCAGCATGACTAAACTGCTTCTGGTGCAATGGAACAGCATGGTGAAAACCAGAGCGCACGGAAACTCTATTTACCTTCCCGCCACAGCGGTACCTATTTATCTACTTGCACCGGTGTGCTTTCGAACTGCTAAATTGGCAGGAGCTGGGACAGAGCAATGGGAGCATAGCTGTCAACTTTTCCCTTTTCTTGCGAGGAATCCTATTTGGAATAAAGGAATTTCCCTTAAAAAAAGGGAAACGTTGACAGCTATGAATGGGAGCTCTCTCCGTCATGGGGATTCAAACTGCCGACCTTCCGATCGGCCGGCCCAAATGGCTCAGTGGTTTAGACCACAGTGCCACCCATGTCCTATGTTGGCAACATAGGACTGTATGGCGCTACATATGGGGATCACTTTATCTTCTCAGTGTCATCTGCTATCAGGAAGCTCCCTTACTTTGTGTGATAGAGAAAGGTGAGGGCCTAAGACACTCTTTTTATTACACTTAGCAGAGTCATGTATCCCATAATGGTATTATAAACAAGAGAGATTCAGGAGTGTATTGCATACTGCGCGCTCATGAGCGGCAGTTGCCAGTACAGCAACACCTCCCAAATGAAAAAGGCTTCAGTATGTGGAATGTACCCAGAGCACTACAGTCTCCCGAGACAACTAGCAAAGACAGGGTTAACTACTTTTGACAAACTCCGCTGAAAAATACTGGCATGAGACTTGCAAGCAGCTACAAGGAAACGTAAACATAAGCTGAAGATGATGAAAACTAATTAGCTAAGTCTTCTGGAATCAAATCTTAACATGATGTGATTATATATCAAGAGGAAAAACACAATGTTTAGACTGCATGTAATTTCAGTAATATGGTAATGAAGCACAGTGCATAATTTCTGACCCAACTAATCCCGCAGGCTTTTGAAATTTCTGTTTTTGACAACAAATCATTGGTAGCGTTCCAGCAGTCGGTGACAATATTGTAATGGATACCAAGAGACCAGTTAAGTATTGAAATGTGAATGAAAATCTCCAGCATTTGTTAAATAGAAAACAAAAACACTTCTGTTTCTGCCAGCCTGGAGAAATTGCAAGCAGGCTGGCAGTTTCAAAGCTCCCAAGATCAGAGACTCTGAACGCTAGTTGATGTGGATCATGAGCAGGAGAGGTCTATTCTGGTCCTATCCTGCTTCTGGGCTTCCCAGAGGAAGCCAGTTCACCACTGTGGAAAAGAAGTTGCCTCTTGAACTAGTGGAGTTTTCCTGAGCACAATTCAAAATGTTTTTGCTGACCTTTAAAGCCCTAAATGGCCTCGGCCCAGTATACCTGAAGGAGCATCTCCAGCCCCATCATTCAGCCCGGACACTGAGGTCCAGCTCCGAGGGCCTTCTGGTGGTTCCCTCATTGCGAGAAGTGAGGTTACAGGGAACCAGGCAGAGGGCCTTCTCGGTAGAGGCGCCCGCCCTGTGGAACGCCCTCCATCAGATGTCAAGGAAATAATCAACTATCTCACTTTTAGAAGACATCTGAAGGCAGCCCTGTTTAGGAAAGTTTTTAATGTTTGATGGTTTATTGCTTTTTTATTAATATTCTGTTGGGAGCCACCCAGAGAGGCTGCGGAAACCCAGCCGTATGGGTGGGGTATAAATTATTATTATTATTATTATTATTATTATTATTATTATTCATTGTTCAAACTAATTGTATTGACACAGAACACCTACATGCAAAATATTGTTTTTGAACATTAGGAAGACGTGTGAAAATAAGTACAGGGGAGATATTTTACATCCCATTGGCTTATCTGCTACATTTGCAAAACAAGTGAATAAAATGCTTTAAAACCTGGGGAATAAAGACCTTCAGGAACAAGAATAAAACAAAGTTCTGAGACCCTAGTGGACGTAAGTGGAAAGAGGAAATGATTAGCCATATTTAGATATTTGAAGTCACCTAGATGAAGGAGCAGATCTGTTTTCTGTTGCTCCCGGGGGGTAGGACCCAAACCAATTGGTTGAAATGATAAGAAAGGGGATTTTGACAACACTACCATCTGCAGTTTTGCAAGGTAGGCTCTCGAAAATCCCAGACAAAACAGGTTGAATCCATCACACATGTCTTATTTTATTGCCCATTTTATGCAAAAAATATGTTATAAATATTTGGTTCCCTTATTGAAGGAGGGGATTTATCGCACTGACTCAGGGTGTCTTATCTGCTGAACAATTGTAGTAATGTAATGACGTTGTGGAGAACGTGGCAAGATTTTTGAGTGGCACCATGAAATTACATCACCATCGGTCCTAAGAGCCATTTTTGTATCTCACGATGTCTGGACAGTTTTATCTTAAAGTATCTCCTACTATGTTTTGTTAACTGTGTTGTGTTCTGATCCATGTATACGATAGACATTTTTATGCCAATAAAGGAGATTGATTGATTGATTGATTGATTGACTACACATAGGAACATCAGAAGCTGCCTTATATCTTCTTCTTCTTTGGTGATTGCTCGTAGCCGAGTAAGATTGTCTTCCATAAACACAGTTTTAACAGTGAGTCCGTAAGTGACTGTGGAGGCCAATTCTGGATCCACACGTCCTTCCACAGTGGGGACATAGGTTTCCGGGTGGGAGTTGATCACAGTGAGGGTCTGCCAAAGGTGCCTTCCTCTTAGCTCATTTCTCCCTTTCATCCTGAGTTCGCGCTTCTTCAGTAAAGGCTGTTCTCCAATTGGAGCGCTCGCAGACCAGTATTTCCCAATTATCTGTGCTTACACTGCATTTTTAAAGATTTGCTTTAAACCTCTTTTGTTGCCCACCGGTATTTCGCTTTTCATTCTTAAGTTAGGAATAGAGTAGTTGCTTTGGAAGACGATAATCAGGCATCTGAAGCACATGAACAGTGCAGTGAAGTTGATGCTGAAGAATCATTGCTTCAAAGCTGTCCAGCTAGCTGAGCACTGGTCCAGCTAGCTCAATGCAGCCTACACTGGCTGGCAGTGGTCATTGGCGGAGCTTCATGCTCCGGCACCGGGGGGGGGGGCGGAGAGCAGGCGGGGCTGGTGCATATCCTGGGGGCGTGACGCGCCACCTTCAGGGATGTGATGCGGGTCCTGGGGGCATGGCACGCCACATACGGGGGCGTGGCGCCCAGCACGGGATTCCTCCGCCAGTGGCAGAGGTCCTCCTAGGGGGTTTAAGACAGGGAGTTCCTCTCAGTCCTACCTGGAGGTTCCAGGGATAGAATCTTCTACATGCTCCACCACTGACATGCAGACCTTCCCCTAAACATAAGGACGAACGTCCTGAGAGTAAAGACCATTTGGGCAGTGAAACAGACTCCCTTGGGAGGTAGTAGACTCTCATTCATTTGATTTTTCTTAAGCATAGGTTCATCATCATGACCATCTCTTAGCAATGCAGTGGATTTCCTGCACCAGCAGAGAGGTGGACTAGATAACATTTGTAGGTAAAAGGTAAAGGCCCCCTGGACGGTTAAGTCCAGTCAAAGGCAACTACAGTGGTACTTCGGGTTAGAGACGCTTCAGGTTACAGACTCTGCTAACCCAGAAATAGTACCTCGGGTTAAGAACTTTGCTTCAGGATGAGAACAGAAATTGCGCGGCGGCAGCAGGAGGCCCCATTAGCTAAAGTGGTACCTCAGGTTAAAATCAGTTTCAGGTTAAGAACGAATTAAGTTCTTAACCCGAGGTACCACTGTACAGTGTTACCTCGGTTTACGAACTTAATCCATTCCGGCAGTCCGTTCTTAAACCGAAACAGTTCTTAAACCGAGGCACACTTTCCCTAATGAGGCCTCCTTCCACCATTCGGATTCCATTCGTAGACCAAGGTAAAGTTCTAAAACCGGGACACTACTTCCAGTTTTGCAGAGTTGTTAAACCAAATAGTTCTTAAACAGGACTGTTCTTAAATCGAGGTACCACTGTATGGGGTTGCGATGCTCATCTCGCTTTCAGGCCGAGGGAACCGGCGTTTGTCCACAGACAGCTTTCTGGGTCATGTAGCCAGCATGACTAAACCACTTCTGGCGCAACGGAACACCGTGACGGAAACCAGAGCTTGAGGAAACGCTGTTTACCTTCCCGCCGCAGCAGTACCTATTTATCTATTTGCACTGGTGTAATTTCAAACTGCTAGGTTGGCAGGAGCTGGGACAGAACAACGGGAGCTCACCCCATTGTGGGGATTCGAACCACTGACCTTCTGATTGGCAAGCCCAAGAGGCTCAGTTGTTTAGACCACAGCGCCACCCTTCCAACTGTATGAGTCTATTACCTGACTACAAAGTCATAATTAAATATAAGATCATGTGCTGAAACTCAAGTTCTACTGCATGCCCTGCGATTTCATAACTGAAGTCAGATGCTCCAGATCTACATTTTAAAATAAAATCTTTAAACTAATAATTACCCCACTTCGACACTGACCTGTAAGTTTTCCCTTGTCTTATTTAAGAGAATATAAGTACTTCTCCAGAGTGGCTTAGTTTAATTTGTATGATAATGATTGCTGCAAAATAGGTATCAAATGCAGACCTTACGCCATCTGTAATTAATGGCTTCACGACATGCTTTAACATAAAGGTGAAGTTTAAGAGTCTCGTATCTTACCTTGACCTATTTTGGGCAGGTTTGGAAGCAAATAATTTGGGGGGCCAAATGAATGTATCTCTTATAGCCCTGATGTAGCAAGAGGAATCCATAGCTGGAAGCAGGCTCCACCAGGCAGATCTTTCTCTGGATTTGGAATTTTGTGCACACATTTACACCCCTATTAGAAGAGCAGAATGGGGGGGGGGGACTGGATCCAAGCAACAGCCTTGCTCAGTGGTTGCAGTGCTGCTGTTACAATTGGCACTGCCCACAGAAAAACAGCTGCAGCCTGCCCAAATGGAAAACGTGCAAAATCCTTATTATTCTCGATCAACTGTCAAAATGCCAGTAAGTATAGCATGCGTCCTAAATGTCTGTGTACTACAAAGATATGCACTCCATCTCTGTGCCCTAGGAATACAATGACACCCCTTTGGATGCCCCCCCCGACCCGTACAGAGCTTGTCTGAGGCCTGGGGCAGAAGTCTTGTTCGAATAAAGTTCTAAACTCAAAACTGCATAAGTCTGGCAGGTCCTTGATGTGCCCTCCAGCCAACCTAGCCCTCTGAGGCCAGTGTACCTGGCTGCCCAACCCCAGCATGGTACTGGGTGCCCCTATTAATGAGGCCTTGGTTATCCAGTGTCAAGGGTACAGGGGAGGTTTTGCTCCTGTTGCAGCACTGCATTTAAAGCCCTTCACGGCCTAGGACCCTCGTACCTATGGGACCACCTCTCCTGGTATGCCCCACAGAGGACCTTAAGCTCCATAAATAGCAACACCCTAAAGGTCCCGGGCCCTAAGGAGGTTAGATTAGCCTCAACCAGAGCCAGGGCCTTTTCAACACTGGCTCCGGCCTGGTGGAACGCTCTGCCTCATGAGACCAGGGCCCTGCGGGATCTGATTTCTTTCCGCAGGGCCTGTAAGACAGAGTTGTTCCACCTGGCCTTTGGCTTAGAATCAATTTGATTCCCTCACCCTCTTTCTTTTTTCCTTTCTCCTCCTGTGAAGAGGATGCATCTTAATGTTTTAATGTTGTATTTTAATCTTGTTTTTTAAATTGTATTTTAATCAACTTGTTTTTATTATTGGTTGTTAGCCGTAGAGCGCTTTGCTTGTTAGCGTAGAGTGCATTGCAGTAGTCCAAGTGGGAGATAACCAGAGCATGCACCACTCTGGCGAGACAGTCCGCGGGCAGGTAGGGTCTCAGCCTTCGTACCAGATGGAGCTGGCAGACAGCTGCCCTGGACACAGAATTGTGCCACTCTAGGTGCTGTGGGTTAAACCACAGAGCCTAGGACTTGCCAATCAGAAGGTCAGTGGTTCGAATCCCCGTGACGGGATGAGCTCCCATTGCTCGGTCCCTGCTCCTGCCAACCTAGCAGTTCGAAAGCACGTCAAAGTGCAAGTAGATAAATAGGTACCGCTCCGGCGGGAAGGTAAACGGCGTTTCCGTGCGCTGCTCTGGTTTGCCAGAAGCGGCTTAGTCACGCTGGCCACAAGCTGTACACCGGCTCCCTCGGCCGATAAAGCGAGATGAGCGCCGCAACCCCAGAGTCAGTCATGACTGGACCTAATGGTCAGGGGTCCGTTTACCTTTAGGATGTGCCCAGGTGCTTTAGGTTTGGGATATGGCCTCCCAGTTACTTGATGGTCTACACACTTTCTCTTCCCAGTCTCTCTCCCCCTGCCCCCCATCTCCTTCCCCACCTTGCCCTTTTCTGGAGCATTTCGCTCATTTGGTTTTGCCCTCTTACTGCACGGTTTTCTCCAGGTCCCAGACTTCTTTTGTCTGCCAGGTGTTGGCAACCCTGTGGCATCAGCAGGTGTCTCGTCCTGCTTTAGGATGCTGTTGACCCAGGGACCCTAATTGTCATCCCTGCCCATAATCTGGTGTCAACGTTTGTGTGAAGAATACAAAGGACGCTAGAGAGAACCATTTCCTTCTCTTTGCAGATCTGAAATGGAACAACTTGAAATGAAGAGATGGCTTTTTTCCCCCCAGAAGCACCGGCTTTGCTGAAACCAATTATCAAGGGCACTCTATTCTCAAGAGTATCTAAGTGTTTTCAGTGAATAAGGGCCCCTTTTATCTCTTAAGGAGTTTAAAAAATAAATAAATGCAACACTTTTGAGAGCGATTGTTTGGGGGGTTTTCTTCTTCCACGGCTGCCTGTTGCTCTCATAAGAAACTTCCTGCTGATTTGACTTCTCCTTCTGCTGTGAGACGGTTGCCAGGATTTACATGATTGCCAAAAGGAACAACTGGATTGAGCCTAAAGAATAATAAGAGCTTTTCCCCCAGGGAGAGAATAAAAGCAAAGGGGGGGAGAGAGAGGTGGCTAAACTATACTATCTTCCTATTCAATTACTTTATTCAGCCTCTATTTTGGATTCTACTGCATCTAATAAAAGCCAGAATAGCCTGTTGGCCTGGAATGGAAGGCTGAGATTAACAAGGGAACAATTTCAATTTCATTTTTTTTTTTTTGAATTGATATTTATTAAATTTTCAAAAAGTAACAAGTAACAACAAAAATTTCCAAAAAAGTTTGAAAATACAAATAAAACAAAAATAATACAGAAATAATAAAGAAGAAAAAACCCAGCCGCAAAAAAGAAAAAAAAGAAAAACAGAAAAACAGAAATATAAAATCCTTTACGATCTCCATTAACTTCCTTTCTAGACTTCCTCCTCCTTCCCTCTCTTGTTTCTTAGTATTTAATTTTTACAGCAAATCCTTTCTGTTTTTTCATAACAATCTATCATTGCGTTTCCTTATTCTATTTTCCCTCTTGTCATATAAAAACTTTAAAACTCAAAGCTTATATTCAATATTTAGCAAATTCTTACATCATTACCTTTTTTCAAATCATTTACCAATCCTTACTTAAGTCATATAATTTCATTCAACATCCTTCAAACATTTATAAACATTCCCAATATTAAAAATAAAAAAGCAAAAACAATAAGTCAGATTCAATCCAGTCAACTTCCAGCCTCCTCCCTGGACCCGGGATTGTCAGTCCTTTTAACCTCAATAATCCAGCTCCTTAACCTGGTTGTCTCGTATCCGAGGCCCTCAAGACTCTTTCTTGCCCCTTTCGCCACTCTTGTGGATATTTCCTTGTCAGTCGTGGATACTCCAGCAAGAAGATGCTTTTGACTCTTTGCAGCAAGTCCATCCCAAACCCATTACCCAAGCCAGACAGCAGATAATACCACTTCCAATTTCCACAAAACTTGGAGACTTCGACTACTCCATTCCTCTGATGGCCCATCACTAGACTCGGAAAGTCCAAATAACCATATAGAGGGGTGTCAATCCATCCCCCCATTTCCAAATCTGACCACATTTCATCTTTCCGAATCAGGTTTGTCTCAGTTCATTTATCAAGTTCAAAGACTGATCTTGCCCATCCATAGGTCCCTCCATCTCTGAAGCCTCCGTCGCTACAGCAGGTTCATATACTTGTATAGACTTTAACTGAATTTCATTTGTTTGCTGCTGTGCTCTGGTAACTTCCGTCCTCATCAAGGTCGACTCCTGACGCATCTGGTCCAGCTGGGCACTTAATTTTGCAAAACCTTCCAGGAACACTTGTTCAAGCCTTTGTACAAGCATTGTCCTTCAAGGTCAGAAAAAATTCTTTCCCACGAGAATGATCCTTCTCTTTAAACTCTCTGCATTGCAATTTCACTCAGTTCCACTAGATGGAAAACCCTTTTTTTTTTTTTTTTAAGAGGGGGAAAAACAACAGTAACAATCTTTCTTTTTCCAGAAACACTTTATCCAAAATTCCACCTTTAAAATTAAATAGGCAACAGTAGAATCAAAATGTTACCCTTCTTTTAACTATCTGTCGAGCTGGATAAGCTTCAAAACGTCAGTTCTGACAGCCCGCTCCTGGTTCAGGGCGGTGGAAAATTACTTTATTTTAAACTCACTTCCGCAGGGTTGAAAAGCAAAACAACCCCTTCTTCTCCTGCAATCAAAGGGGGGTCTAGAAATCTTAGATGTTGAATTTTAGTTCTCTCAGAATTTAGTTTTCAGGCTTTAGTATAATTTGTCTTTGCTTTCTTCACGTAACAAAAGAACGGAAGGCGACTTCCTGTTTAGACCTTTCCGTTCCGAGTCCCAATTAAATTCAATTTCAAGTTCAAGTCCAATGTTATTTATTTATTCACCAATCTTAAAAGTAGTTCAGCTCTTCCAGGATCGGGTACTCACGGATAGATGTTTTAGATGCCAAATTGTCCAGGAAAAAGGCAGCGCTCTCCGAAAACGGCAGTGCGGCTTTGCTGCACGGAGGAAGCAGACGACTCACAGCACCACGCACCTCCCACTCCGGAGCCCGGTAACGGGCTCCTGTACAAGGGGAGAGAGCGCCTCGGTGCCCGCCGAGTCCCACGCCCACAGGCTTCTTCCGCCTGTGGTTTTTAAGGGTCCCCGCTGCGCCGTAGCGGCAGGACCCAAGCCTCCGTGCAGCGGGTTCCCTTCAGTTCGAAGGGAATTCCGCCATTTTCCGGAGGCGCCACCCCGGAAGTCGGGAACAATTTCAATTTCAGCAGAAACCCATTTGTAAAAGCGGCTGTTCTGTTCTGCAAGCATGTTGCTTTTGACTTAAAAGTTGACCAGGTTGTATTGCATAGGGGCCATTACAGTTTTGTACATTAAGTTTTGTGTGTTTTTTTGGGGGGGAGGGGTTAGTGGCAGAGGGGATGAATATGAAAAATGTAAAGGAAGATCTGTGTCAACATCATGGCTACTGCTTCTCTGTGGGTTTTTTTAATGTGTTGTAACATTTTAGGGTGCACACACATAGCAGACACACACTCCGCAGAAAACCAAACCTTCACCCTTCAAAATTTAGGAAATATTCCCCAATACATAATGCCTTTTGGGTGGTCTTTGATTAAGCGGTTAAGCAATTTCAAGTCTGTAAAAGTTCTTGCACAGCTTTCTTCTTGGTCTCTCACCTCCTTGCAAGTGGGGTTGGGGGGACGACTCTGCTGCAACAGAAAAATAAAGATCTTCCTTGCTTTTCGCCGAATCCTGCCTTCATCCATTCTTCTCTGACCAAACATGAACTTAAGGGACACCGAGTCCCTTGGGGAGTTGGGCTGCAAAAGCAAACCCAAATTTTTCTAGAACATACCGGCACGTTTCCGTCACTAAAATAGTGTGCTTAAATGCTAGTATTTTTGTACATGGTGCTTGCTGTTGAATGGTCACTGTAAAATGTGAAGGTTCATTATTGTTTCACAAGTTGTGTATGTCTTTAAGGGCCAGGGCAAATAATGAGACCCAGTCTTACAGCTGTGAAACATAGCAGGTGCTGCTAGGTTGTGTTAATCAAGCTGTGTCAGCAATTGGGTGTAGTATATAAGGAGCAGCACCTAGCTCTCTCCTTACCTTGGGGGATGGGTTGGTGGTTGGGTCATGTTTGTTGTTGTTATTTTTAGTGTAAAATGAGTTTTTGTTTTGTTATTAAAACCTTGTTAAAGTTATTTTTGAGTTCCTTGTTATGCATGGTCTCCCCAGCAAGCTCTCTGCAGCGCTACTAAACTGTAAATAGTCAACATCTGCAACTGTTTAAACCCTTTTAAAGTATGTCCAATTTTTTAATTTTATTTTTTGCATTGTAGATAGTTTGTAGCAGTGGTTTTTTTTCTAGGGGTACGCAGGGGTACACATACCCTCTAAACATTTTGTGAATCTAAGTTTGGCCTCACTGAGGAGCGGTATTTCAATATGAGTAGGAAAATGAAAGTGCCCCTAAACATTTTTAAAGAAAAAAGCACTGGCTGGTAGTATCTCAATTTGTATTTAGTATAAAAGCTCTATGGAGCTAAATAAAGGTAAAGGGACCCCTGACCATTAGGTCCAGTCGTGGACGACTCTGGGGTTGCGGTGCTTATCTCACTTTATAGGCCGAGGGAGCCGGTGTTTGTCTGCAGACAGCTTCCGGGTCATGTGGCCAGCATGACTAAGCCGCTTCTGGCGAAACCAGAGCAGCGCATGGAAACGCCGTTTACCTTCCCGTAGGAGCAGTACCTATTTATCTACTTGCACTTTGACGTGCTTTCGAACTGCTAGGTGGGCAGGAGCTGGGACCGAACAATGGGAATTCACTTTGTCGCGGGGATTCGAACCGCCGACCTTCTGATCGGCAAGCCCTAGGCTCAGTGGAATAGAAGACCCCATAATGATTGTCTGTTGGCAACGTAGGACTGTATGGCGCTACATATGGGAATCACTTTATTTTCTCAGTGTCATTTGCTATCAGGAAGCTCTGGGTTTGCATGTAGTTTTTCAACCAAATTTGTATTCCCATAGCTCAATCAGAGATAAAAGGTTGGTAAATCATGTAGCATCAGAAATGACAGGTAAAGGAATTGCACAAAAGCAGGATCCAGGAAGCTACTTCTAATGGGACGTGTTGACTAAATCTACACTTTTTTAGCACAAGAACGATCTTTGAACTGTAAGATGCAGCACTGTGCTTCTGGCAATCACAGATTCAGAGAACTGGAAATTGCTGACAAGCAACTTTGGTGATGCTTGCCATCTAGTGGATGCTGCTCATATGCACACGTAATGAAAATAGTATTTTATATATAAAGGTAAAGGTACCCCTGCCCGTACGGGCAGCGGCGTAGCGTGGGCTGTCAGCACCCGGGGCAAGGCAAGTAATTTGCGCCCCCTAACCCCTAACCTGCCGCCGCTGCCAGCTTCTTCTTGCTGCTGCCTGGGCTGGGCTGGTGTGGTTCTCTCCCGCGCTCAGCGCTGCGCTGACGGCCGCTGCACTGTCCCTCCCCAGATAGTCCCTCGCTCTCTCTCCGCACCGCACGCCTGGCACACACCCCCACAGTGGGCGGCGACCCAGCGGCTCGGATCGGATTCGCACAGCCAGCACTGCAGTGAGAGAGAGTGAGTGAGCCAGGTAGGGGCAGAGAGCTGCGAGTGCGAGCGCACGCCCCCCAGATGTTGCGCCCGGTGCGGCCGGCCCCCCCTGCACCCCCCACGCTACGCCACTGCGTAGGGGCCAGTCATGTCCGACTCTAGGGTTGTGCGCCCATCTCACTTAAGAGGCCGGGGGCCAGCGCTGTCCAGAGACACTTCCGGGTCACGTGGCCAGCGTGACGAAGCTGCTCTGGCGAGCCAGCACCAGCGCAGCACACGGAAACGCCGTTTACCTTCCCGCTATAAAGCGGTACCTATTTATCTACTTGCACTTAGGGGTGCTTTCGAACTGCTAGGTGGGCAGGAGCTGGGACCGAAAGATGGGAGCTCACCCTGCCATGGGGATTCGAACCGCCGACCATACGATCGGCAAGTCCTAGGCACTGAGGTTTTACCCACAGCGCCACCCGCGTCCCTTGCATTTTATATATAAATTAGAGTTAATATTAAATGACAATGGACTGCTGCCTAGACAAGCAGAAAAAAGTGAGTCTGGCGCTTAAGTCCAGTCATGACAGGTATTAGAGATATTGCAATCCCAGAAGTCTCTACACTAGTGCCTAATGTATTATTTCATTTAGTTGAAATGAACTTTGTACATTCTTGTTGCTTGAATAACCTGCTTGGGCACCTTTGTTTAATGATTGGATTGTTGCTTATTATCTTGTAGAAATATTAAGAGAGAGGATGGAAAAACGATTTATATTCACTGTCACAATTCAGTTGGTTATGGTTAACCTTTCATCTTTGCCTTTTTCAACCTGTCCTCCCTTCAACCTGCCGTTTCCTCTTAGCTCAGTGTTTTCTAATCAGTATCTGCCAACACGGCTAGATATTTGTTCAGCTACATTTAATGTGCTTTATTCCTGTCTCTGGGAATTAAAGAAAAAAGAACTTTAAGGGGATTGAAGGGAAGGGATTTGGTCAAGCTTCTTGTTGTTGGTAGCTGTCTGTCTCAAGAGACTTCCAGGGGTGAAGTCAAACCACAGCAGCGAAGCCTGGGCAGTGCGTATGTGTCAGGGACCGTGCTGAGGAGGGCTGCGCTGAGGAGGAATGGTGGGAGCCACCCCCTTCCCCTGATCCTG